ATGGCTTGGGTGGTCTACAGGGTCTGTGCAGGACGTGGTCCGCCTGGGCATAATCTATGGAGTCTCATCCTGGTCCCTGGTCTCCAGCCCTGGGCTGTGGCCTTCTTTTACGTCCAGCAGAGGGAGCTCTGGCTCAGGAGTTACCACCCCAAGGCTCACTCCCAGCCCTCCTGTCTGTTTCCTGAGCTGGCAAGCTGGGGGCAGCAGATCAGAGGCAGGGCCGGAGGGCTCGTGCCGCTGAGGTACAGCTGGGCAGTCACCTTCTGGCTGTGCCATAACTTCTGAGCTGCACTACCCTCTGCAGTAACCACCCATCTGCATAGCCACTGCATACCTGACGTTGGGGACGGCGTTTTCAACTTCAGTTTTGATAGAATTCAAACAGGCACAGATAGCTCATCCATGTGTCCCAGAAAACACTACTTAGTCCCCGGGCATTCTTGCTGCAGGGTGGTCTTGACATCCCAGGAGCAAACAGGGCACACCTGTCCCCTAGCCCCTGGGAGTGGATTTGGGGACCCATATCCCCACAGGATTCCAGGAGAGCTGACCTAGTAAGGGTTCGAGCACCCTACGATCCCCTCAACCTGACAGCTCTGCTTCTGCAGGGTGTGGATGAGCAGTATCAGGTTTGTCCCTTGCAGCTGGCACTTCTGCTTCCCCCACTCCCGGGGCCCCCTGTGGCCCAGGAGTGCCAGGATCCAGCTCTTCCTGAGGCCGAGCCCAGCAGTCGCCTGAACCCCCAAGCTGGAGTTTTGGGCCACAAGCTCACAACAGGGTGATCAGTGGACATTTGGGAACAGAATGCCTCTGCCACCTCCCTTTCCCGCCTAGCCCTGGGAGGGGCCCTTGGTGTGTCCCTGCCCCCAACTGGCGCCAGGGCTGGGGGCCGGCCGGGAGGGAGCCAGGCTCAGCAAGCAGCCTGAATAAGCTGGAAAAACCCAGCCAGGCCACATGCACCCAGGAAATACAGCTGACTCAAAGGGCCCACGGCGGGCAGCACTCGAGGAAAAGCTGCCCAGCTGTGTCCCACAACCAGCTAGATTCACACCCCGGCCAGGCCTGTCGGCCGTGGCCTTGCACCTGCCTGCCTTTCTCGAGCACCCCTGCCAGCCTCTTGGGGCTCTGGTGATGATGGCTCCCTCCCTCCCTCCAGGAGCGGGGTTGTCCAGAGCTCTTCCTGTGGCAGGGCAGCTGGGTCCCCAGGCCTGGGAGGCTCCTGGGGGATAGCTTCAGGGACACACTCACCTGGCACCAGCCCTTGCTCCAGGCGCTGGAGCCCCAGGTCTGCTGTGAGGGCTCGGTGTCCTTGTATGGTTCCTGAGCTCACTGTGCTCACCCCCAGCCTCCACCCCCTGGCCCCCACCTCATGGGAACCTGCCACCCTCTGGCTCCACACTTTTCAGTGGCTCTTCAAGATGGCAGCTCAGTAACTGCAGGCATCAGTGGGGAGCCCAGCTTGCAGCTCCCAGTCTGAACAAGGTCACAGACATCACAGGCCACCAAGCAGGACATGCAGACACCCCTGAGGGCCTGAGGGTCCCTGACGTGTGTAGCTAGCAAGCCACCTTAGGGTGCTCTGCTCCTGCCTGCCCAGGCAGTCACTCTACACCACATGTGGACTCCCCTTCCAGGGGTCACACATCTGCCCAGAGCCATGCTGTTCCCAGAGCCCTTGCTCTGGGAACAGAGAAGAGAAGGGGGCAGCTGTGCTACTCCAGCAGGGATGCCTGGGCCCCACCAGGAGAGAGGCGGGGCAGGGCTTGAGGCAGGCACCCAGGCCCCCTGATACAGAGCTCCCATTCCCCACTGTGTGGGCCCTGAGAGCTCCTCCCAGGGGAGGGACCCTGGTGAACAGGCCGGAGTCCTGGGAGGCTCTCCCCACAGAAAGGCAGGGACCACGAGGACCCCAGACCCAGGGAACCCAACGGAGCCTGGGGCAAAGCAGCCCAAGTGGGCTCTGCCTCCCTGGCTGACCTTCTACACTCTGCCTCCCTGGCTGACCTTCAGCTCACAGCAAATCCAGTGTGCCCCCCTGTGCCTCAGTTTCCTCACCTCTGAAATGGCGCCAAGCTCCATGTCTAAATCAGAGGGCAATTGTGAGACCCCATGGGTATCTGCACAATTTGAGTTAGGGCCTTCCCAGAGTCTCTGAAAGCAAAGTAGCATCTAGCTTAAAGAAAAGCTGCCCTTCCCTTATTCCTGGAGCATTCGGACCTCTCCAGGCTGCTTCCACCCTGCCTCTTATTCCAGGTTAATCCCAGCCTTGCCCAGTACACGCCTCCTGAAAAACCTGAGAACAGCTCATCCTAAAGTGCTAATGGCTGGAGAAAAAGTGAAGAGGAAGCGAGGGGTGATGGCTCAGGCATCAGCCTGGAAGACGATGCTTTCTCTGGAGTTTTCTCCCGGGATCCCACCACAGCTGAGAATCTGTCCAGCCAGCCTTTGCACCAGTACTGGGGAGTTCAGCCCAGCCACCCTCAAGATTTCGTTCAAAGGACATCTCGAGCAGCTTTGGTCAGGAATTTGCTCATGTGTGTGCAGCCCCGGGGCAGTGGAAGCTGCCGGGAAGATGTGCCCAGAAAGAAGTCCTCACCTGGGCCTCACGTGGGCTGCTGTCACTCACGGTGGGGCACCATCACCCACCTAGCCGGCTTCAGCCACCCATGAGAGCAAGAACTCACTCCCCTGGCCGCATCAGCAAAGCCCTGTGAATCTGGGGCCAGCGAGACCCGGAGTCTTCCTCCCCACCTTCCAGCAGGCCCCTCCTGAGGAACTGGGTGGTCAAGTCTCACCGGACAAGCGGTCACAGTGGGCCCTCCAGGTTCCCGTGGGGCCTCCTCATCCTAAAAGCCAAGGTGCAACGCAGGCAAAGAGCACACTACATGAGTAGCCCCACCTGGAGGACGTCTGGAAGGACACAGCAGGACGGAAACGGCAGTGCCCGTCCTGGGGAGGGGCTGGCCGTGTGCGCCGTGTCCGAGCCGAAGTCAGTGTAGGTTCAGGACAGTGGAGCAGTGACAGGCCCCACACCCATGGTGCGTCCAGATGCATGCTGGTGCCACCCACAGACGTAGTCCCCGATGTAGCTTTAACCTCTGTATTCTCAGTGTTCCTGAGCTTTCTGAAATGAGCGTGTAACCCCTATCTTTGGCTCTCTGCTTTTTAAAGGCCGAAGCACGCATGGATAGTTCCAGCTTCCGGAACTATCCACATTTGGCAAAGTCTGCAATGCCTGCCTGGCCTCTCCCTCTTTTGTCCCTCTCGGTGTGGGGTGCGGAAGCTCCCAGAAGGGCAGCCCTGGTGGTGCCTCTGTCCGGTGGTCAGCTCAAGGTGCAACTCCTGCCACTCGGCCCCAAGAGGGACCTTCCTTCCACTTTGAAGTTAGGAAAGTGGTTGGAGTGTGCAATGTTCTAAAGTAATCAAAACCACGTCTCTTGTCCCAGCCCCAAATACACAGGGGACAGGCCCCTCCCTGCCCCTCAAAGGTCCCCAGATGGTGAAGTTGGGAGATGGTGCAGGTTATAACCTGACCCCTGCTGTACCCTAGCAAAAAAGAGCTTCTTTTTATATTTGTATTATACCAAAATACCTGTAACGTGGCCCTACTGGTACTGTTTTGTATGCGTTTTCTCCCCTTCTGGGTGACCTAATTGATATGTTAATCAATGCTCTCCCCTGTAAAGAATTGTGAATCGCTAGGAACCTAACCTAATTGATATGTTAACCATTGTTGCCCTCTTCAAATAACAGATGTGGTGCTAAAATAAGCCAACAAAAGATTGTTAATTACTGCTAGACTACCCTGTCCTCCACTAAGGAAAATATTTCCTTAGCAGATTTCCTGATCCACGCCCATAACCCCTTACTTTGTAAACTGTGATATGTACATAAAGGCTGCAAGCTTTGAGGGCGACACACAGCTTTTTCAACTTAAACTGCACCGTGTCACTGGGCCCAGGATAAAATAAATCAGCGCTGCTTTTTAAAAATATGTTTTTGCCCCATTTTTCGAACTCGAGTTTGGGGGGCTCATTTGTGGATTACAAGAACCCCCACAAGTAAGGATAGGTTCAGGCAGAGGAAAACCCACCAGGCTGAGGCGGCAGCTTCAGGGGTGGGTGCTAAAGTGGTTGCCTTAGTCCACTTTTTTGTCCCTGTGACTAAATACCCAAGAGAAACAACCTGGAGCTCATTTGGTTTAGGGTTTCAGTCCATGCCTGGCCGGGGCCACTGTGTAGCAGGTAGAAGCACCGTGGTGGCAGAGTGCGGATGGAGGAAAGCCACTCACTTGTAGCAGTCAGGAAACAAGGAAAACAAGGGAGCCCAAGAGAAAGCGGCTGAGGTCGGGCCCCACTCCCTCACCTGGGGCCACCTTCATGGCTGCCACCTCCCAGCCAAGGCAGCACTTGGTGTCTCATTGATGGATTAGCCAGGGTCACGCCAGGGATTAAGACACCAGTAAATGAGTCTTTGCGGGGGCCAAAGGTCACTGGGAACTCTACCTGACCCAAGAGAACCAGGCACTTCACAGAGGACTAGAGAGGTCAGAGAGGGAAAACAGCCCGGCGACCTTTAACCCATTCTGGACCAACACACGGGGGAGCTCCTCCTGGGCCCTGCCTAGCTACTTGCGTGCTTTTAAAACTTCCCGCAATTGCTGAGCGGCTGGCCCGAGCAGCTTTGTCTGCATCTTCCCCACACTCTGGTCCTGGCCTGGGACCCAGTGCTGTTCTCAGAGCCTGGAAGGGCCCAGCGCAGGCAGCTGGTTCTAGCCACAACTCTGTGTCTATTCACAGTGGCTCCAGCCTCTGAGAGAAGACGATCTAAGGGTCTTGCAGGGAGCAGGGCAACATCAGGGCTGAGCAGCAGGCACAGAGGCAGGATGTTCGCTCAGGGCTTGGACAAGCTAAGCCCCCACAAATGGACCTTGTGACACCCTGCTGCAGAGGGCACATGACCCAGCTGTCACCCTGGTCCCTTCCAGAAAGGGCTAGGCCCCCTGGACACTCCCTCATGCAGGCAGGACATCTGTGGCAGGACAGAGGCCACTGCTGTTCCCAGGGAGGGCCAGGGCTGACCCCTGAGGCAGGCCAGCTGGGCACGCTTGGGCACATTCCAGGGCTGGCTGTAATCTCTGTGGCAGGCCCAGCCAGGCCTGGTGTTCTCTCATGGGGCCTGAGGGCAGGACCAAGTGCTTGTGCTATAACCCAGAGCTGGGCCACTGGGCAGCCAGCAATGACCTTGGGCAAGACCAGCGTGGATGTCCCTGTCAGTGCTCCTGTGTCCTACACCAGGACCATGTGGACGGGCAGATCCTGGGCCAGCTAAGCCCCCTGACAGAGCAGGATGAGGAGGAGGGCACAGGGGCCACATCGCCTGCAGAGCCTGCCTTCCCTGGGATGGGCTCTGAGGAGCTGCGGCTGGCCTCCTTCTACAACTGGCCACTGGCCACTGGGGTTCAGCCCGAGCTACTGGCTGCTGCTGGCTTCTTTCACACAGGTGAGTCCTGGGTTGGGGAAGTCCTTCCCACTGAGGGCCAGCTGCTATTCCAGCCCCTCCCAGCCCCAGGACCCTGCCCATCCCCATGCAGGGGGTCTGGCCAATGAAGAGTGGGATCCTATAATCCCTCCATGGTCACGCCCTGGTGCCTACCCTGCTAGGCTCACTGTGATGAGAACCCGTGTACACAGGGGAGGGGGTGCTCTGGCCCTGGCCAGGGGCTTCTCATCGTGTGGGGTTTGGGGGCTTGGTGGTTGCACATGGCTCAGGTGGGTATGTAGGACACAGGCTGCTCCAGGGTCTGCAGTACCATCAGGGCCTGCGCCACGTCCCAGGGCAGCAGAGTCAGGGGACAAAATCAGCATGTGGGCAAGAGCTCAGCTTTAGGCACCTCCCATGGGCCTCTCTGACACTGGGCTAGGCTCAGGTCTGACTCTGCACAAAGCCCCTCCGGTGCCCGTTCCAGTCGCCCACACTGGGTGGCAGCATGGTCAGGCTGGAATGCAGGTGTGGCTCTGCTCCTTCCTAGCTGCAGGGCACGGTAGCAGGGTCCAGCAGACCCTGTGTGGGAGTCCTCGTGTGGGTACTGTCTGCAAGAGGCCAGGATGGCCACCAAGTGGGAGGTTCAGTGGCAGGGTGGCTTGGGGGCCACCGTGACCAGGGACCTCTCTGAGGCCAGTGGGTGGAGGTGGGGAGATTCGGGGTCTGGGTGTCTGCTGTGGGCTGTGACCTTTGCTTCACAGGGGGCAGGGCCCACAGAGGGGAATTGCCAGGGGGAAGCCAAGGGAGGAAGTGAGCCCCTAAAGCCAAGTCTGTGCTAGGATGTCAGTTAGGGACACCCCTTTCCTCCCACCACTGGAAATCCATCCTGAGGACCCTGAAGTCACCTAGAGGACCCCCAGGCTCCCAGGCTTCTTGGACTACCTGCTCTGTGAATGATGCCAAGGCAGGCTGGACCCCATCCTGAACATCCTTCCACTCACCTGGCACATGCCCCAGAAGCTGTCCCCATTGCTCTTTACAACAAATGAGGTGCCATGAAGTCACATGCTAGGGCCCTGGGGCACCCTCCTTCCCTCCCTGGTTGATTTTCTGGCTGAAAAGACACCCATTCCTGCTGGGCCCCCAACCCATCCCAGCTTCTACAGCATGGGAGGGGTCGCCCTAGGGCTGCTGGCCCATGCAGGGCTCCTGCATGCATAGGGGCTGGGGGCAGCTTCTCTGCCACACGCAGGCCAGCAGGACAAGGTGAGGTGCTTCTTCTGCTACGGTGGGCTACAGAGCTGGGAGCACGGGGACGACCCCTGGACTGAGCACGCCAAGTGGTTTCCCAGGTAACCACCCCTGAGGGTCCAATCCAGGGCTTGGGCAGGGAAGGGCCTCAGGACCATTAGGTAAGACCAGGACTGGCCCACCTTCGGTCACTTGAGGACAACAGGCTTTCCCAACCCACGTGTCACGTGATCCCCCTCCCTGAAGGGCTGTGAGGGAGATTCTGCTACCAGGCCTCTCCTGATGCTCAGGGCCTGCCTCCCAGCCAGTGGGAACCCCGACAGCTCGGCCTCAGGCCCAAAGGCCTGCTCCAGCTTGCAGTTGGCAGTGGGGCCCTAACTGTGGGACTCAAATCTACTTGTCAGGTGCCAGTTCCTGCTCCAGTCCAAAGGAAGGGGCTTTGTCCACAGCGTCCAAGAAGCCTATTCCCCACTGCTCAGCTCCTGGGTGAGTCTCTCTCCTTGGGGCTCTGGCGGTCAGAGACTCCCCTCACACGTCTGTTTACCCAAGAACGGTGTCTCCTAACAGGACCGATGGGAAGAACCAGAAGATGCAGCCCCTGCTTCCCCCACAGGTGAGAGCCCTGGGGCACAGCCCGTGCTGATCCCTTGGGTACCTGCAGGTGTAGTTCTCCTGTGATGGGGAGCCTCTCAGTCTAAGAGGAAGATGCAGACCTCAGGCGGGTGCTGATGGAGCCCACTAGCAGCTCTGCCCTCTCCTGCTTTCTGCCTTGCAGATGCCAGGGGCAGGCAGGAGTGGTCAGCATGGGAGCAGGACCCAGATGTTCCCATCAGCACATCTGCATCACTGCTAGGGGCTGGCCTGCTTCAGGAAGAAGACAGGGACCAGGCGGAAACGGCCAGAGGTACTTCCACCCCTTGGGACGCTGTCCTCTTCCTGTCTCTCTCCTTGCCCACCCCCTGTGCACAGCCTGTCACCACCACACACACACACACACACACACCCTGCCCCCAGCATGCGGCATCTGCGGCTGCTGCCTTAGGGGCTGGATGGGCCAGAGGGACAGAAACCTTGGTGCTCCCTCCAGAAAGCCTCCAGCCTCGTTTGTCCTGCGTTGGGGGAGCAAGTTGTGTCATTCTGCTTTCCTGGTTATAAGTGGACCTGGCAGGCTGCCAGACCTGTCCCTAGGCTGGGCCTTGTTTCTCCTCGGGGCAAGGCCTCGAGTCTGTTCCTAACTACCCACAGCTTCTGTCCATGGGGCCCCTGAGCCACTCCCACCTAGAAGAGAGATCTGGCCTGAAGATAGTGGGTAGCCAAGCAGAGCCGAGATCCACCTGGGGCAGAGACAGGGTGGGTCCAGCCTCCCGCGTCTGGGGCAGGTCAGGAGGCAGGGACACTGGGCACCTGTAGGGGCTGGTGGATACCAGCCTCCCACCAGCCATGCAGAAAGGGGGGCCCATGTCACAAGCCTGTGCCCCCTGAGCACCCTGGTGGGTTCTCCAGCCCCAGGAGCTGGGGATGTGCAGGAGCAGCTGCGGCGGCTGCAGGAGGAGAGGAGGTGCAAGGTGTGCCTGGACCGCCCTGTGTCAGTTGTCTTCGTGCCATGCGGCCACCTGGTCTGCGCAGAGTGCGCCCCCAGCCTGCAGCTGTGCCCCATCTGCAGGGCGCCCATCCGCAGCTGTGTGCGCACATTCCTGTCCTAGGCCAGGTGAGCATCTCCTGCAGGCCCAGATGTGAGCTGAGTCCGTCCCTCCTCTTAGTGCAGAGGTCCTGTCCAGCAGTGACCAAGGGCTGACACCCCCTGCCCAGGTGGGCACCGATGGGTCAGCCAGGCCAAGAGGAAGTCTGTGGAGGAACAGAAGGTGCAGTGGGGCTGCCCGAGCTCCAGACCTGCACCCTAGACCTTAGCAGGGCCAGATGGGACTTCATGGATGGGGCCATGCCAACCTGTTGTTGCAAAAGTTATTGCTGGGGACCCCTGTATGTGCTGAGGGACAGGAGCCATGGCTTCTCAGGGCTCTCAAAAGCCAGTGTACCCTCAAGATGCATTTGAGAACTTTTTGTTCCTGAGAGCCTGGCCGAAGCTCAGGGGACAAGCCCTCGGGAGCCTGGCCTCACCCGTGCCTTCTGCTCTCCCTCTAGATGCTGCAGCTGGCCAGGTGGGCCACTGGGTGGGAATCCTGGCCTCAGCCTGTCCCAGACCACACAAGGTATCTGCTGAGGACAGTGGATACGTCATCCACCATGGCCCAGCCCTGACTCCTCGGCCACAGGCCAGTGTGGAGGAGGACGCCTGCTGGGCCTGGGAATGGCTTTACTGGCGCTGCTTGTGTGTGTGTGTGTGTGTGTGTGTGTGTGTGTGTGTGTGTACGCGTGCGTGTTCCACTGCGGGTTGACCCCATGGCCTTTGCACTTAGCTACACCCTCAGTCCTTTTAAAAAATATATATATTTTTAAATTTGGAGGCAGGGTCTTACTGAGTCACCCAGACTGGGCTTGAACTTGTGATCCTCCCAGGCTGCCGGGATTACAGGCATGCACCACCCCGCCTGGCGGGTTTGGATACTTGTGAAAATAAATATGGTAAAGCGTTTCCTCGGATGGTGCTCAGTTCTGCTTGGGTTCTGGAAACCAGCGTCCTCAGTCCCTCCCCCCACAGCGGGGCAGCACCCCCACTCCGGGCTGCTCCCCACACGGTCTCCTCTCCCTGCTTCCCTACCCACCCTGCCCATGTCCTGCTGCCGTTGGACACTCCTGGGACCCTGCTTCTGACGCCCCGTGCCACTGAGCTCCACCGCGCAGGCAAGGTTGGGCTGTGGCCACGTGCTTTTATTCACCTCCAGGACTGTTTGCCCAGGATCACTCTGAGCGATGCCACCTGTGTCACAAGAGCCTCAGGCTGTGCAGTGCCCGGCAGTCTTCTGTGCCGGGCCTCGGCCTGGGAGCAGTAGGGCTGCCTCTCTGAGCACGGCCAGCCGTCATCAAACTCCACTCCTGTGAGGCTGGAGAGCGCGTGAGGCGGGGCAGTGCAGGGTCCAACAAATCCCCAAAGGTCGGGGGTGGGGGGGCTTGTGGCCCTCCTGGTGGGGCTGCCCCTTCCCTGGCAGCAGGGCCACAGCTGGTGGGTCCGGCCAACCACAGGCAGGACACACAAGGAGGGGGCTCCTCAGAAAACCATCCCGGCCTGCTGTGGATGGAGCTGACATCCCAGCACTGGCCAAGGAGACTGGGAATGTGGTTTTCTGGTTTTCTCTTCATTTTCTTTTGTGTCTTTTCTCCCTCTTTTCTCTTTTTTTTTTTGAAAAAGGAGACTATGAACTCGTTCCTCTTTTTTGCCCGCCCTGCCCTGGCTGGCGTTCAGGGCGACATGAGCACGCACTGGTGTCACACACAGAGCACAGGGCGGGCAGGAGGCAGCACGGGTCCTGGCTGATGGGCTCCAGGGCGTGGCTGAAGCAGGAGGTCCCGAGGGCAGGGTTAGTGGCCACCTCACTTACGCAGGCCTGCAGGAAGACAGTCAGGAAGGCTGCATCCCTCCTCTGGAGAACTCGAAATGCAAATGTCTTCCTGGCCTTTGGCAAAAAGGGGCCAGGTACAAGGAGCTGGGCTCTTGCTTCCCGGGGACAGACTGGGCTCTGACTTCTGCTCACTCGGGCCAAAGAAGACATGGCAACAAGATTGGGGCCAAAGGGCCAATCTGAAAAGAAGGGGCTCGCCTGGTCCCCCTGCCCACCCAGGCTCCCCACTGTAGGAAAACCCCAAGGCTATGCTGTCAGCAAGCTCTGCCAGGCCCAGCCTCAGCCCAGGCTCCAGGCAGCTACCCACCCCTTTACCCGTGGTCAACGCTGTGGCTGCCCGGCTCAGGACGTGTGAGAGGCCCCTGTCCTCCTGAGGTCTTTACTTCCTCACTTGTTTGTCCTGGGAGCTGGATTCTGGCTACCTCCGATGACCCCGGGCCATGGCAGGCCTTTACTCACAGGAGGGCTAGAGGCTGCCAAGTGGGCAGCCAGGGGACACCACAGAAGGCCTGGGCAGCTGGGAGAGGCCATGCTCCTCACTAAAGAACCGCTCAATTCCTTTTCTGATTCTGAAATCTAGAACTGCTCTGGACAGGGCAGGGTGGCAGCCAAGACTACATCAGAGGGTGGGCTATGAGCCTGGCCATCCCACCCCAGGCTGGGGTCTGCAGAGCCACCAGCACGACCTTCTAGAAAAGAGGTCTGGTCCTCCAAAGGTAGAACACCGATGTTTCCCGCTGCAGTGGGCCCTGGAGAATCACTCAGTCATCCTCCTGGGAAATGACTTGTCACACGCACACACCCCGACCTGGGACTCAACCCCCCACAGAGGCTGTCACTGCTGGGCTCCAAGCTTGGGAAGAAGGCGGAGTCCTGGGGCTGCCTGGTAACTAATCCTGGTTACTAACTCAGTCTTGCTAACTAATTCAGCCAGACATGAGGTTGAGCTTAGAAATAGGAGGCAAGCCAATGACAGATGCAAGAATGGATGGACAAATGGCACACAGACAGACAAACAGACGGACGCCTGATGAGACTACTCAAGGAGGGCAGCCTCGTGCTGTGAATGCCCCATGGGCCAGACTGGCCACGGAGCAGGCTCAGCAGGCCATACTTACAACTGCGCCTGCTTGCACAGGAGCTTGGGTGGCTTTTCATTAACATGATACAGAGGAAATGGATCAAATCCACCAATGAAATCAACTGAAAGAAATCAAGACCCAAATAATAGAAACCCCAAACAATGGAAGAGATGGCAGAACAGAAAGAGAGCCCAATGGGAAACACTCCCCCACCCACCAGAGCAACAGGCAGCCCACAGGTAGGGGGGACAAGCCCCGCCCCAAACTGGGCCCAGGTCTGGTCTCAGACCCTGGGAGGAACCTCGCTGGGGCAATGATTGTGCATGGTCTCCTGGCTGGGAAATCGGAAAGCCTCACCGTTCCAGCGGGGGGACGGGCAGAGGGGACAGCCCAGGACGGGCTGCACCACTCCTGCCAGGCTCCTCCATTCGTCCTCCCCTCATGTCCACATTGCCTGCCCCTTGTGGCCACCTGTCCCATACAGTGGCAGGACTCACTGGGCAAAGTGAGCGCACTTCTGAGCCCAGGGCCGACTCCTGCCTCACAGTGTTCCTCACGCGTCAGTGTGCAGCCCCTTGTCTGCTCCCGACGATGGCCTGTGTTGGCCCACGCAGCACAGGGGCTGAAGGCTGCTAGGGCAGAGTCAACCACCGACTCCCAGACACAGGGTGCTCTGAATTTTCATTCAGACCCTGGCAAAGGCTCCACCCGAGCAGTGCCCACCCCTGGCCTGACCTGGCCTTTCTCTGTGGGGGCCTCCTGAGAGGCAGGAGCCTTACCACGTCTTGGGGCAAATGGGAAGTTGGAAAGGGTTCCCACGTGGAGGAAAAAGGATGCCTCCAGTGGGCCTCCTCCTACCAAGCGCCTGATGGGAACATCTGTGGCCAGCAGGACAGGTGGCTTGTGCCCCTGAGGGCTCAGACCTTCCTCGTTGGGCTGCTTCAGTCACGAGGACAGGTCTGGTGCCAGTGGACAGCAGCCCATGAGCTGAGCCGGGAGTCCATGGTACAGAGTCCGCCCAGGCTCTGGACTGTTCCTGCTCTGCTCAGGCCTGCGGCAGGGAGCAAAGGCCGCTGCTGGCATGGGCACACTGCTGAAAGGGGCCTCTGGCCCCACAGCATGGGACCCTAGAGCTGTCCCCTGACTGGCTAATGCTCCCACCCCCACAGATGTGGCCCACACAGATATCAGCTGGAGGCGTGGCTGCACTTACAGCTGTCCTCTTCCTCCATGAGCATGCTGACCACGTAGCAGCTGTAGACAAAGCCCAGGAGCTGGAAGACATCGAGAGCCAGCAGTGAGGCTGTGAGGCACGCTCACTGGGGCGCCATCGAGGGTGTGTGTGGCAGCACCAAGGCCCTGCTTCGCTGGGGCCTCAGTTTCTTCCTCTGTGAAATGGAACCGCAGATGGATCTGCATGGCCTCCTAAGTCCCTGCTCCAGGCAGCACCTGCTTCTCCCTCCGACCCACTCAGTGAGGACAATGGGATGGTGCCTGTGGTGTAAATGAGCCCCAAGTGAGGCTCCAGGGCACGGGGTCAGGCCAGCATTATACCCCTGTACAGTGCAGGGTGTCCTGAGCCACTGCAGATGCGGGGCTCCAGCACAAATGGGACAGGCTGTGACCCACACATGCACACAGCTCAGGAGATCCCAAGCAGGCCTCAGGTGACAGGGACACTTAGGCTGATGGACAGGGCAGGGAGCAGCCAGAGCCCAGTGTCATAACAGGACAGCAAACTGCACGGCATCACGATAGCTGACCAGGTCACCCTAGTGGGATCTCAGAGGCCACCTCAGCCCAGCTTGTCATGAGAGAAGCACACAGAATGTGGAAGTGTTGAGAGGTCCCAGAGCAGCCGAGGTCTGGTGTGGTGGCCCTCAGCCCAGGAGGGAGGTCAGGCCCATGCCCACTGGGCAATGTCCTACAACCTGCCCCTGGCCCACAGGAGCTTGGCTGGCAGTGTGGACAGATGCAGTTTCTGACTGGGTTGGCCAGTGGGGAGCCTAGAAGGTAACTGGAAGGAGACGCAGACCACATGCCTGGCCACTTTCCTGCAGGGCTGCCCCTGCCCAGCACAGCTCCTGGGGTTGGTGGCCCTCGGTTCCCACATCCCACCAGGCCCAAGGCGCTGTGACAACACAGAGCCTCAGCTTCATAACCACCCCATCCTTCCCCCACGCCAGCCACAGGCTCCGTCTGCCTCACCACCTCCCCAAGGACTCGGGACACACAGGAAAGACACTGGAAGGGGTGCTGGCTGGGGATCTTGGAAAGAGAAGAGGTGTCCTCAGGGGCACCACAGCCAGCGGAGCACCCGCTAGGCAGGAACACAGAGAAAGGTGGCCACACTGGGGACTGCACAACTGAGGGCCGTCAGAAGGAAGCAGGACTTCCTGGGTGCCGATCTGGCCCCTCCACTAAGCAGCACTAGGCCTTAGGGAATTCGCTTGCAGTCATGAGAGCTGCAGTACCAGGGCACCAGGCCCGACCACCATGGTTGCTGTCATGAGAGAAGCACACAGAATGTGGAAGTGGTGCCTGGAGAGGCCAAGTCTTGCAAGGTCTGGTCTCGGCCAGCCTGCGGCACCAGCGCCAACCCCACTGAGGTCCGGGAGGCACAGCCCGGCCTTGCCTTCTCCCCAGGAGATGAGAGCTTCTGAGCTGGGGCCCCCAGCGCTCCTGCAGCTCTGGGAGTAGGACTCTCCGTGCCCACTAGGGCAGCACAAGTCCACCAGGCCACCTTAGGAACAAATGTGTTGCAACAGGGCTCACTGTGCAGCCACACTAGCCCGGCTGGGGTCTCTGCCCCTCTCCCAGCCCAGCTGACATCTGCCTCGAAGGTGGCCAGGCTTCTCCCTCCCTGCCTGTGCTGCCCCTGGAGCTGGAGATACAGGAGCCTCTGTGAGGACCCCCAGCCTGCTTCCCTCACGCCCTGGATGCGGCTGTTTTGGCCTGCCTCCCACCCACAGCAGCAGCAGGAGGCCAGGGTGAAGCCTGAGGTGTGTGTTCAGCTGGGAGCCACAATACCTAACCTGCTGGGAGGAGCAAGAGGGAGGCTAGTTCCTCCACACGCAGCAAAGGCTCAGCCCCAAGTGGGGCAGGCTAAGGCCCCGGTGCCTTGTACCCTCTCTGTTTCCTCATCGCCCTTCCTGACGCTCCCCACTCACCGCCACCAGGATCTGCAGGCTGCTGTGCAGGGCCTCCACGTGGCCAGGCTCCAAGGAACAGCCAGTGCTGGACACCAGGGCCTGGCCATGCAGCGGCCTGAGTCCAGCTGGGGATGCTCCCTCATGCAGACAGCCCGGCCCATGTTCTTGCCACCAGGAGCGGTGCCTGGAGAGGTTGAAGGTCAGGAGCCCACTGTCCTGAGGGCAAGAGGGCAGGACTGGTCAGTGCAGAGGAGGGCAAGGGTGCTTCCCATCAGCACAGGTTCCAGCCCTCAGCCCTCGTACCCCGGGTTTTGGGAGGCTTCCTGTACCTGCAGACCTAGGGTCACTCTCACAGTGACCCTGCCCCCAAGTCTCCAGCCAGAGCTGGGCTTGTACACACACTCAGCTTCCTTAGCCTCCCCCTGCAGCTCCTGTGTGGCCCCACAAACCAGGGCTAGTCTGTCCTGCTGGGCATCGGTGTTGGTAGTGGTCAGAGCAGACAGCAGCAGGAGCCCCAGGCCACCCTGGGCCCCAGGGCCCTGTGCAAGGTGCCTGGAGCAGCTGGCTCACCCTGAGGTTCGCCCAAACAGGCGACCACAGATGGCCAGGACAGGAGACGCACTCGGTTACGGAAGGCAGAGCCCACTCTCCGCACCCTGGCCCTGCTCAGCCTTTCCAGTTTCTTTTCCGCATGCTTCTACCAAGCCGGCCTCTCCCTCCACACCGTGAGGCCTGGGCTCCAAGGTCTCCCCCTCCAGGAAGGCTTTGTGGTGTGCTTCGCAGCCAGAGGCCCCAACCTGCCTGCTGTCCCCACAGCAGCCGGTCCACACCTTCCACCGACCATAAATCACTTTCTCACTTTACTGGCACCAACTTGGCCAGGGAGGTCTCAGTGTTGGAGACAGAGCCATGCACTGCCCAAGTCCCCTCCACTACAGAGAGGCGCACAGTGAGCAAACACACACACACACACACACACACCCCTAGTGTCACATGGTGACCAGGCCAGGGGTCCCCGCTGACAGGTCTGTTTGCAGCCCCCTCCCGTCTTTACTCACCCTTGAGAGGCCCCCCACTTCCAGGTAGAAGCAGATGATAAAGACATTCCAGGTGACCCAGACGGCTGCCCACACGACGTACTAAAGAGATGAGAGAGGAGAGGGGAAGAAGGTGAGCCCTGCGGTCAGCTACCTGCTTTTATATAGCCCCTTGGAGATCCACAGCAGGGTCTGGGGCTCCTGGAGCCTGGGGCACTCAGCTCAGAGACTTCCTCGAGCCTTGCAGTGCCCTCAGAAGCACCATCTTCCAGAATTCCAGGTGTCCAGGCTGGAGGAAGTCTGAGCCGAGGTCTGGATCAATATGTGTTCTGGTGGCTTTGAGGGGAGCAGGCCAGGACAGTGACAGGGGACACCCCATCCTGGTCACCACCCACAGTGGACTTACCACCATGATGTAGCGCGGCCGGTACTGGATGGTGCCAAAGAGCCCCAGGATGACCACGACACTGTGCACAAAGTTGGCCAGGATGGGTGCCCACTGGTAGCCCAGGAAGTCAAATACCTGCCTTTCCAGAATGGTGACCTAGAAGCAGGAGGGAAGTGAAGGCCAGCGACCCTAAAGGAGGCCTCAAACCTCCCCGCCAGGCCTGAGGTCCAGGATCCCTTAGGTCCAGGTCTCTCTCCTAACTGCCCCCTCTGGCTCTATTAGAGGAGCTTTGTCAGCCACACTACAAACTCCTGCTTAACTCTCACAGACACAGAGGACCTGCTGCTTTTCTCTTCTAATGAAAATCTCCAAGTAAAGTCAGGCATAGAAGCATATATGTATAACTACAGCACTCAGGAGGCTGAGGCAGGAGGAACCTCACAAGCCAAGGCCAGCTCAGACTACATAGGGAGACCTTGTCTCAAAAAACAAAGAAAAAATGAACAAACAAACAGAACCAATCAAAAAATACTCCAAATATATTTGGGAGGCCCTGAGTGTCACCACTGGAGCAACCCTCCCCGTCCGCAGCTCTAAATTCCAGGTGGCAGGGGCAGATAAACAGGAGGCACCAGCCCACACATGACGCTCAGGTGCTCCAGGGCAGCAGAGACCCGACTCCCCCCATGGCGCTGGGCCTACTGTCTCCAGCTCTGTAGCTGCCTGGGGGACAGTGAACCTAGGTGAGGTGTCTATGCACAGACAGGCTGGCTGCACCTCCATTTCCGGTACACTCAGGAGACCTCTGAGGGCTCTGCAGACACTGCCCTTTGGGGAGGTAGACAGAGGGACCAAGAGGAGGGAAGGAGGAGTCCAAGGGGTGCAGGGTTTTATACCTCGGGGAGATGAACTGATTTAGCAAAGCCAGGACACTGAAGCATCCATCCATCTATCTATCCACTCACCCATCCATCCATTCACCCTCCACCCATCCACCCACCCATCTGTTCATCCATCCATCCATCCACCCACCCACCCATCCATTCATCCATCCATCCACCCACCCACCCATCCATTCATCCACCCATCCATCCATTCACCCACCCATCCATTCATCCATCCACCCACCCACCCATCCATTCATCCACCTATCCATCCACTCATCCATCCATCCATCCATCCATCCCACCCACCCATCCATCCATTCACCCATCCATCCATTCACCCACCCATCCATTCATCCATCCACCCACCCACCCATCCATTCATCCATCCATCCACCCACCCACCCATCCATTCATCCACCCATCCATCCATTCACCCACCCATCCATTCATCCATCCACCCACCCACCCATCCATTCATCCACCTATCCATCCACTCATCCATCCATCCATCCATCCATCCCACCCACCCATCCATTCATCCACCTATCCATCCACTCATCCATCCATCCATCCATCCCACCCACCCATCCATCCATTCACCCATCCATCCATTCACCCACCCATCCATTCATCCATCCACCCACCCACCCATCCATCCATCCATCCACCCATCCATCCATTCACCCATCCATCCATTCATCTACCCATCCATTCATCCATCCATTCACCCATCCATCCATTCATCTACCCATCCATTCATCCATCCTCCCACCCACCCATCCATTCATCCATCCATCCATTCATCCATCCATCCATCCATCCATTCATCCATCCATCCATTCATATCCATCCATCCATCTGTTCATTCGTTCATCCATCCACTCAAGCCATCTTTCACCAGGCTCCCCATCCATGAGCTACGACACAGACAGCAATGGAAAACACCACTAGACCCACCTTTGGAGGCTGCTTTTGGGAGAGAAAGCTGTGTCCAGCAAGGGCTGGAAGGGGCTGGCCACATCCAGGAGGGACAGTAGGGCCAAGGGCAGCATTCCCCAGGTGCTGGGGACTCCGGCTCCAGTGCTAGGAGACACTGGGACAGCTAGAGATGGTCCCCAAGCCAGCATGATATCTGGTGCTCTCAGGAAAAAGTCTCATGGCTGCTGAGGGGTCCCCGAGATGGGCTGAGATCCAGCACTGGCCGGGATGGGCGGCAGCCAGAGCAGGGAGAGCAGAGGTAAGGGGCAGCCCCTCCAACATGGTCTCATGGCGCAGTGGCTGGGGGCGGAGCTGCCTGCAGTCACAGGGTCAGCAGGCTGCAGGCATCCACCCCAAGCAGAATACTGAATCCTTCCTGCCAGCTCCACTCCACTGTTCTAGGCTGCATCCTCCAGCCCAGGAAGCAGCTGCCACGGGGACACCTCTAGCCACAGCCCAGAGCCCAGAGCCCAGGGTTCATTTGCAGGAAGTCTCAGGAGGAGCCTGCAGAGGCTGGGACTCCTGGAGACCACGGAGACAGCTGGAGGGCCTGCTGGGTGGAACAGCAGGGGCACAACTGCTGCCAGCACCAGGTCCTTCCAGGGGACTCAGTTTTCTTGGAAGCCATACCTTCCAGTCACAGAGAGCTCAAACCCACACATCCAGCCTCTCCTCAGTGGCTCTGGCTGTCAGGGGTGGAAGTACAGCTCACGTAGGTTCCCCGGGCTGAAGACACCTGTATTCTCACCCTCCCCAGGGCAGGGTAAGCCCTGGTGGTGCATACTGCAGCTGGAGCAGCTCCTGGGGGGCAAGGCCTTGTACATTCCCTAGCTTAGTGCCAGCCAGGCAGCACCTCTGTCTTGTTCTACCCACACTGGTGCCTCTGCCATCCTGGGTGGAATTGCGCCCACAGCAGCTCTGCCCCCACAGGTGCTCTCCCTAGGCTGAATGGAGCGTGGAGGGTTCCCTCTCTGTCCCCCACTCTTACAGCATCCAAGTCTCCAGCAGGGAGCCTCAGAGCAGGAGCCACACCCAGGGAGGAGAGAGAGGGGACAATTCCCCCTAAGGGACAGGGAGTCGGTGCTCTGGCCTCCCGATGAAGCCTGCTGTGTCCTTCCTCAAAGCATCACTAACAGGAGCACACAGAAGGGACCATAGGGGAGCTCTCTCATGTCCCAAGAAGCAGGTGAGCCTCCCTCAGTAGTCTCAAGCACAAGGAACTGGAAGTCATAACCTCGCCATGGCAGGAAGGCAGGGAGAAGCCACCCTGGCGAAGGTAGGGTCTTCCTGCCCGTTGACCCCAGAGAGAAGCAGAGAGGTGCCGTCAGGTAGATTCAGAATGACCCAGGCCACCCAGGATGAAAAGAGCCAGGCAGAGAAGCATCCCTAGGAAGCCTCAGAGGCTCCCCCAGAAGATGATGGGAACGCTGACTCTGAGTACCCCACACCACACAAGGAGAGGACGCTGAGGCGGTGAAGGGCCGGGCTTGGCCACTCACTCAGCAGGCTGGGGGGCCATAGAGGCCCTGAGCAGGGTCTGTGCACCACCCATCACCTCTTAGACATGGTTCAGCCGGCTCGGCTCTTAGCCTGGGTCGGGAAGTCCCTGCAGCTGCTGAGACAGGGCCCGGTCGTCACACTCACCCCCCTGCTCATGGTGGGACTTGGAACAGCCCAGATGAGAGTCCATCTGGATCTCTGGCTTCCCACAGACATGGGGCACGCAGGGCCCTGTGACCCTGCAGGGCACGCAGACATGGGGCTGGGCCCTGTGCTCCAGCACCACTGGCTCTGCAGGGAAAGCCTGGGCCTGCACAGCGGCCGGTGAGAGGAAACAAGGCCTTGCACTCCATGGACATCCTGCCCGGCCCTTGCAAGCTAGCCCCAATGGTCTTCTGCATCCTAAGGACCAGGCTGTCTGTCCAGCTTCCGCTCAGAAGTGACCAGAGGGCTTGTCTGGGAAGAATGTGGAACCTGCGTGTGCATTAAAGTATAGAGCACAGTGTGCACAGGCATGTGAGTGTGCATGTACACATGTGTAAACAGATGCCTGAGGAAGAGGCAGACTGACGCACCATGTTGGGTCACGGGGACTGTGGAGCTTCTTTGCCCTGCTGTCCCCAGATGTTCTGTCATGTGGTGGTGTTTATACTTTTTCTGAGGGAAAGATTCTTTCCGCAAGCCACTGAATCCCAGCAGGTCGCCCCTCCTCAAACTCAGGCCCATCCCGACAGCTGGGCCTGGAATGTGGGTTTGGGACCCATGACTTTGACCCAGATGGGGGTGGTGTTCAGCAGAGCCAGGACCACACAGCCTGGTGGCCAGCTGAGCAAGGATGCCACTGCTCAGCATGGGCCCTGGATCTCAGCCACTCGAGGGGAAGTGCTGCTGGGCCTCCTTAGGCAGCAGCTGGCTCCACTGCTGATGGGCCCTCCAGACTGGCCCCCAGGGCAGTCTCAGCCTGGCCTGGTCTGGATCCAGGGCCTTTGCACAATGAGCTTTCAGGGAGCAGGTGTCACTAAGGCCCACAGCCCTGGGCCACAGGCCTACATCCTACATCTATGGCCCTGTCACCCCCAGATCCACCTGCCTGCTGCCCCTGCTTGCCTCAGCCAAGCAGACCCTCAGATGACTCCCTCTCAAGCCCAGTGCTCCTTCCCCAGTGCCCTACGCAGCTGCCTTTCTCCCAGACCACTGCCTGGGAAAGCCCAGTGGCTCTGGCTCCGTGTCCCAGCAGACGAGGCCAAGTAGCTCTGGTCTCCAGCCAAGGGCCCCATTCTTGGCAGGCAAAGCCCCTTCTCTTTCATGGACCAGGCACCTCAGTCAGTTCCCAGCTTGCCTTCCAGGTCCTCCCCAGCTCCCGGCACCAAGAGCCCTTGTAAAGGACAAGCCCTGGGCGTGATGGACCTGTGGAAGGACTGGTGTCCACCCTCGCAATCCCACCCCCTACCAAGGTTGGCACACCAGCCCCTGCTCTGCGCTGTCCAGCACCTGCACCAGGGAGGAGACCTCAAGCTGCCGTGACCAAGCTCCCCAACACCTGCCCCTCAGGAGGTGGCAGCTCCACAGCTCTAAATGTCCTGACCCATGGCCACCTCGAACAAAGCCCCGAGTGGTGGGGTGTGTCAGTTCTGACTGGTTCAAGGGGGTTGAGGGATATAGAGGTCACCCCAGGACACCCACATGGGCAAGGCAGGGGCCTAGGACTTCAGGCCCGGGCTTCCTCGGAGGAGGCTGCAGAGGCAGTGAGCATCACAGTAAGCCACAGCTCAGAGGTCATGGGTCTTGACAGCCGCTGACTGTCACTGCCAATAGGAAGCAGAGGAAGTGGGACACTGCCCATGGGTCCAAGCTGGCAGCTCTCTAGTGCAGCTGGAAACACCATGGCTGGGAGAGACACCTGGGACCTACAGCATCCATCGGCAGTACATGGTAGCAGCAAGGATCCTCCATGCCTGCCCTGGGCAGTCACACGGTGACCTGCGCATTGCTGGGCAGCACTAACCAAGGCCAGAGAGCATCTTCGAATGCTTCATTGCTTCTTGGCCCAGAATGAGCCTCCTACATCTGGAGCACCCTCCCTGAGGGCTGGGCTCTGCTGGTCCCTTCCCCACAGCAGAGGAGACCTTGCACAGAAGTTTGTCCATTGTACTCATTTTGGGCAAAGAAAACAGCATCTTCTTGCCTCTGTGCCCCGAGCCTGTGAAGCAGCCATGAGCAGGATGGACTCAGCCTTGACCCCGGCCGGCCTCTACTGACCGGCTGCACCATGCCACTGAGGGGTCAGACCCCAGGGATCCCATAAGTGGGGAGGTTCTGCAGGCCCAGATGGGTGTGGCTTGGAGACTCCAGGGCACAGGTGTGACGGGGAGGGGTGTGGGACCCCGGGGCAGGGATGAGTGTGAGCGAGAAACTGGAGGGGGCGGACAGGACCTATGGGACCTGCACATAAGTTGGATTCACTCACACACAGCTGGCTAATCCCGAGCCCCAGGGCTCCCCTCTCCCCAGAGGACATTACTCACAGCAGGGGTGCCCACCCTGCCTGTGCCCCACCATGAGGATCAGAGGATGGGAGGATGAAGATGGCCCCAGCCCATCCCTGGGGCACCCGAGGGCCCACTTGGCTTCCCCTGGCACTGTCAAAGGAAGCCGCAGACAGGTACTGGGACCAGCTGCATACAGCCTCAGGGTGGCCTCAGGAATGGAGACCTGAAGCCTAGGGGTGTCCCAGAAGTGGGGTTCCGTGCTGGGCCCTTCCTGTCACTTGGCGTCCTTGAGGCTGAGTTAGGCAGGCGATGGAGAGCAGGAGGTCCTGCCAGGCCCAGCCCCAAACCCCTTCATGGGCCCCAACTCCCTGGGCACAGCAGAGGGAGGTCTGGGAACGGCTGAGCAGGCCTGGATGGCTCAGAATGGTCGAAGTTCACACTATTCTTTCAGGAGAGATGCTTGGGCCCTTTGTCCTGTAACTTAGTAACAAGAAAACTCTCCTGCTCCTCCAAAAAAGAGAGCTCTGCTCCTCAAGACACACCCCTAGCTTTCCCCTGCCCCACACTCGCAGACAGTGTACAGAGTGGTGGGTGGCAGTGACCAGCTTCCTCCCAAGGCAGGAAGGGATGGCCCCAACTTCCAGCTGGGCCAAGACAGCCTTTGACAGCTCCCGCTGCACTGGCCCTATGCTCCCTACGCTAACAGCAAGGGGACAGATCTGCCCAGGCTCTGGCTTGCACCCTCTCCCCAGGAAGCCCTGTGCCCTCCAGCCAAGATGACTCTTCCCTCTTGGGGCCAACCAGATTTCCAAGTGTCTGTCCAGAATGTCCATCTGTCTTTGGTCCACAGCAGACAAAACTAGCAATGTGACCCAACCTGACCGCTCCACACCTCAGGGCCACATCCTTCTCGGGCTCCTATTCTAGTTGAACACCTGTTTCTCTAGCCTGTACCCCAGCCCACATCTCAACCAATGGAGAGCATCTTCATACCAAACGCAACACAGGAAAACCAGTTAGCAGCCCCCCAAATCCACTGCACTTCCTCTCGCCTAGGCTGAGGCAGGCTCCAAGCCTCTGCATCAGCAGGGCTCATTTCTGCCCTCCCCTGTGGTACAGGGTATGTGACCAGACATTGGAGCCCCTCTGAGAGACAAACCCTGCAGGGTCCCAGGGCCCCCAAGCCAGGCCTCTGACTTGAAGGGGGGACTCAGCACCTGTGCTGCTCCACACCGCACAGCCAGGTTGCTCAAGTTTTCTCTTTAAAACTTCTTAGAAACAGCCATTCCTTGTCTGCACCCTCTAGCTCCATAAGGAGAAGCAGAGGCGGCCAGCTGAGCCCAGGGCCCACCCCAGCCTTGGAGACAACAAAGCAGCATTTCCTTTTTAAGACCGGATCCAGCGCCCATTAGCATCCTCTGGGCCTTCCAGGCTTAGGCAATCCACCTTTGTCCAACCCCCTCCTCCCAGGGCAGCCAGCACAAGGTCCAGGTTTCTGGTCCCCGGGGATCCAGACTGACTCAAGGACCGTAGAAAGTTGGCCAAGTGGCACCAAGTTCTCTGACAAAGCTCTGACCCAGGGGCCAGGGCATCTCCAGGCACGAAGATGTGGGCACAGCCCTGGGAACCCGGCTCGCCCTTTCTCATCTCCCTCCAGGACCAGGACCCTCCCACGCAGCTGGGGCAGGGCACTCCCACTCCCGAGCACACCCCCTCCTCAAGGCGCATCGCAGGCACGGGACTTGCTGCCCTTTCTGCATCTGGGGCTGCTTTGGCAAAGCTCCTGGCGCACACTCGTCACATGCACCTTTGGACACTTGTGGGCAAGGCACACAACAGGGTCCCTCGCTGACTGCGCGCGCCCACGGGACTTGTGACGCGGCCCGCCGAGGGTCGCCCCTGCCGAACGGCTTTTGTCCTGGACAAGGCCCTCCAGCTACTCCCTGGCACCTGTCCCCGCAGCTCGGGACGCAGCGGCGGGGTTCCTCGCTTCGCACAGGCGGGGCCGGGTGCCCGCTGCCGAAGCAGGTCCGAACCATCGATTCCGGAGCTCCCCGAGCTGGCGCGGAACCGCGGGCCCTGACCCGGCACTCACCAGCTGCAAAGTGCAGAGCGCGAGGAGCGTGCAGCGGCCAGAACACGAGCCCATGCTGTCCACGCCGCCACCGGTTTGCACCCGAGCCGGGTGGGCGCGCCCACTCCCCAGGCCCGCCCCATAGACCCCGCCCCACTCCGGCTCCGCCCCGGCCAGCGGGTCAGCCGCAGACCCCCAACCCCTCCAGCTGACAGCTGCACCCGCTCCACTCACCCCTTAGCACTGAGCAGCCCCTGGGGCTTTGGCAAGAATGGGGCTTGGACCGCTCCTTAAAGCGGCGATGAAGCGGCTGTCGGGCTGCATAGGGCAGTGGGGTGCTCAGAGGCTCCGACAGGATCTGCTGCGAGTGGTGCCTGAGACTGCCCTGGGTCCCTCCAGGAGGACCCCCCATGCCTCCCCATGCCCTGCCCCCATCACCGCAGGCGCACTGGGCATCATCATCTCTGCCCCGACCCAGAGCAGTGCACTGGCTGGGCCCCCTGCCACGTCATGAATCTCTTGGAGCAGCCCTCTCTGGTTTGGTTGATGCCCACAGGGTCCACAGAGCAGCATGGAGGGCAGATGTGGGGGCGGGCAGGGTGAGGAAGGGCCCTCAAAACCTCAGACGGAGGCCCTCTGACAGAGTGCTCAGTTGCTGTTCTTCAATTGGGCAGTCAGAGGTGGGGTGTAGGCAGTGGCACACAGATGCCATCAGAGTCCCCTAGCCTTTGCTCCAGCGTAAGGGGTGGGGACATCATGTGCCTGTGTCTCTGGGCAGCATCACGGACATGTTGGCCACTCTGGCCCCGGATGGTAGAGTGCCTCTGTCTTCCACCGCTGCAGACGTCCCCCGACATGAACATGTGTCCACTGGGATGGCCCCTCACTGTGTAGGAGGCAGGCTCACCACATCAAAAGCCAGATAATCACCAAGTTCCCTTCCTCGGGAATGTCTGAAAGTTGCGTCATTTGTAACTCTGAGTCTTACGTTCCTTGGATACATACATGTAGTGTAGAGCAAAGAAAAAGAAACACACAAAGGCTGTGAATAAACCACTTTCACTTTTACAGGTACCTTAAATGGCGGCGCAGGCCAGGGAGCACTGCTCCAGCCATCTGTTTGCCTGTACGCGTTCCTCAGGTGAGGTCCACTTGCGTCCATGGAAGTCAGCACCCCAGGACTCACTGCAGCATGTATGCAGTGCTGGGTGGCACAGGCGGGCTGGCAGTGTCACACTCCCCGGGTGTGTTCTCACATGGCCACTGGCAATCACACGTGGGCAGTGGCCTTTGCTGCACAGCCACAGGAGGGAGGAGGCGACACCCTGCCGTCTACCTCTCTGCCTCTGGCTGCCAAGGTGGCCAAGCTCATGTCTGAGTGCTGGGCAGCAGGGTGGTGGCAAGCATAATGTGGTCCCTTCTGAGAGTTTGTGTGGCCCATGCCTGCGTCCTCCTGGTCACTGGCCGGGGGGGCCCAGCTTGTGTGTTTGCTGGTTCTCCTGACAGACAGCTGGCAGCCTTGGGCTCTGGTGCTTTGCAATTCCATGGTCCTGGTGAGGCCTCTGCTAGGCACTCCAGGCCTCTCCCACTGGGTGAGGCAGATTCCTGCTGACAGGAGAACAGACACACTCAGGAAACAGAGAGCTCGTCCGGAGACACACCAGGGCCCAAGAGGCCAGGGCCTCCGCCTTGGGCCAGTTAGTTCACCTGTGGAGCCTGGCTTCTCAGAGCCAAAGCAGAGGCCTGGCATAGAAGGTTTCTGGGCTTGATGTGGAGCTCAGATCACTTAGGCATGAGGAAAGAGCAGACTGAAACTTAGGGGAACAGGGTCTGTGCAGTATCCCTCATTTACCTGACAGCATGACTGCACGGCCCAGCCCTGTCCAGCCCCTCCACAACACCCCACCATTCCACCCATCTCCTGCTCCCCACCGGGCAAGCCCTGTGGTCTGGTGACAGCAGTGGTGAATATGTAGGGATGAAAAATTAATGATGCTGTGGTCACAGGGGCTGGACGTGCAGGACCAACATACATCGGTCTACTTGTCCACTGACCACCGAGGCTGGGGATCTTGTCTGATCCTCAGTTTTAGGGAGATCACACCCTTAAGAGGAAGATGAGGAGGAGGAGTCAGAGGAGACAAAGGTGGTAAGAATAATAAGGGTCAAAACAGGATGTGACATTCGAGGTGCCAGAGTTCTGCAAACTGCAGGCGTGGGCCTCCCTGGGTTCCGGTACAGGCATGGGCTCTTCCCACACAGGCACGGAGATCACAGGCTATTAGGACAATGTACAGAGCGCAACCCAAGCCACCTGACACTGGCTGATGCCACAAATGGAAACAGACACCAGACAAGGGCCATGCAAACATGGGCAATGACAGGCAATACCAGGGCCTTTCGAGGACGTCTAACGGCAGGACTGGCTGGCCACACTCGAGACACTGGGCTGAGTCCTGGAAGCCTGGACGGACTCCCTGCAGGAAGCCTGCAGCAGAAGAAGGCCCCACTGCCTGAGGCCCTGCAGGAGGACAAAGCACACACCCTCCAAGCAGGTCCACCAGTGCTCCCAAGAGCCTCTCTGGGGACCCTGCGGGCTGGGAGCTGTCCAGGATGTTTTAAAAATTCTCTTTTGAAACTTCTTTACTATTAGCAACTCAGGGATCAAAGAGGAAAGGCAGTGTCAGGCAAGGCTGGTGTTTCTTTCTTAAGCACTTGGTTCCTTAAACAAACTGGAAAAAAAAAATCAAAGCGATTAACAGCTGGGCGCAGGCCTGTTTATGTCCGCCCTCTCTGAGGGCCACTGCCCAGCCCTCCCTGGTTCCCTACCTAGTCCTCCCTCTCCTGTGCCAATGATTCCCCAATGTCACAGAAAGAGAGTGTTTCCACTGCTGTAACAGGACATCTGCCCCAGGTCATTTATAAAGAACAGACTGTTTCCTACCATTCTGGATCTTGGGAAGTTCACAATCAAGGCACCAGCGGGTCTGGTGTCTGGTGAGGGCTGTTCTAGCTCTACGGGAGTGCCTATTATTGAGTCCTTGCTGGAGGAGAGCAGGAGAGCCCACTTCAGCCTGGAGCCTTTTGCAAGAGGGCAGATGGCACTTGAAAGCTAGAGCCCCGAGACTCATCTGCCCCTGAAGCCACATCTCTGAGCGCCTTCAGGTGGGGGTTCCCATTCAGCATGTACACTGAAGGGGTCCACAGCTCTCACCACAGCAGGGAGTCCGTGGGAAGACTCCTCCAGCCAGGGCTCCCGCTTCGGAAGCACAGTAAATATCTAGCATTTGGCATAGTCTCCCTACCTCCATTGCTGAAGTTGTGCAGGTGAAGAAACCCCGAGACACCCTCCCTCAGTGTCTGCTCGGAGTCGCTAGACAGGGCCATTCCCAGTCCCTGCAGGAGCCACAGAAGGGTGCCCAGCCCTCTTCCTCTTCTTACCTACTGCAGTTTGTTTTTTTTTAATCGGTACCGGGGATCAAACTCACAACCATACGCTTGCAAGGCAGGTGCTTATGCCACTGAGCTAAATCCCCAGCCCCTCCTCCTGCAGTTTTACAAGAGTCTTTGAAAGAAGGCACTGTCTGCGCTCCTATTTTACAGATGAGCAAACTGAGGCTTGGGCATAAGTGACTTTCCTGTAGCCTGTAAATGGAGGAGATAGGATTTGACTCCAGGTCTCTGCAACCTCACAGCTGGGCTCGGGGGACGGAGCTTTGGTGCTTGAAGGAAATTCCTGGGTGCCCAGGCTGTGGGCATGGGAGGGCTTTGAGAGGAGGGTCCCAGGATAGTCAGTGGCCAGCTAGCACCCTGGCCATCCCAGTACACTTGCTGGAAGGAGAAGCGGCCCGCCTGGGGCTGCAGCAGTCAAATCAGTGTGGCTGCCTGGCCTGCAGTTCTCGTGGCTGATCGCAGCTCCAGTGGACTCCTTGTTTTGATGTGCTGCATACTGCCCAGTCCTCTTACAGCCTGGCCCTCAGGGTGTCCACCGTCAGCTTTCCTGAGTCTCCTCTGACTGACCTGGGTGGCCCTCCACAGACTCCTCCTGGGCTCTAGCCCTGTGTCTGCGATTGATGCAGTCCCCAGCACTGCGTCCAGGGCTCTGCTCCCTCCCAGACCTCACTCCAGCCTGACCTCCACTGTGAGCCAGCCCTGGACACCAGCAGTTTGGCATCTTCCTGCTGCCCCTGAGGGGCTCCACTCTGGTCACACCCAGCTCCGAGCTCAGGGCTCCTATGTTCCTGTCTGCTTCTCTTCCTTGGTCCTCCCTGTCCCACCGAAAGCAAGTCCCACCGAAAGCAAGCCCCACCTTCGGCAGAATCTGACACCCTGTCTGACACCCTCTCCCCCTCCAGCTCCATGCTGAGCTCCTGCCTCCCCTGACAAAGGTGCAGCTGCCTCACCTGTCACTGTACTGCCTGCCTTCGTCCCGGCAGCGGTCCAGGGAGCAGAGGGTGTTGAACTGGAGGCCTCGGTGGCTCCCTGAGCACTCAGAATGAGACATCCACGTGACACACCTGGCACCACACCGGATGTACATGCACAGCTGCACCCCCTGGGCCGGTGCTTTCACCCAGCCCCACCCCAGCAGCGTGCACCTCGTCGACATCTCTGGAGGAAGTAGCAGCCCAGTCTGAGAGGCCTGCAGACATGGACAGAGACCTGCCCACCCATCATCAGCATCTGGCCCACCCTGTTGGCAGCTCTGCTGGCCCCAGGAGGGGGGCCTTCCCACCTTCAGGAACCCCAATGGTGCCCTCAGGCGACCCACTGAGGCGAGTCCCCCATACAGCATCTGGCATCTGCTCCCCAACTCAGTCCATTCTTGCTGTCGAGGCTTGAACCTTGCCACCATCCCCGCAATGACCCAGGCCCAGGAGTGGAATCGAGAGGCTTATGGGGGGTGCTTCTGTACAGGACCCTCACAAAAGACAGCAGGAGGGTAGGCCTGAGCCAGCCCGGGGACGAGGGCCCAGGGGAGCTGACGGGACTCCCGCAGCTAGAGGGAAGAAGAGTGTGAGGAGCCTTCAGGGGCTGCAGGGCCTGGCAGCAGGGCAGCAGGGGTGGGGCCAAGACCAGGCCAGAATCCAAGTTCCCCAAGGCCTCCAGTGCCGCCTGTAGGACTGGCCTTCATTCCGTGGGTGGACTACGTGGTCTTGGGGTGTGGTGGAGAGGAAGTTGTCCACACAGCACTCGGGAGGAGGGTGTCGGAGCGCTAGGGGCACAGTGGTTCTGCCCCAAGGAACTGGCTCCGGTCCTCACGGCACTCAGATGAGTGTGTGACTGAGCATGATGCCCTCCCTGCCTCTTTGGGTTTGGTCTCCCTCCTCTGAGCTTCCTGCCTCTGGGCTTGAAGGGAGCATGAAAACAAGCCGACCGGGGAGAGTGCTCTGCCCACACACAGTGCGGACACAAAATCACCAGCTCTCCCACCCAGAACCACTCAAGGTGGCTTGGGGCCTTTTCCAGAAGACCCACCTGACCTGGCAGGTCGACATTGGTGATGGTGAGGGTTTGGGACATAAAGCAGAGCTCTCTTTCCTGCACTGAGACGCTGGCTCCTGTCCCAAGAAGGACAACTCTGTGGGCCCACTCAGAGGCGGCAGGCCTAGGGCAGGCTCTCTGGAGGCACAGCCTGGGTGGGGATTCCTGTGTTAGGGTTCAGTGGAGGTGCTCAGCTCAGTGCGCCCAGGCTGCTGCAACAGGACACTATAGAGCAGGTGGCTTGTAGGCCTGGAGCCTGGAAGTCCAGGTCAAGGTGCCAGCGGGTTCACGGTATGCGGAGGGCCTGCTGCCTAACACTGGTCTGTTCCCTGTGTCCTCTGGACCGGCTGAGGTGAGGGAGTGCCCTGAGGCCCTTTTACAATGGCACTGATCTCTTCATCCTGAAGGCCCTACCTTCTAACATTGTCTCTTTGGGGGTTAGCATTCAACAAAATAAATTCTGGGAGGACAGAGGGGGCGCTCAGGAGGAAGGTGGGTGTGACACAGGTCAGGCAAAGGCAGGGGGAGGCCAAGAGGGGCTTGTGGCTCGAGGGCAGCAGCTCTGGAGCTTGAGACACCAGGGGTCAACCCCACCCACTGAGGGAGATCCCTTGTGCCCCCATCCGTCATCCACTGGGTACAGTCTGGGGGGAACGTGGCCCCAAGGCCACAGGAACCACTCTGGAAAAGGAGGTGCTGTGAGCTGTAGATGTCAGTGGATCCACATCTAGGGTGGGCGCACTGCTGAGCAAGGGGTCTGGGTGGGCAATGCAGCATCCACTGTGCCAAGAAACTCTGCCCAGGAGCCAGCACTTGCCCACAGGTATCTGCCTCTTGTCCTCCAGGATTCCTGCGTTGGGATTTGCCACATGGTGCACATGCAGCTGGGGAAACATAACAGAAGGTCAGGGGTGGGAACAGAGGGTTACCAATACGTTTGTCTCTGGACTGTGGGTCCTAATCACCGGGTCCTGGCATGGGGAGGCTAGCTCTTCCCCCTGGCCCAATGGTTTCCTCCTCAGGCCATGCCAATTCCTGTTTCCCCATGCCACTAGGCACTTCCTTTTGTTGTACATACATGCAGGAGGCTGCAAGGCCAGGGGCCTAGGCCACTTCCATCCTGCTGGCTCGCTGTACACACGGCCCCAGGTGCACCCTAAGATGCAGGTCCCAAACCCTGCAGCTGTCCTGAACCCTCTACACCTCTCTCATCTGCTGCAATGTTGTCCTCCTAGCAGCTGTCAGAAGGCAGCAGGAACTGTTGCTGATGAGGTCTCACATGGGCCTAACCGCACCCTGGAGCCAGCAAGTGCCACACACTCACTGAATGCTCAGAAGAGATGCCTCTAAACAGCAGGCTGAGGTTATTGGGGTCCTGGCCCAAACCCAACAGGCAGATGTTTTCAGGATGCACTCACTGTCCAAGGGAAGGCTGAAGGCTCTGACACCTGGGCCTGGCTGATACAGAGCAGCCTTCCTCCAAAAGGGGGAGATGCCCTGACTGGGAGGGGAGCAGCCCGGCCCCGGACCCACAGCTGGGCTGGGTTAGGGACTAAGCTCCTTCCCGTCTGCCTGGGAGGAAACAGAGAGTGACTTCCCGTGCCTTCAGTGTGACTGCAGATGGCTTCTGTCCAGGGTGTACAGTGTAAAAAGAGCAGACAAGCCTAGTGCTCTTCAGCCAATCTGGTAATGCTTGTTACACGGCACTCTAGCAAGGCTGACCAGGGCCTGGGGTAGGCGAGGCCAGGGGCTACATCCTGTGCTCCTCCGTCAGCGTCAGGACCATGTACCTTGTCCACATCTAAGCCACAGGCCTAGCAGCTGTGCAATGTGGACATGGCGGGACCTGCTCACAGGGCATCCTGGGCAGATTCCTGCCCTCAGTATACCTGTCTGCCCCTGTGTCACTGTCACTGTGCTGAAGGAGACTCACTATGACAAACCTGAGCCAGGCATGTAACCATACACGCAAGCCCCGCATACCCCAAACGCACACAAACCCACACTTTGCATGTGCCCACGCACAACAGGCTGGCCTCGCCGGCCCTGCACAGCAGCCCTTGCTGAGAGCCGCCTGCTCCCCTGGACTGGGCTGGCCTGGCTGTGGAGCAGGGTTACTGAGAGCCTGTGCCCAAGGCCATATCCACTTCCTCTGTTATTCTTTTGGGATGAAACACTGAGTTCTGACCTCCAGGACCCCGTACTGGGTTTCCCTGTGCAGAGGACATGCCTGGCCCCAGGCCTACATGCCCTGCTACTCTGAGAAGGACACAGCAGACTGCTGGGTGTGAACCTTGGGCTTCACATGCACCTCAGGCCGGCCTTGAACTTGTGCTTCAGCCCCAGATGCTGGGATTACAGGTGTGAGTCACCACACCCCTGTACTGCCTTTTTGATTTGGAACAAATTGACAAATTTTTCTGTACCTGATTACTTATCTGAGCAATGAGCTGCTACCATAAAAATGTGTACAGCTACTGCAGGTTAAACAAGAACTTCTGTCAAGCCCAAGACCTCAACTCTAGCTGGTACGCAGGTAGTAGCCAGCACTCAGGAAGGAGAGGCTTCGGTTCACGGTGGGGAAGATGAGTCCAGGGAGAGGAAGCACTTCTCTGTGTCCACGGTGAGTGCAATGCAATGCCATCTGGCTAATAGCACCCCTTCCCAGCTCCTCGTGGCCACTTACTCTGGCGACCATTATTCCTTGCTCCTATTATTCCATTTGGTGTCACAAGCAGCACTCAAGAGCCTCAGGGTGGAAATCACAGTAATGATCACATTACTATAACTGAAAATTAATGAGTTTCCCACAGCTCTGAAAGAAAACAAAATTATCTGGGTATTTTAGGAGGAGTGATAAAATGTTTCAATTGCAGCTCCATGTTCTGCACTGTACACTACTCTACTGCTGATTCCTTGTCACCCGCCCCCGTGTGAGCCTTCAGACTGTACAGGGAGCCGCAGCTGTGGAAGCTGAGGCTGCAGGCTTGCCCTGACTTTGAGAGGGCCGTATCTCTGCCTCCATGCCCGGCACCTGTTCTCGGAAAGTCCCAGTCCCAGACCGCCAATGCTGAAGGGCTGCGTGATGCAATAGCACCACGAGTTCTCTGCTTTATGATCACAAAATTGGAAGGAGCCTCCCTAGCTGGTTATTAAATGCCAGAAGCTGGCACCACCTGTGCCCTTACTAGAAATGCCTTTTTCTCTTTCACTTTCTCATCCTTAGAAAACTTAGAAATGACCTGTGTCCAATAGGTAAGTGGATAAACCAACGTGGCATATTTATTCAGTGGAATTCTACTTCACAGTAAGAAGCAGTAAGTTATTAATACATAACATGAATCAATCTCAAAAACATTATGTTGTATTGTCTCAGTAAAATAAAATAAAATAAAATAAAAGGGCTGGAGACGCAGCTCAGTGTGACGGCCCTGGGTTTGATCCCCAGTGACAGTGCCCTCGTGAAAGAAGCTATTTTAAAACACCTTTCAGTGATTATACTTTATAAAGCTTCAGGTCAGACAGAAGGTGGATAAAGAGGCGGAAACCCCACCAGGGCGATTTTCAGGGACTCTAACACTGGCTGTGATGAAGGTCCCAGGGGCTGCGCATTTGCCAAAACTCATCGAACCGCTGATACCTAAAAGTGGTCACTCTAGGTCATTCCAAAAATTACAGACAAGTGAAGAATAACACGGAAAGGCACAAAGTGAATGCAAAACCCAACATCGCTTGCAGTTAACCTCCAGGCAATCACCGTCACAGCTCACGGGAGCCCACGGTCACACCTGGCTCCCCCGGGCGGAGCGAGGCAGCACTTAGGGCCCAAGCTGAGCGAGAGCTTATTGCCACATTTTCGGCACACCGCGTGCCAGGTCCCGATCTGCCCGCTGCCTGGCTGTCTCTGTACGCCTAGTCGGAAGGGCGGTGGCCCCGACAGCGGCCGCCGGACGAACCCGGCCGCCGGGCTCCGGGTCGCAGGCGGAAGTCCCGCCCCGCCGCCTCCCGTGATGCCGTGCGAAGGGTGACGTAGCCGGAAGCTGCTGGCGGCTGGTGGGCGCCCCGCATTCCCGGTGCAGCCCGGCGGCTCCCTGCTGGAACGTGGCCTAATCGCCACCGACCCCGACCCCAGCCCCGCCCGGCGGCCCTGTCCGCCTCCTGCCAGGTGAGCGCGCGGCTCGGCGCCCCGACGCCGCCTGACTCCGCTGCGATGCCGGCGCCCCCCGGGCCCAGCCGCGTCCCCAGCCCTTAGCCTGTGTCCCCGCGAGCTCCCGGCGGTGTCGCGTAAGCCTCCCAGCCTTGCTGCCCCGCGAGACCCCTCTCCATGTGAGGCCGCCCTCGTCCCACTCGGGATCGAGAGTCGCCCACTAGTTAGCACCCTCTGCCCGAGCTCGTGCGGACACAGACGCGGCCCGGCACAGTCCACTCATCGCCTGGGATCCCACGGCTTCCACCCCTCTGGAGGAGGAAAGGGTTGTTCAGAGTCTCACAGGCTCGGCTTGCTTTCTCGTTTCCGTTTCGTCCTTTGACGTGGGTGATTGTTTTAAGGGAGGGAGGGAAAGACACAAAGACAAGACTTTTAGCACTTTTTTCATTTTACCAGTGTTTAGAACTGTGCACCTTGTCTGCCCTGTTAAACAACTCCAAGCTGAGAAATCATTCTGCTCATTTATCTTAAGTCTCTTATTCCTGTCATGCGCAGTTAGTGATGGCAGCAAAGGGGCCCCTAACTGTTGGTCCAGGGGATAAGGTAGCTCTTAGGTGTGCTTTGGCATCTGTTTCTGGGGCCTTGTCATCCCTTTCAAAGTCAAGAAATAATCTGTTCTTTAGAATGAGCACCATGTTCTTAGACATGGGTTAGTTGAGTGCCTCATTAGACAGTTCTGAGAAAGACAATTATTTCTCCCTATTAACCTTTAAATAGCCCAGGACTAAGCAGTGTCCTGAAATGTCCCTTTAGGTCTCAGAGATTGAGAATGCCCCAAGTTAAAAAACAAATGTTTTGTGGTCTGACAAGTGACTTAGTGAACTTAGTAAAAGTGAACGCATTTGCTTCTTCACACAGGGAGAAAGGAACATTTTTACCATCTGGGTTCCAGGTGTTGAGTTGCTGGACTGTTTTTCAACATAAAATAATATTTACACTCTTTTGGTTAAGATGCATTTGCTTTCATGTTATGAAACTTAACATTTCCAATCACTGAACACCTGACAGTCACCACACAGGAAAGTTCCTGTGGATCTAAGTCAAGTCCTTTACTCTCCGCGCTTTTTCTTTGTCCAGTAATTCAGCGAATATTTCACACATTTAGAATTCAGAGCAGCTTCGCAGGGTCTTGACTTGCTTTGCCTCTGTCCTGTTAACAAGGTCACGGCCCCTTTGGGCAAGCTCAGCACCATGGGAGGTTGGGCTGAGAGAGCAGCGCTGGTCCCTGACCACTGTCCCCCTACCCCAGTGTCACAGGCCCTCCTGTGGCCGCCTTGAAGAGAATGGTGGGAAACTCAGAGCGGCTCCAGCATCTGTGTGTTTATCGTTTTCAACCCAGTAAGTAGATACTTAGTGTGATTACAATATTCCGGCTGAATGAGTCAGTGTAAGTCTGACCGCTGCAGGCAGGAATAAGCATTCAGGCGTCCACCCCAACATGTGGTTTCAGGGCACTGTCCTGGCAGAGAATTACGGAGTGGAAGGGAGCCTGGGGTGAACTTTTGATTTTGTTTCCTGCAAATACAGGAAACAAATATTTCCTAATTTCAAATAGCTGTGTTAATAAGCGGGGACAGAAGGTTTGGTATGTGGAGGATCTGCATTCTTCTCAGTGAATACCTTATTTTTGCAGACTTAATATTTAAAGTGACTGAGCCTGGTGGCACATGGCTGTAATCCTGGCACTCTGAGAGGCTGAGACAGGAGGATCACAAATTCAGGCCTAATCTGAGCAATTTACTAAGTTAGTGAAGACTTGTCTCAGAATTAAAATAAGGATTGAGGGTGTAGTTTAATGCGAAGGCCCTGGGCGCAGTCCCCAGTACTGTGATGATGATGATGGTGATGATGGTAGTATAGTATACAGGGTTTTCTGATTGTTTTAATCACTCTTCACACAAGGCTTCACCTAACTGAAGGGAAAAGCCAATCTAAGCAGTCGTCTTTAGCACAGCAGCAGAGTAGCAAGGTGAGAACACTGAAGGTGTCAACAGTGCAGCTGCGTGTAACTTCCGTCCCCTCCTCGGTGCTCCTGTACTGTCCCTGTTTCGCTGCTCTGAGAATTGGCTGGGGCCACACACGGGTCTGCCTGAGAGGTGGATGAGCTCTGGAGAGGTGACCCCTCCACCCAGCTGGGGGTTGGCAGGGCAGTAGTGACCCTGACCTGCAGGCCCTGCCTACAGCCCAGGCCCAGAAGTGCTGGGCCTTGCAGAACTCAATGAAAGTTAATGTATGTCTGACACTGCTGTTGGTACTGTCCTCTTCCTCTAGCTTTGATTTTCCTGGTTGTGAATTAAATGGGTCTCCAGTTGAAGTTGACTTTGCTACAGTTGCTAGTTCTATAAAGAAATGAATAACTTTCCAGCTCGAGCCTTTTGCTGCTGCCCCCATCAGTGTCTCCATAGATCTGGTGGTTTGGAGGCCACGTCCCTGTCCTACAGCAGTCTCACCATCTATTATTTCTGTCCCTCAGGATGACCCCACCGAGGACCTGCCTGCAGATCCTCCAGCAGTCTGGCTTCTTTGCACCATCAGTCAGGGACACCTCTTTGCCCAACTCACAGGCTGGAGCCCCAAGCCCCTGGCATGGTTCCCTTTCAAATAGAGTCACATTTAACAGGGCATTTGTGTGTGTTTTGTAAAGACCACCCCTTGTGGTAAGAGAGGCCTTTTTGTGAACCGTGGAGTCTTGGAGGTACTCAGTACTTAAGGAGTGTGGATGTTACCAGTTATTTCTTGGTATCCCTAAGCTCCGCCCTGGCATGGCCTGGGGCACGGCCGAGGGTAGAGAGCAGGAACCTCAGTCAGTGCACTGTTACACTGTGCCTCCCAAGGGACTCCTTCAGGGTCCTCAGAGTTACCACTCTGTAGTGTAGTTGAGCACCTGTGTATCTACTTATAATCCATCTGTGAGCTTAATGGTTTGTTTTCCTCCTTTGCAGCAGCATGGCCAGCCCAAGGACCAGGAAAGTTCTCAAAGAAGTCAGAGTGCAAGATGAGAACAATGTGAGCCTGCACCTTGGTGGCTTGGGGTGACCTACGGACTCTGGGCCACTCTCTGAGTGGCTGGCCAATAGCTCTGCCTGGTGTCATGGGTGCTCTCTGATGTGGGTGCAGGGAGCATGGTTCCTCCTGCGGTGCTCAGGCTGCATCTGCATCATCCTCCTTGGGAAGGTTTATGATGTGGGGCTGTCCTCCTGTACCCCAGTTTCCAGGGGTCAACCGACCCCACCTCCCTTGGCCACCTAGGCAGCCCTGCTGTGCTTGTTGGTGCTGGTTCTCTCCTCAGGCCTCGCATGTGCTGCCTTCCTTCCTCTGTAGGTGTCCCCTTTTGGGGACACCACTTGGGTCTTTGGGGTTTAGTTCTGGCCTGAGCACCTGGTGAATCGAGTGTGGCCTTTTGCAGGTTTGTTTTGAGTGTGGTGCCTTCAACCCTCAGTGGGTCAGCGTGACCTATGGCATTTGGATCTGTCTGGAGTGCTCTGGGAAACACCGCGGGCTTGGGGTGCATCTCAGGTCAGTGTCCTGCTGCTTGGCCCCTGGGATTTTGTCTGACTGCGCATCTGTGTTACAGTGGGCACCTGTCCCCACAGCACTGTCTCACCAGGGGCTACTTCCCTCCCTACCAGGCAACTCCCCCTCCAGTGCCACTGTGGCAGGGCTGGTCAGCCCTGGGCTGTCCAGCCTCCCTGTAGCCTCCTTTGGCTTCCGTCTCGCTGCAGGAAGCACTGTGTGCAGTTCACAGTGCACCCCAGCTAGGGAGGCTGCTGGTCTGCAGGCACTCGGTAACCAGGCGTCCCTCTCCTTCTCAGCTTTGTACGCTCTGTTACGATGGACAAGTGGAAGGACATCGAGCTCGAGAAGATGAAGGCTGGCGGCAATGCCAAGTTCCGAGCGTTCCTGGAGTCCCAGGAGGATTACGACCCCTGCTGGTCCCTGCAGGACAAGTACAACAGCAAGGCCGCGGCGCTCTTCAGGGACAAGGTGAAAAGGGCCCGGCGTGCTCTTTGCAGTGTCTAGGCTGTGCCACCTGCTCATGGTGGCTAGAACGTAGCTTTGGTGGCACTGAGGTTGAGAATGGGCGTAGTTCGGGTATAAGCAAGGATGTGAGACCCTTGCCCCATCCAGAGCATACTCTTCCTCCTGCCCGAAGGGGGCCACGTGCCCTGTAATTAACTGAAGGGATGGAACTGATCACTCACACATCTTGGCTGCAGCGCCTCTGAGACTCTGGCAAGCCTGCTGGTTTGGGGCCAGATGAATGCATCCCTGAGCACTGGAGGCTTGAGCCACACTGATTCCAAGCTCTCCCACCCTGTCACTCATCACAAGCACCGTGAGGGCCAGGGAGCAGCTGCAGGGTGCTGGCATGTGAGGTTGAGCACCATGAGGGGCCAGGGTGTGCATCCTAACGGTCTCCTGTCCCCTTGTCAGGTTGCCACTCTGGCTGAAGGCAGAGAATGGTCTCTGGAGTCGTCGCCTGCCCAGAACTGGACCCCACCTCAGCCCAAGATACTGGCACCAACTGCCCACCGGTAGTTACACCCCCAATGGTCCTGCTGACCCTGACCTTACCTGGAGCTCAGGACCTCAAAGATGCTTCATGTCCCTTACAATTGTGGAAGTGACTCCAACAGAGTTGTCCCCAAAATCAGCTTTTTAAACCTGCTGGAACAGTACACGGTTTTGGAGCAAATTCACCCAGTGCATTGCACCCCGCTCGGGCAGGTTTGGCACGTCTCCCTCCTATGCCTCACGCAGCCATGGGAGTGGTAGCAGGTGGCATGCGGATAGGTGCCGATCGTCCTGTAGTCGCAAGTCCCACTGTGGGACTGTCCTGTGTGGGTGAACAGGGCACAGGCAGTCACGGGTACCCTGGGTGCCAGCGTGACCTTGCTTCTCTACAGGACCCGTCAGGAGGCCCTCGACTGTTGGTGGCCTCAGCTTGTTCCCCGGCTCAGGGCCTCCTGCTTTTCCCAGCTAGCAGGTCACATTCTGTCTACTGGTCTTACTGGGACTTCAGCCGCTGAGCCCAGGCATCCTGTAGGGCAGAGCTGGTCCCCGGCTTGACCCTGGTGCCTTCCGGGTCAGTGGGAAGGGCCTTCACACCAGGACACGTGATTCAGTTGGTGTCACTGGGCCATGTGCTAGGTTGCAGCCCACTGCCTCCCACTCCTGGTGTTGCCCACGCTGACCTTTGCTCTCCATTTCAGACCCTCTGGCCAGCCACAGAATGCGACTGCCTCTGCTGACAAGGCTTTTGAAGACTGGCTGAATGATGACCTTGGCTCCTACCAAGGGTGAGGCAGCACCGCACGTGTCTGGGGGCTACTTGGGCAGGCCACCCGGCAGTTTAGGGGAAAAGGACAGGCCTGCGTCTTTCTGAGGACGATGCAGAGCCAAAGTGCGTGTTTGTGTGTAAGGTGCCCACCGCCAGCCCCGGCCAGCTAAGTGTAAATTAGGAATCATGTACCAGCCTGGCCCGTGAATGAGTTTTTATCCCTAAATCCTTCAGATTAAGTTGTGTTGGTGCTTCCTCCAGAAACCCTGCCTACGGGGACCCTCTGGAAGTATGGCAGGGGGCTTCTTACTGTGCGTGCCCATGACTTGTGTGGGGTCAGCATGGCTGGGAGGTGAGGGGCCAGGGTCGGGGCTGAGTAGGAGCAGTGAAATTCAGGCAGCGGCTTCTGTCTGTCTGTCTGTCCTTCCCTCTCAGGGCCCAGGAGAACCGCTATGTGGGGTTTGGGAACACAGTGCCCCCACAGAAGAGAGAAGATGACTTCCTTAACAACGCCATGTCGTCCCTGTATTCGGTAGGACCCCTGTGGCAGGTGCCCCTGAACCCAGGCAGGGCGGCCCTCCATGGCCTGTTCTGATGGGTCTGATTACAGGCTCGTCTCTCTATCCTCAGTGGAATTTTCTCCTAAAAATATGGTTTCAATTATTTAGATCCCAAATATATTACAAAATACATATTTTGAATTTAACAAGGTGCATTCTTTCAGAGAACTGAAGGTTTCCTATGGGACAGCCTAGGGGTGCTGCCTGGCGAGAACCCAGCCTCCCTGAGTCATGTGGGAGGGGCAGGGGATGAGGTGTGGGTGCGGACGCAGGGTGGGGAGCAGACAGGCCTGGCAGCGTGCACTCTGTGTGCCTGCCTGCTTCCAGGGCCACTGTTTCTGCCCGGTGCCTGGAAGGCCAAGGTCAGCTGTTCCGGCTGTGACAGTCCAGGCCGGCTGTTGATTATAGGAATACAATTTGTCGACTATGCTTTTTCTCCCCCTTTTACATGATTTTTAAAAAAATTTTGTCAAAATTTGCTTTTTTGCAACTCAGATTTCTTCCCAGTGTATTTCCCTTTGGACATGTCTGTAGTGCGGAATGATTGCAGTTCCCGGGGAGTGGTCCGGGTCCGCAGCACGCCTTGACTCCTTTCCATCCCTCCCCTGCCACCCTTCCTCACTCTTCCAACTCTTGGTTCCTTTCCCATTCGCAAAAGGTCTGTTTCCAGTTTTCACTTGAGTTCTTTTTTCCACCCCTTTTCCTCTCCTCCCTCCCGCCATCAACACTTCCTCTTCCCAGTTGGGAAAGATCTTCTTACTTTCATTATCTATATTTTAGGTTTCTTATGTAAGAGAAACCATTTTTTTAAGTTGCTTTTTTCCCCCATGAGCTGTCATATGCTATAATCCCAGCTGTGTGGGAGGCTGAGGCAAGAAGATTGCAAGTTGGAGGCTAACCTGAACAATTTAGCAAGACCGTCTTTTAAAAAAGGGTTAAATTTTCTTTTTTTTAAAACATAAGCCAGGTGTGTACACACCTGCAGTTCCAGCACTTGGGAGGCTGAGGCAGGAAGTTTACTGGGGGTTCAGGTCAGCCCAGACTATATAGTAAGAATCTGTCCCAGACAAAGCTTAAAAAAGGGTTGGAGGCCACTGGGGACACAGCTTAGTGGAAGAGCACCCCGGGTTCAGTCCCCAGCTCAGTTTGTTCAGTGAACTTTGGAAGGCCTAGGAGAAAACCTTGGACCCCCAAGAAAGCCTGTGACCCCATTCACCCCACCAACTGCTCCTCAGAGAGGGGAGAATGCAGAGGAGAGTGGGGCTGGCGCGCAGCGGCCTGCTGGGCCCCTGGAGGCACTGCCTGCCAAGCAGCCAGTTTCTTTGTGGCAGCCTGCCCTGGCAGGGTGGGCGTGGGAGAGGCGGGGGCCAGGCTCATTCTCTAGCGGCAGGAGCCGTGGGGGCTATTCCAGGCAGAGCATGGTGCCCGAGGGACCTGGGCATTGCCAGAACTGCTTCCTCCTCTGTTGCCTCCTCAGGGCTGGAGCAGCTTCACCACCGGAGCAAGCAAGTTTGCCTCTGCAGCTAAGGAAGGTGTAAGTAACCTCACAGTGCATGCTGGCTGCTGCTGGCTTGGGCCATGGGAGACAGAGGTACCAAGGGTCCTGTGGGTTCTCACTTCCCCAGTAGAGTGGCCCAAAGCCTTGGGAACCACAGAACAACCCAGGCATTCTTTTTTTTTTTTTTTTTTTGGTCTTTTTCCTTTTTATTGGTACCAGGGATCGAACTCACGACTGCCTGTTTGCAAGGCAGGTACTTATGCCACTGAGCTAAATCCCCAGCCCCCAACCCAGGCATTCTTGCTGTGGTCCTAGATTTTCTAGGATTACCTCCTTGCAGAGGTTTACCTGCCCTTTTGTGTGAGGCAGATGTGATCCTGATCGAGCCCCAAACTTCTGCTCTCACCCCTGAGTAGGCTGTAGGTGCCTCTGGGTCTTCGGTGTAGTGTCAGGCTTTTCTTTCTGGCCTTTGCTTGAAAGACAGACTCAGGGGTTCAGTTGGGACGGATGATGCCGTCCAGGAAGAGTATGGCCTGAGCAGTGATCTGACAGGCACTAAAGGGAAGGAAGTGGGCTGAACCCAACACGGTCCCAGACGAGGAGCAGGCCCTGGAGAGGGCGCCTGGGCTGGGCAGGTGGCCATGGTGCTGAGAGGAGCAGGGACAGAGGTGGCGTGGCCAGAGCCAGAGCCAGCTGGAAGCCACGGGGTGGGTGGCTCTTTCCCATGCACTGCAGTCTCCTGCTGCAGCTGCTATTGTCTTTATGAGGCTGAGGCCCTGGATGTCCCCAGGTACCTGTCCCCAGGCTTTGCTCTGTCCTTGCTGCAAGGGATATGCAGGGCACCAAGCTGCCACCACAGTGGGACAGAGCAGAGCTAGGATGGGGGAAGGCCCACTGAAGACAGCGTGGGGGTAGCTGCCAGGCCTGGCATACAGTCTGGAGGGTAGACCTGGCTCTGATCTTGCCCAGCCTCGGTGTGGCCCGGGTATACTCCATTCCCCAGCAGTGCCTGGGGCTAGGTGTTTACGCCAAACCAGGCCTTGCTGCAGTCTCTGGGCATCGTGGAGATGCCGAGTTTGTGCTGTCATTGCGGGTGGCTATCTGGAAATGGTGCTGGGACCAGACCCATCCTAGCTCAGCAGAGATGGAGCTTAGTGGTCAGGTTAAAGATTATTGACTGGCCAGGCATGGTGGCGCACTCCTGTAATCCCAGTACTTGGGAGGCTGAGGTAGGAGGATCATTGTGAGTTCAAGACCAGCCTGGGTCTTGCTACAAAGTGAGCTCAAGGCCAGCTTGAACTGCGTAGGGAGACCCTGTCTCAAAAAGACCAAAAAAAAGTTCATTGGCTAAAGTGCTCTTTGTGTTTCCTTTCAGGCTACAAAGTTTGGATCCCAAGCAAGTCAAAAGGTAAAAAAGAGAAGCTATTTTCCCACCCCTGGTTCTAGGGATTGGACACAGGGCCTTCACACTGAGCTGTGTCCCCAGTGTGAATAATTTTTTTTTTAAGTTTAAGGGCAGTGTCTCAATTTGCCTTGGCGGGGCTTGCACTTGTAATCTACTTGTAATCCTGTTGCCTCAGCCTCCCACAGAGCTGAGTGGGGTTATAGGTGTGCAGCAACACACCCAGAAAAAGAGGAGTTTTCTCCTGGTGTTTTAAAACTCTTGGACCAGGGTGTCGCTCAGCAGCACAGCACCTGACTGACAAGCATCCTAGCCGAGCAGTTTGATTTCCGGTACCAAAAAAACCCACTCTTGTGAGTGTGTGATGCCACGTGCAGTGTTGGAAGCTCCCTAGGTCATTTGCTGGGGACCTGAGGGTCCCTTAGCACGCATCTGTGTGGCCCTTGCAGTGCCTCACAGGAGGCTGCCCATGTAGGCCTCCTCGTTCCTGGGCAGCTAGTGCAGGGTGTGGCCCTGGGCAGCTGGCCTGGCTGGGCATGGCCGCCTGGCCACAGGAGGTGGACCCCAGCCATTCCCCAGGGTGACGTGATCTCTTGGATGCAGTAGCAGGCTGTGATTGTGGTGTTTCTTTTTTCCTCAAAACCTTGTATGTCCCCGGCATTGCCTTGAGTTGCGTGAGACTTGTCAGGGCTGTGCCGTGCCGTGGGAAGGTGCTCAGAGCCGCCCTTGTGCCCCGAATGGGGAAGGGCAGCTTGCACACGGCCCCTTCACCCTGCGATGCCCCATCCACTCCCACAGGGCTTTTCGCCCTGCACACCAGTAGCTGCCCACCCTGGGGACCCTTGCCTGGCTTGTCCCAGAGCCTCTGTCTGGCCGAGTCACACTTGCTGGTTATGGAATGGGGTGAGTTTGGAGCAGGCTGGTTAGAGGTCTGGTGGTGTCCATCTGCGATGCCATTAGCCAGAGTTCAGCCAAGGGGTGCATTCTCAGGTGTTTCCTGGTTGCTAAACACTGCTCCTGCCACTTTGCTCTCTCTCTCTGCTAACCTGTGTCCGTGCCATCTGGGTCAAGTTTTGGGGTTACAAGCAGCAGCCAGAGCCGGTAAAGCCCGTGTCTACCGGTGCATGCTGCCTCTGCCCACGCCTACCCTGCGTGCCTGCCGTCCTCTTAAGCTGTGTCCACACCGTCTCTGCCTGCGCTTCCAGGGCCTGTGGAACAAGGTGCACTGGCTGGGCCAGGCAGAGCCCCGAGAAAGGGGCCGCTTGGCAGCATTCTGATTTTATGGCTTAATCACCTCAAATCAGATAATCCAGGAGAGTTTCATCCTGATGGGGATTGTGCTTCCTGTGTTGTGGAATTCGTCCCCTTAAAATCTCTGTTTTCCCTTCCTTGAGAACATGTGACACCCCAGGTACCATGCAGCCTTATGGCTGTCTCCCCAGCTGCATGGTGCCCCAGGACAGGCCGGGGCCTCTCTGCCCTCTGCCCTGCCTTTGTGCCCCTTCCCTCCCTGCGGGACCCGGTGCCTGTGCCTGGGAGGAGCCAGTAGGGTCGACCCTGCTGCCCCTGTTCACTGGCTGACTTCTGGTGGGTGGCCAGGCCAGAAGGGCTGTGGGCAGCTCCCTTCCTGGCGCAGGCCGGTCCTTCTCGAAGGCTGCCTCTTTCTGCTGTCACCTGTGCCCTCCTGTGGCCCGTGGCCTGCTTCCCTGTGTGCCGTGCCCTGCCGCCTTCCCATCTGTGGCAAAGCTCGTGCTGCTCTGTGCTGACCATATGCAGTGAGATTGCTGCCCCGGGCCTCACACAGCGTCCCTCCCCACAGGCTTCAGAGTTGGGCCACAGCCTGAACGAGAATGTCCTCAAGCCTGCGCAGGAGAAGGTATGGGCAGCCGCAGTGGCCACCTGGTTCTGGGGGAGCAGCTGTGTGCCGGGGGCATTGTGCCACTCTGCACTCACCTCAGTGAGATGGCTGAGCTCCTACCCACTGTCTCCCAGCCCACCCTGCCTCTGCCCAACATGCTGGCAGCCTGACCTCAGAGAAGGCGCGAGCAGGGCAGAAACCAGCCTGCGGGTGCCCCTCCACAAAGGAGGTAGCTGACCCGGCCCGGGGAGCCCAACCCAGGCAGGAGACGCTTCTTGAGGAAGGATGGGGCCCACAGTCAGGATGCCAAAGCCAGTGTTGGGGTCATAGGTAGTTTCTGTCTGTGGTACTGGGAATGAACCCGCGGCCTTCATACCAAGCTACATCCCCTGCTCTTCTTTACATTTTGGGACAGGATTTTGCTAAGTTACTGAGTTGCTCTGTCTGGACTCAATAACCTCCTCCTGCCTCAGCCTCCCAGCCTACAATCCTGCTGGGATTGTAGGTGTGTGGTACTAAGCCTGGTTTATTGCCATTTTGTAGGGATTTGGTGTGACGGGTGCCTCCCTGGCAGTTGTGTTAGGGATTTCACATCTGAGGTCACTGTTCTCTGAAGCTTTAATCTCCTAACAGTGCCCTTTCAATCCATGCAGGTGAAGGAGGGAAAGATTTTTGAGGATGTGTCCACTGGGGTCTCTCATTTGGCGTCCAAGGTAGGGCAGGCCGGGCCTGCCGTGCGGGTACAGCCAGAGCCAGTCTCCATATTCCAGCTCCGTGGCTGGGCGCCGGCCAGGAGGATGCCCAGGAGCCTATGGCTCCCAAGGGCTCGGCCAGCTGTGTTGGCGGCTGCTGCCCTCCAATTGCCTGAATGCATGAGGAATATGGAAACAGCTTGGCTGTGGGGACTTGGCAGCCACTAACCTGTCGTGCTCCTTTCCCTATTCTCGCTTGCTGCCTGTGGGCCTTCCCGAGGTAAGTGCTGGTACTGGTCCTTGGCTGGACTGACTGGGGTGTGTGGTGTCCCGTGCGCAGCGCGAGGTGGCCTGGGTGGGGCAGCGCACTGGGCACCTCCTGTCGGCTGTGTAAAGATGAGGCCTGTGCCAGCCAGTGGCAGCCACTGGCAGGAGTATGTGTTCATGCTGCCCCGCAGTGCAGCAGCGGCTCGCTCTGTGCAGGGGAGCTGTGGGGAAAGTGGGGTGCCGCTGATGGAAGCCCAAGCGTGGGCGCCTCACACATGGCCCGGGCACCACTGCTGCATTGCTCTGCGTGCACCTGTGCCTCGGGCTCCTCAGTGTCACCCAGGTCCCAGCAGGACTGTGTGCGGTTGGGTTTGGGGTGAAGGCAGAGGCCCACATGGGAGTAGCCCTGCCCAGCCTCTCTCGTCTCCATCCAGGTCCAGGGAGCCAGCAGTAAGGGATGGCGGGACGTCACTACCTTCTTCTCTGGGAAAGCAGAAGAGCCCTCAGACAGGTACTGTACCCCGCCCGGGAGCCCTTGCAGCTCTCCCCTAGGCTGAAAGGCCGTCGTGTCCCTCGCCCAGGATCCCCAACCCAGTGTCCTGCCTTTGTGTGGGTGTGGTGTGCAGTGGCCTTTGCCTGGGGCCACTTGCCTGCATCTCACCCCTGACCGGTGCAGCCCCTGCTCATAGGCAGACAGCCACATTCTCCTTCTTGTGTCTGTCTGGTGGCTGACGGCTGAGGCGGCAGGAGACCATCCGAGTCCTTGCTGGCCAGCCCTGTGGTGCCCTGGGCCCTCTGCAGAGCCTCACCCGAGGCTAGGTTTCCCCTGCTCCAGAAGAGGACCAGTTCCCACCTGGTGGCTTGGCCCCAAGAATGTGGGTGGGGGTGCCAGGCAGGACCTGTCCTTTAACCTGTCTAGGTGCAAGCATGATGAAGCCACGGGGTGGGAGGCGGTGGCCACGCTTTGGGGTGTGGGCTTCCAGGAGAGGGCTGAGCTCACAGCATGCGTGGTTCTCCACACCCCTGAAACCTGAGCATGCTGCATCTTGGGGGCAGTGCCCGCATGACTGTGCAGTTTGTGACATCTGTTAAGTGTCTCCCTCTCTCTATGAAAAGACCTGTCGAGGGCCAGAGCTACCAGAACAGCGGCAGGGATGACTTCCAGAACAACACCATAGACCAAAGCTTCTGGGAGACCTTTGGGAGCGCCGAGCCTTCCAAGACCAAGTCCCCGAGCAGCGACAGCTGGACCTGCGCAGACGCCTCGACGGGCAGAAGGAGCTCGGACAGCTGGGACGTGTGGGGCTCAGGCTCCGCGTCCAACAACAAGAACAGCAACAGTGACGGCTGGGAGAGCTGGGAAGGCACAGGCGGGGAGGGCAGGGCCAAGGCCCCCAAGAAGGTGGCACCATCTGCGGCTGTTGACGAGGGCTGGGACAACCAGAACTGGTAGTGCCCACGGCATCCCACCCAGCCCCACGGGGCAGCTGCTGTGTGTGTGCTCTGCCCCCTCCACCCCTCCTTCCATCCAAACCCAGCCAGAGAAGTGGCTGCAGTGCCAGGAGGGCGTCCAGGTGCCACCTGCTCCGAGCCGCCTGGCCGCACCCTCCAGCCATGTAGGGTGCCGAACCCAGGACCTGGGTCCCCATGCAGCCCTGAAGATGCAACAGTCCTCAGGATGGGAGGCCGTCTGGAGGGCCTGGAGGTGGCCAGGCCCAGAGCAGGGGCCTCAGCCGCAGGCAGTGCTCTCAGCAGTGCCCCACATCTGTTTCTGTGAAATGTGTTTCTAACTTTAAAGAGTTGAGCCAGCTGTTTTTTTCTTTTTGAAGAAGATGCCTGAAGTCTTAAAAGTGGAAATGCTGAAAACAGTACCAGAGCTCGGCCTGCTGTCGGACCTCTTCCCTCAGCCCATTTCCGTGGCTCATGCTGTGAAATTCGCCACTACCACCTGTGGCTTTCCTGGGGCCGTCCCTCTCTTTCTCTGGATGAACTTCACAGCCTGTGGCTCCGGCCTTCTGATGCAGAGCTGATCTCAGCACTTGACTCTGCCCTCACAGAAACAAGGACACGGGAGGGAGCAGAGTGTATCTGCCTGTCCCATGCCAGGGCAGGGCCTGCTGGGGAGGGTGGACATGAGGCGGGGACTCCTAGGCTACTTTGGGGTTCAGGGTGGCCTTCCTGGAGCTGCTCCCTAGCTAGAGGGCTCCTAGCGGTTGGGGCCTGTGGTGGCCAGGCCCTAACTGAGGCCGAGCCCTGCAAGGGTCAGACAGGCAGCGCCACACCTGCAGTCGGTCCCTCCGGGCACTGTCTTCTCGAGCCTGGCGCTCGGGTCTTGCTGACCATGCGGAGCCCTCAAGGCTCTGAACCTGCTGGCCCCTGTGCAGCGTGGGCTTCTTGGACCGTGGGTCATTAGTGTCTTGTGGGTGCCACTGCCTGTGATGCCAGCAAATCTGACCGCCTTCCCCCAGGATCCAGTGAGCATGCTGCCACAGCATAGCTGGAGGGTGTGTGGGACCCCCTGCCTGCAGCTACCCCATGTGCCCTCAGTGTGACCAGCAGTGCATGCACCTGAAGTGCCTGTGTGGTTTGTGTGTGGTGAGCTCGCGCCCCTCTACTGCTGTACTCCACTGGAGCCCCTCAGCCCTGTGTTCGTCCTGCCTCGGGGCTCAGCTAGCTACAGATGGGACAGGCCTCACTAGGTGCCACCCCCAGGGCTTCATCCTTTTAGGTGGTCATGTACCCTGCAGTGTCCAGACCTCAGGAAGAGGCAACTCCTGGGGCTCTGTCCTGGAAGGTCAGGTTGGAACTCGGCAAGAAGAGCCACAGGACTCAGAGCCCGTAGAGTTCTCAGCAAAGAGCCCAAGAGGCCTCAGCTGGCATGGACATAGCCGCTTAGTGGATCACAGGGCTTGGGGAGAAGGGACGGAGCTCGCTGGACCAGATGGGTGGTATGCAGTGCCAGCACTCGATTCCCACAGTGCCAGTCTGCAGGGCCTGGCCTGGCTGGCCTGAAGCTGCGCGTATGCACACATGAGGTCATGCACACACACACAGTGAGCTCCAGGCCTGCCCAGGTGCAGCCAGATCCAGGAATCCTTGGCAGAGGGTGTGGCCTGAGCAGTGCCAGATTCCTGGTCCTGTGCACAGGCACTGCTGAGCAGCCTCCCAGTGAAATGCATGGGCACACATCAGTCACCTAGTAACCCAAGGGGCCACAGCAGGCACTCCTGCCCCCTGAGGTCCAGTAGCTATGGCTGTCAGCCCTGTGGAAAGGTCCGCTGCTCCTGCGTGCCTTTCCAGGGTCCTTGGTACTGCATAACCCACCAAGGGCTGAGCAGCTTTGGGTAGCCATGGTCAAGGGTAGTACAGGACATACAGCAGGATGTGGGGCGCACAGGGGCCTCTGCTCAGGTCCCAGGCTGGCAGGAGGTAGCTCTAGGCACACACACCCGGGGCATGGGTGACAGGAAAGCTCTCCAGAGATGATTCTGATCCTGCATGGGGCAGTGACAGGAAGGGTGCTGAGGGCATCTCGGCCATGTCCCCATGTCCAGGGTGATCTTAGCCTGGTGGACCCTGTGCTGTCTCTGTAGCCCCAAAAGGGCATCCTGTCTTGGGTAAACACAGATGCTGGCCCCAGGCCCAGACCCAATGTGGTTCCCGAATCCCTTTGACTAAAGCCTGGTCTTACCCTCTGGCGGAGAGGGTGGAGTGAACCGCTTTAGCTCCACAGGACCCTGCTGACCACTCCAGGGCCCGCAGGAAGTGTCCACACTCAAACTGGCCTCTGCAGTTTGTCCCAAGGCACTGGCATGCCCAGTAGACTCCTCAAGGCCAGCACTGGCCCTGCCCTTTCAGGATCTTTTCTTAAGACTACAGTGCCGAGGATCCTCCTGGTAGCCCTTGACACACTATTGCAGCGGTGTCATCAGTCCTGGCCAGAACTCCTACGGTGACCCATTGTCACAAAGGGCCCGTGTTGCCTCCGACCCTAGCACCAGCCTGTGTCTGTGAACTGTGGCCGCACACACATCCCCGGTGACTGCTGAGCTGGTGTCCATCGGGAGGGGCAGCCCAAGCGGCAGGACTGTGCTCTCCTCCCTCAGAGTGCACCACGGATCAGCTGCTAGGCCCACCGGAGGTACCAGGATGCCAGGAGCCACACAGCCCTTTCAGGTGTCTCCCAGCAAGTGCAGTACCCCAGACCCTGGGAGTCCAGCTCAGGGGAGAGCATCTCACGTACCCCAGCAGTTGCCCAGAACAGGCAGAATGGGGCTCTGTCCCCAAGGCCACACAGTAGGGTGGTCTGAGGGGCAGGGATGGTGGTTCTACTGCTTGAGCCCTGCTGGGTTCCTCAATGAGGCTGGGGCCAAGGCAGGGCCAGTGTGAGGTGGGTGGGGCCTTATTTGGTGCTTGGGGCTGCATGGGGATGATCTGGGTCCAGTGGGGTACAGCCAGGTGGAGGCTAGATGGAGCCTGTGGAGGGTCGGGAACTGTGCTGGCTGGGTTGGAACAGTTGCCACCTCACTGTCCCAGGTAAGGAGTGTGGAATGGGCCAAAGCCGGGGGACAGCAGATTTGGGGTCCTAGAAGTCAAGGCTGTGAGGTAGGTGAGATCCAGGTGCTGCTGCAGGCTGCTCATGCTGCATAGACTGCAGCTCCGTGCCTGGGGCTGCATAGAAGGCCTTTGTCTCCCAGCAGCACTTCCTGTAGGCTCCTCTTAGGGACAGACCCTCTGGATGTGAGGAATAAAGGTTCTTGGCCCAGCTGTCTCCTGTAGGACTTACAGCCTAGTGTAGTGGGGTCCCCCCTGCTGGGACCACTGTGTGCCATTCTTAGCCCTGCCAAGTACAGCAGGGGAGGAGCCAAGGAATGGGCGGGGCAGGGACGGAAGGAGAGGGGCCTCATGAGCCTTGGCTCCCTTGGCCACAGCTCTAGAGTGGGCCAAAGGGCCCCATTGGCGAGCGGCACTGTCCTTGGAGGCACTGTCCTTGGAGCGGGAGGTTGGCGACTCATCTGCGGGCTTGCCAGGTAGAAGAGGGCCCAGAGGAGCCACTCAGGTCTTGCCCTGAGGACAACCTTGACCTTTCAAAGAGGTTGAGCCAGGAGCTGAGCTCCTGTGGGCTGCAGGAGCAGGACACACAGGACCAGGGTGCAGTGAAAGAGCTGCGCTGCCCCGTGCTGTCTCTGACGGGTGGGGGTCTCACTGCCCTGCCATGAAGCCGGGAGGGTGTTGTGTAGTAGAGGGGCTTGTGCTTGCAGCTCTGACCACAGAGGAGGGGTGAGTCAGGAGGGTGCAGGGTCCAGGGAGAGTGCTGCGGCGCTCACCTGGTACCTCTGGTGGACCTAGCAGCTGATCATGGTGCACTCTTCCAGGCTGCCTGTGCCTGGGGCTCCTGGCCTTGGCTCATTGCTGGACCAGCACAGGGGAGTTGACCTGAACTCCTGGTAACCTTCCCACTGGGTGGGCTCCTCCTTGGGGGAAGGGCTGGACCCCTGGCAGGCAGTTCAAGCATACAGCTGAAAGGGTGGGGCCCTCTGGGTTGAGAGGTGGGAGTCCGCATAGTGGGCAAGGGCCCTGGAGGTCTTGAAGACTCTGGAATCCCACTGAGGGGCCATGGGCTGCACTCAGCCTCTGCTTGGCACAGAGGAGCTTGGGGTCTGGGGTGGGCCTGCACCAGGGGTGGACCAGGGACTTGGTCTGTACTAGGCACCACCTGTGTTGTGCCTGAGTCTTGAGACCGTGGAGTCGCTCCCTGACCTGGCTGTGTCCATTATTGGAGAGATCAGGGGGCCCCCAGTGTGACCCCAGGATCCTCCGACAGTGGGCCAGGTCCAGCCTGGACCCTGGTAGGCTGCTCTGTCTCCAGCCTGTCCACCTGTTGGCTTGGGGAACCCCCACCATCTGTCACCTGGGTTGGCCAGCCCCTGGCCTTGGCATAACCTGACACGGGGAGGCAGTGAGGTTTCAGTGAGACAGAAGCCACCACTGGCAGTCTGGGCTGAGCTCAAAAGAGCTTTACCACAAGCAGAGCCTGAGGCCCCGGGTGGGCAGAGATGAGGTGCTGTGGCCCCTTCTTTCATAGGCCGCACAACATGAAACTCCAGGGCCACCCCGACCTCTGCCTCTGGCTGTGGCTGGGTGCTGTCTTGGCACATGGGCAGGGACAAGGTAAGCAATGGGTTCTGGGGGCAGCGGCCCTGGGGGTTGGATGCCCACCGATCCAGAGCTGCCCTAGTGAAGCTGCAGACAGGCAGGCAGAGCGAAGGAGCCATCTGGCCTCCGAGCCATCCTCATGGCTTCCGGCGTGACCTCATCCTTGTAGTCTTCCCTTCTGCTCGGTCACCCGTGAATACTTCCCCCAGCCGGAGGTAGCGGCCCTCCCAGTCCCGCTGTCTGCAGGGCAGCTCAGCTTCTGTTTGCCTCCCTTGCCTGCAGGAAGCCTCTGTGGGCGACTCGGGCCTCATGGCTGGATTGGGGGCGCCCACGGAGGGCTGTGCAGCAGACCTTGCCCTGGTGACACTGCTCAGGTAGACCCTGGGAGGGGCTTCCTGCCAAGGGGAGCCAGCCATCCACGCCTGTCACGATCTGGCTTCCCTCTTTGGTGCATGTCTCCATGCAGCAGCTTTGCTCTTGGTGGAACCTCCTCCCTGTCAATCTGTGTGTCTGAGTCACCTCCAGGGGCTGGCACTGTCTGGATTATGAATACCTCTCCCACTATGTAGCCCTCAGAGTGGCAGGTCCCTGGGCCAGGTCCAGCCTGGACCCTGGCAGTCTGTTCTGTCTCCAGTCTGTCCTCCAGTCTGTCCAGCCCCCCTACCTGTCACCTGGGTCGGCCAGCCCCTGGCCTTGGCATAACCTGACAGGGGAGGCAGTGAGGTTTCAGTGAGATGGAAGCCACCACTGGCAGTCTGGGCTGAGCTCAAAGGGGTTCTACCACGGGCAGAGCCAACTGCATTTCTCCCTGGCCAGGGTGCAGCATGCCAAGGGCTGCCGGGCCACTGGTGCCCCCTGGGTCTGTGGAACCCAAGAAGGGCTGAGGTAGCTGCAGCAGGGGCCAGGGAGCGGGCACCACGGGGCTCTTCCCAAAGCCCCCACCCCAGCATGTCAGGCCAGAGCAGAGAAACAGAGGGCTCTTCATGGGAGGGAGTGGGGACCTTGCCCACATCTGGCTCTGCAAAGCCCCCGCCTGTCCCCAGCACATTCCAGCCTTTCAGCGGGCTCCTCTCAGAGCAGCTGGGCCCCATCCGGAGCTGCACAGCTGCTTCCGCCTCTGAATGGCTCCTTGTGTCTGTTGCAGCCATCCCAGCCCCGCTCTCACCCTGTACCCCAGCTCACAGTGGAGTGGCCAGAAGAGACCCCTCTCTGTCCCCATTCCCAAAATAGCTGCCCATTACAGAGCCTCCAGAGGTCAGGCTCAGGCCCCACTTTGCCCTGCTCCTCCCAGCTGGCTGAGGGCAGCACCTCGCCTCTCACCACAGCAGCCCCCCAGATGAGGGCTAAGGCTGCACACACACAGCGACGCACATGTGGCCACCATGTGCACGTGCTTTCTGCCAGGGTGGCCTGGAGATGGCAGCCTAGTGTTGTGGAGGTGGCAGAGAGGGGCTGCAGTGGCCCCACAGCTTTTCCACTTCTAGCTGGGAAAGCCGAGGCCCTGGCAGGTTGGCAGCCCTGTGCCCATACTGCCTGCCCTGCGAGCGCTGGCTGCCTTGGCCCCAGGCTGACTGCCCAGGCATGAGGAAGCCCCTGGACTGGAATGAGGCATCCTCTCACGGACGCTGCCCTGTGGCGCTGTCACCAAGGACCCTGAGGAGGGGCACATTCCCCGTCCACACAGGCTCACCTTTCCTAGACACCAGGGCCTCCCCCAGTGTCACACCGGGTCATGCTTCTTCAGAGTCCCAGGCCCCAACTGTGCTTCTCAGCCTTGGGACAGGTCCTGGGGCCCCAGCTGGCTGGGATGGGGGGGCATCACGCTGGGTGCGTGGAGTCCATCCTGACACTTTGCGCTGGTGTGCAGGAGGTGGCCGGCTGAGGCTGGCAGTGCTGCCTGAGGACCGGCTGCAGATGAAGTGGCGGGAGCCTCGGGGTGGTGGCCTGGGCTACCTGGTGCAGGTGACGCCCACGGCAGGTAAGGCTCCTGGGCTGGCCGCTCCCGGCGGTTCCCCAGCTGTGTGCCACAGCCTGCAGCCCAGCATCCCCTCGGGCGCAGCTCTGCGCTCCTTTTCCTTCCTTCTGGTCTTTGTGTTTGTCTATACTGCTCAGTAACTGCACTCCTGCCGGGGTGGTGAGTGGACACAACAGACCTCGGTTCCTTCTTCACCCTTTCCCTCCGCTTCCTGTCTCTAGGAAATGGGAAGGATCCCATTCACAAAAGGTCTGTTTCTGTTTCCTGTTATCTAGCTTTTATTTTCCTTCTGTTTTCTTTGGGCAGGGGTGTTGTTTTGTTTTTTGTTTTTTTGGGGTGGTTTTGAGATGGGATCTGACTGTTGTTCAAACTGACCGTGAACTCATTATGTAGCCAGGGTGGTCTCAATCTCATAGGGAGCCTCCTGCCTCAGCCTCCTGAGTGCTGGGATTTCAGGCACGCGCCAGACACCTGGCCTATTTTGCTCCTTAACGACTTGTGCTTTAGATGTCTCATAATAAGGGAAACCATGCAGTATTTAAGCTTTTGGACCTGAATTGTTCTCACTTAGTTAACATGGTCTCCAGGTGCATCCATTTCCCCACAGATGACTCAGGTTTGCCCTCCTTACAGCACTGTGCCCCAGTGTGTGAGTACTGCCTCTCTTTGTCCACTCACCCAATGGAGGACGCTCAGGCAGGTGGCTTTCGTGGTTGTCAATGAGCTCTGTTGCTGTGAACACGGGCGTGCGTGTGTCTCTTAGGGGTGACTCCTGAGCCTGGTGTGTGCAGCTTTGAGCGAGCCAAGTCCTCTCCAGAGATAGACAGTGTTCAGATCTCTACAGTTCCGGTCAGGTTTGCTAAGTCGGTTTCTCCTAGGAATTTGTATTTCAGATGACTTGGTGTAAACTGCCCTGTTACTTTGATTTTCTGAACATCTGTGAGGTCGGTGGTTATGCCCCCTTTTGTTCCTGGTTACTTGAATCGTGTCTGTTTTTATTATCAGCAGTTTAGAGGTTTATCTATTTTATCAGTCTTCTAATAAAGCTCCTTTTGGCTTTGTTAAGGCATTCATTATCTGGCTTGATTTCATCAATTTTGTCTTTTTATTTCCTTTTACTCTCATTGGATTTAGCTTTCTATCCTCACAGTTGATTATTTTTTATTTTTTCCTGTTTTCAGTTTCGGTTTTCTGAGGCTCAGTCTCAGCGCAGGGCCCAGGCTGGCCCCGAACTTGTGGCTGCGCACGCTGGCAGCGGCGTCTTCCCAGCAGGGAGGGGAGCCCTGCTCTCACTTCCCTGCGTCTTCCCTTGTTTTCTGCCTGCGGTAGTGTTTGCAGTAAGCAGCTTTTCCATTCTTAGGCCCTTAACCTTTCTCTGTTCTAAGCGGCACAACTGGGCATTGTTTTTCCATCAGCAAAATCTTTGTCTTTTAACTGAAATGTTTTATCCATTTATATCAGCAAAATTAGTGACCCAAGTTTAATCTACAATCTTCCTGCTTGTTTTCTTTTTGTGCTACTTGTTATAAATTTTTGTTTTCTCCTTTTTTGTCTTCTGAGCTGACTTTTATGGAAAAATTTAAACACACGCAGAGGAGACAGCTCCGTGTCATGAAGCCTACATTAGCAGAGATTTAACGTCAATGGCTACCAGCATATGGCGAGACTGCTTCACGTCTCTCTGCCCACCCCGTCCATGTGTTGTATTAAAAGCAAGTCCTAGACACCATCAGATCCTGTCTGTAACCATTTCAGTATGTTTCTCTAAAAGACTAAAAAGTGACCTCACTACACTCATTAAATATTTAGTTGCCTTTACATTTCTGGGCTCTTTGTGATTGACTGGTGTGAATTGGGATCCTGAAAGAGCTGGCTCTTCTCCTTCCTTTGTTCCTGTGTCTGTGGCAACTGTTTTTCCTCTGTCCCTCTCCCTTGAGCTTTACTTACTGAAGAAACAAGAGGCTCACATTCTTGTCTGAAGTGGGGGCTTCCTCCTACAGGGCAGCCAGGTCCCGGCAGCCTGGTCAGACTCAGCTGTGTGTTTGTGACAGGTCTTCCTCAGTGGCACTGGGTCGCCCCTGCTGTGCCCGGCAGGGGTACTTGTGTAGTCTGCTGTGTCCTTTTGTGCAAAGATAGGAGTGGTCAGTGCGTGTTGTGTCCCCAGCTTGTCGGGCATGTGTTCACCGGCCCTTCCTCAGTGACCACGCTGGTGGATGTAAGAACTCGTAACACATGTTCCAGCATCCAGTGCCGCGTCTGCATCAGATTTTGCAGAGCACTTTTGTTATCGGAGTCAGTTGTCAGAGACAGATCTGTGTGGGGCGCACATCCCAGTCCATTTGCTTCACTGCTGTGCAGCCCACAGACGGGTGCTGGTGAACGTGGACCCTTGAGCTTCCAGGAGCTGGAGTCCCAGAGCCCGGCGTCAGTCCTGGGGGCACTGCGGCTGTGTGGGAGCACGGTGGGCAGAAACAAGACAAAGAGGAAAAGCGGGGTGAAGCTCCTGGTACCAAGACATGTCCCATGTCCCCAGTGACAGTGTTAACCCGTTCCCAAGGTGGCGCCCTGGTACCCTGGCCACCTCGTCATGCTCAGCGCGACTCACACGTGTCTGGTCCGGAGTGGGGGAGACAGGGGTCTAAATCTGGTCCTGTCGCTGCTTAGCGGTGTGGCCAGTCCTTAGGGCCCCTGGTTCCACACCTACAGAGTGGGGTATTGAGGCTGTGAACCTCATGGTACACATGTGTGCAGCCTGGGGCTGGTACTAGGTGTAAACCTGCCTCACCGGCTCTGTGTGCTCCGAGAGCAGCGGGCCTTCCTGCCCGTGTCTCCCCGCCCCAACCAAGCTGGTACAGGGCGGAGGCCTGCTTCCCTGCACTGCACAGGGTGGGCCCAGAGGAGAAGCCTCGTGTCTGATGCTGGCGCCCTGGCTCCATCCTCTGAGGGTCCTCTTGGGAACCACTGCTGAGCACTCAAATCCGTCTCTGTCTTTTTTTTTTTTTTTTTTTTTGTCTTCTTCCTTTTTATCAATACCGGGGATTGAACTCACGACTGCCTGCTTGCAAGGCAGGCACTTATGCCACTGAGCTAAACCTACACACACGCACACACACACACACACCCGTCTCTGTCTTTAGATGGTAGAGCTGCACAGCCCCATGGAGGCCCTGGGGAGTGTGAGAAAGCACACTTCCTGCCAGGGGCCCCAATCATCAGCTCCTGGTTCTCTTTCTTTCCTCTGACCTCAAGGTGAAGAAACGGGGAAGACCTGAGACACTTGTCCTGTGCGTGTGTGCACACACACATGCACATGAACATGCATGTGTACCCATGCTGGCAGCCCTAATAGCTCTCTCACCCACCCCAGGAGACTCAGAGCAGGAAGTGATGTTGACCACCAAGACCACCAAGGCCACAGTCGGGGGCCTGAACCCCTCCAAAGGCTACACCTTGCAGATATTTGAGCTCACCAGCTCCGAGCCCATCCTGCTGGCGCGGAGGGATTTCATGAGTGAGTCCTCGGTTCTCCCCACCCCAGCCAGGGTGGGTGTGAGTGACCAATCTGGGCGGGGCTGGGCATTGGGTTCAGGTCCCAGCTCGCACACAAGTGTCCTGGGGTCTTATTTCCTGCCCACCTCCCTGGAACCTATAGCTGTGCCCCGGGCATTGATGGAGCCAGGGCCCTCAGTCCCTTTCCTGACGGCCCTGCCTTCTCTTTGCAGTTGAGGATCTGAAGAGCAGGAGCGGCCAGAGGCCCCTGGGGGCAGCCCTGAAGCCCACCCTGTACCATATGGGGGCCCCGAACCCCAGGCAGACACCTGAGCCTAGAGGCACCTTTGTCCCAAGCCAAGAGCCTCCCATCCTTGGTGGAGCAGGGCGGAGTGAGAGTGAGCTGCGGAGAGGAGGGGCACCCAGAGCTTCGTGGGCCTCCTGCCCTGTAGCCAGGAAGTCCTTGTTCACAGCTGACCTCATGCTCCGCAGCTTTAACTCAGGCTGGACTCTCGGCCCCCAGGTCCCTCCAGCCAGGCACTGGGGAGCCCCAGCCTGGGTATGGGAGGTGAGAAGTCACAGCTGTGACCCCGCTCCTCTTTCCAGGAGCCCCCGGCACAGGTGGGGAGCAGCTGGAGGAGCCCACTCAGCAGACCCTAGACCCGACAAGACAGAGCCATACAGTGGCCCCTGCTGGAGGGAGAGAGGAGCCAGGTGAGGGGCTGCTCTGTCCTCGATGACTTTACTTCCTCTTCAGATTAGGGTCCCCAAAGAGGTCCCTGCTTTCTCCACCAGACCTGGAGCCAAAAGAGCCGCCACTGTCCCCAGGCGTGGGCACTGGCCCTCTCAGGAGAGGGCCTCAAGGACAGGGCGGATCCTCTTTCTCCGGGTGAGGAGGTTGTCTGAGCCCAGGTTGCCCTTGCCGCTCTGACCAGGCTCGAGAGTCACTCTGGTACTAAGGAGCGGTGTGCACAGATATGGGGGTGTTGCCCGGGTCAGGGGATTGGGGGTGTGGTCTCCAAACAGCTCCAGGACATCAGGACATGGAAGCTGCAGCCAGGAGCTGCTAGGCAGCCCCAGCCCCTCCCCACCTCTGTCTAAAGTGGTCTCAGAAGTGAACCCTACCCAGGGCTGCTGGGCCTGTGGGGGGAGGTTGCTTGGCCGGGGAGGCAATGCTGTGCTGCTGGTGGCCTGTGTACCTGGCAGGCAGCTACTGAGGGCACATGTAGCCCCTGAAGCCAAGGCTGGCAACACCCCACTTTTGGGAACACCAGAGAGGCTGAGTCCATTGATGAGAGTCTATTTGGGATTTTCTAAGCCTGGGGGACCCGATGTCCTCAGGGTCCCTGTTCCCCAAAGAGCAGACCCCAGCTACCAAACCCTGGGAGGTGGTCCTTTGGGACCAGGCCCAGAGTGGCCCAGAGGACTGTGGAGGCCGTGGCCCTTCACCTGCCCCACTGCTTGCCTGCCCAGTTGGCACCCAGTTCCGCTGCACACCTCCTGTGCCTGCCGACATGGTCTTCCTAGTGGACGGATCCTGGAGCATCGGCCACAGCCACTTCCAGCTAGTCAAAGACTTTCTGGCCAGCGTCATCTCACCCTTTGAAATTGGGCCAGGTCAGGTCCAAGTAGGTGGGTACCGAACCCAGCAGCTCCTCCGGAGAAGGGCTGGGAAGTATGGCAGCCTCTTGGGGCTCATCACGCAGCCAGACGGAAAGATCCCTGCTGACCCAACCCATGTGGTCTGCATGGGTCTGCAGCTGTCCCTGCCCCAGCCAGGGCTGCTCGCCTGGTGTGCTGGAATAGGGGCCCCTCTGGGCTCCGAAGGACCAGGCTGCTGTCGGCAGCTGTGTGCAGTGTGGCCCTGGGCAGTCTCAAGTAAAGCCCGACCCTGGAAACTGAGCCCAGCACCCGGCCCTCCCCCAGGCCTGACTCAGTACAGCGGAGACCCCCAGACCGAGTGGGACCTGAACTCCTTCCACACCAGGGCGGAGGTGCTGGCTGCTGTGCGCAGCCTTCAATACAAGGGAGGAAACACATTCACAGGTTCGTGTCCTCCCTGCCCTCAAGGGTCTGGCTGTGCAGAAGCCCCGCTGCTTCCTGCTGCCCAACCTTCCTAAGCCCCTGTGGGACCTGAAAGCCCGCATGAGGCTGCAGAGACGGAGCCTAAGCTGCAGCCCCACAGAGGCCAAACCACCCCGTGTGTTTCAAAGGAAAAGTACAGGCCTCTGCTGGGACCCAGCTGACAGCAAGTAGCTCCTCCCACTGTGTGCCTTGCCCTCCCCAGGGGGCTGCCAGCCTCAGAGGTGTCCCCCAGGGGGCTGGGTGTGGCCTTCCCTGGTCACAAGTACTCCCGAGAGTGGAAGAGCCATCCCTGACCCCCAGCTGGCAGCCAGCTCTGTTGGTGGTAGACAGAGACCCCAGTACAGAGCTGAGCAGAGGCCCCGAGGTGGTGGTGCAGGTCACTGCCTGTCACTTGGTTCCTGCTCCCAAGGCCTGGCCCTGCACCACGTGATGGGGCAGAACCTGAAGCCTGCATCGGGGCTCCGTCTGAAGGCAGCCCACCTGCTGATCCTGGTGACGGATGGCAAGTCCCAGGATGACGTGCTCACGGCCGCACGTGTCCTCAAAGGCCTGGACATCGAGGTCTTCACCGTGGGTGAGCCCCATACAGGCCTTGGTTCTGGGTAGGTCCTTGCAGCCCGTGGGCTCTGGACAGCAGATGGGCGTTTGTACCTGTGTTCCCCTCACCAGGTGGCAGGTGGTGCTTGGCCTCGGAGCCAGGACAGCTGCACGTGGGGCCAGCCACCTGCCTGGCACCAGCGTGCCTGCTCCTTGTCACATGTGTCAGTTTTTGGCATCATCTGCTGAACCCCCCAACCCAGCTGCTCCTGTGCCCCTTAGGCTGGTCCCTGCCGGGCCACTGCCCCTTTGCCTCCTGTGTCTGGCAAGTCTCTTGCCTCCAGGCCATGGGCACACTTGATGTACAAGCCACTCATCAGTTCTGTCCCCCAGCAGGAGCCCTAGATTTCGGGGTGTCCGGGGATCTCCCAGACATCCTCACCCACAAGCCCTCCATCCAGCACCCACGTGGCCACCTGGCCTAGCGTGGCTCAAGCACGTGGGCCTCCCTTGGCCCTAGGCCCTCTCTCACAGGCTCTTGGGCACTCAGCAGCCCACCCCACAGTCCTGTTTGTGAGTAGGATGAGGGTGCACACGGGGCTGGCTGCACACCTGCCACTCTCCACCTGAGCAGGTGTGAAGAATGCCGACGAGGCTGAGCTGAAGCTCCTGGCATCCCAGCCGCAGGACATCACCGTCCACAACGTGCTGGACTTCCCTCAGCTGGCCACGCTCGCTGGCCTACTCAGCCGCCTCATCTGCCAGAAGATCCAAGGCTGGAGCCTGAGCAGGGCCGCCGGTGAGGGAGCAGGGATGCTGCCAGGCCTGCCCAGCACTTGGGACAGAGGGACACGGAAGCTGGGGCTCCTGCGTGGCACGCTTCGAGGGTCTGCCTGGCCTCCACGGGTCTGCAAGCTGAGCTGGGGCCCAGACCACCACTTTCCACCCGCAACCACCCTGGCCCCAGCTGCTCCAGCCCTGGATGCCCTCCCCATGTGCACCAGCCTGGTGCTGGGCCAGGTCACCCCCTCCAGCATCCGTGTGTCCTGGACCCCGGCTCCTCAGCCACCCCTCGAGTATCTCATTGTGTGGTGGCCTTCCAGGGGTGGCGCCCGCCAGGAAGTGAGTGGCACCAGCTTCTCTGGCTTGGGGGACCCTGCTGGGTTCACCCACACAGAGCCAGGGCAGCTGCAGGAACCCGGCCAGCCACACCTTGGGAAGGGCTCTGAGAATTGTAGCTGTGTTGGGATTACAGGCCCACGTAGCCAGGTCACCCTGAGAAAGGACGGCTGGAGTGGAGACAGGGCAGGGGTGCATGTGGGCACCATGGGGCAGAGCAGGCCAGAGGAGGTGGCCGAGGGCTGAGGCCCAGGGAGGTGGCCTTGACAGGACAGGTAGCCACGTGGCTGGCTGTGTTGATTGTCCCACCCACCTGCGCCTCAGCAGGTGCCACTGTGCTTGGTGGTAGACTGCACCAGTGCGGAGACACACATGGCCCCAAACCCCTCAGGGAACAGTGCCCTGCTCTGTGCCCTGCCCAGTCTGGGTGCTGTTTCAGGTGGTGGTGGAAGGCTCTGCTGCATCCGTAGAGCTTCAGAACCTGACCGCCAGCACTGAGTACCTGGTGTCAGTACTGCCCGTCTATGAGGGCGGGGTCGGCAAGGGTCTTCGTGGCCTGGCAACCACAGGTGGGTGGGTGTTGGTGGTCCCTGCCCTGCCCTCCCTTCAGGGCCTGGCACCAGCCATCTCTGACCATCCCTGTCTCTCTGACCCTGGGTGTCCTCTTCTGACCACAGCATCCACCCCTGCCTGGCCCATGGCCGAGGTCACTGCCCCAAGCCCCGGAATATCTCTGTGGCTCTGTCCGGTGCCACCTGGCTCACCCATTCACAGTGGCCATGCAGAAGCTGGCCACCATGCATTCCAAACTGTATGACCATCTCCTCGGTCCACTGTGGATCTCTCTGGTCCTGAAGGACGCTCTGTTCTCCTCCATCCCCAGGGGGGCGCTGTACACCCCTTTGTCCCCAGAAAAGCACTCTGCACCCCTTCAGTGTCCCCAGCCCCTTGCCCAGCCCTGCTCCCCTCTCTGGGTCTGCCATGTTGTCATAGCAACAGCATCATGTGGTCTTTGTGGGGCTCTTTTCACCCCCTGTGGCTATGTCCTTCCTACTGTGGGCACATGCCCTGGTAGATACAGGGGCTCGACTTCTCTAGAACTGTGGGCCAGGACAGGGTCCCTGTGAAGCTGGGGAAAGCGGCTCAGGACCTGCCCTCCCCTGGGCGAGTGCCACCCTCTGCTAGTCCTTCCTTAGAGGACACCACGCATACGGTCAGGTGCTGGGAAGTCCTTGCAAAGCATGAACAGGGCTACCTTGCTCACGGTGTGACTTCTGTGTGTGCTACACCCTCAAAGTGCCCCTAATGGTTGCTCCTCCCCAGCACCCCTTCTTCCGCCCCGCACACTGACTCTGGCTGCAGCTACACCCAGGACCCTCCACCTCACCTGGTCGCCCTCAGCTGGGGCCACCCAGTACCTGGTGCGGTGCTTACCAGCCTCTCCCAAGGTCCAGGAAGAGGGAAGAGAGGTGTGTGGCCTGGGAGGGAGACGGGTCGGGACAGATGGGGTGGGGCAGATCGGGCCCTGACCTGTCCCTCCAGGTGCGGGTGGGGCGGCCTGAGGTGCTGCTGGACAGCCTGGAGCCAGACAGGGACTACAAGGTCTTGGTGCAAAGCCTGCGAGGGCCAGAGGCCAGCGAGGCCCGGGGCATCCATGCCAGAACGTGTGAGTGCCTGCCCAGCTCCTGACCCCACGGCTGGCACCCTGTGCTGTTTCCTAAACCTTCCATGGGTGGGCTCCTGCATCCTGCCCTAGCACTGCCTGGCTGCTCCCCAGCATCAGGCAGGGCAGAAGGGAGCGTCAGCTCCAAGGTCTTGCTCTGCTCCACAGCCGCCCTGGCCCCGCCAGGACCCCTGGGCTTCTCGGATGTGAGCCACGACTCGGCCCTGGTAACCTGGGGGGATACTCCACGGCCTGCACACCTGTTCAGAGTCAGCTATGTCTCAAGCGACGGTGGCCACTCAGGACAGGTGAGGGCGGGGACTTCTGGGCTGTGGGTCCCAAGGGACTCCCATAGTCAGTGTCCCAGAGCCCAGGGGAGCCTCAGTGCCCCATGTAGCCCCTGCCCTGGCCTCTCTCTGGGCTGGTGGGGCACAGGGTCAGCATCACCCCAGCCGGTAGAGTGCTTGCTCGGGAGTCCTGGGGCGAGACAGAGGCATAGGAGAGCAGACGCATGGAGAGCAGTGCCTTGGGGTCACAGGCGCTCCTGGTGTGAGGCCCAATCCGGTGCAAGAGCTGGTGGGGCGTGGGGAAGGGAGCTGTCCTGGGCTCCCCTGGTCAACCCTGTTTCCTCTGTTTGGGGCTCATGCGGTCCTAGCTGCAGGTACTGGGCCTGAGTCTCTTCCCAGCAGGGGCTCCGGTGCCCAATGTGTCTGCCTGTGCCCCCTGCCCCACAGAAAGAGGTCCCTGGGAATGCCACCTCGGCCACCCTGGGCCCGCTCTCCTCCTCCACCACTTACACCGTGCAAGTCACCTCCCTCTATTCCGGAGGCGTGTCCTCCACACTGACCGGCCATGTGATCACAGGTGAGTGGGAGGTAGGCGGGGCTGGCCCAGGGTGGGCTGCACCTTCTGTCCAGCCACGCAGTTTGGGTCCACTTGTATGTGGTAGCTCTGCCCTGAGCCAGGATTGAGCCAGGTGGACAGGAGGACAGGAGGACAGGAGCCAGGGCTGCTTGTCTCAGGGCTGCCCTCCCCCACCCCCGGCTCTGCCTCCTGCCTCCATCTTCCAGGGAAAGCACCCAGCCCGAGCCAGCTGTCTGTGACAGAGCTGCCCGGTGACTCGGTCAGGCTGACGTGGGCAGCCTCGGCCCCGTCTGGTGTGCTTGTCTACCAGATCAAGTGGACACCCCTGGGAGAGGGGAAGGCCCATGAGGTGAGGATAAGGGTGGGCAAAGGGATGGTTGAGCCTCAGGGGAGACCTGCCAAACCCCGGCCCCTGGCTGGACCAGGGGTCAGGCCCCGCTTGTGCCCACCCAGACCTGTGTCTTGAGGTCACCTGCCCATCCATAGTCTGGGATCAGGTCTCCATCAAGGCCGTGTGTGAGCTGGGCAGATCCCAAATCCTCCTCTTCCAGGTCTCTGTCCCAGGCGTTCTCAGCACTGCTGTCCTGTCCGGCCTGGGGCAGCACTCGGAGTATGAGATCACCATCCTGGCCTACTATAGGGACGGGACCCGAAGCGACCCTGTCACCCTGCACTACACGCCCGGTAGGCATCGCTTCCTCCACCTTGCTGAGCTTGGGCAGGCTCAGCCCAAGGGGGGCCCCAGATTCACCCAGCTTTGCAGGCCTAGAAACTCAGACTCCCAGAACCGCTGGCGGATAGACCCCTCAAGTCTCAAGGTCTCCTGGCCTTGATAGCCCATGCAAGTTTCCTGGGTCCGGATGACATGGCATGGCTGACACAGGCTCTAGGTGGAGGCAGGTCAGGTGGAAGGGCCCGCAGGGGCACAGTACAGCAGTAGACAGGGCCCGGTGTAGGGTGGCACAGCCTGTGGCAGTGCAGGGTGCGGAGCGTGGCGCAGGGCTGCTTGCCTTGTCCTCGGGTCCCTAGGGTGCCCCTTTATGCCAGCCCTGAGCCCCACACTGCTTGTACTGTTGTCCAGCTTCAGTGAGCAGGAGCCCCCCCTCGGGCCTGGCCCTGTCCTCAGAGACCCCCAACAGCCTGCACGTCAGCTGGACACCCCCAGGCGGCCCTGTTCTCCACTACCGGCTCACTTATGCACCAGCCTCGGGCTCAGGACCTGAGAAATCGGTGAGTCTGAGAAGCTGGAAGCTGCTGGCTTCAGGGCCCAGCGGGTGAGTCGTGGCCTGCCCTGTCTGCCAGGGCTCCTGTCCCCCTGTGGGGAGACAGACAGGCCAGGGGAGCCCAGCTTCACAGTGAGCGACACCCCAGCATAGCGACTCAGGCAATCCCTGCCCTCCAGATCTCTGTGCCAGGCCCCAGGAGCCATGCCACGCTGCCTGACCTGCTGGCTGCCACCAAGTACAGGGTCCTGGTCTCAGCTGTCTATGGCACAGGGCTGAGTGAGGCAGTGTCTGCCACAGGCCGAACAGGTAAGCAGACGCCAGGCCCCAGAGCCAGTCCTGTGCCAGGCCGTGCCAGGCCCGGCCAGGCCCCAGCAGCCTGACTCAGGCACCTCCAGCAGGGTTTTGGGGGATGCTGGGGAAGAGGCTGGGGCCATCTATACCCTCAGTCACTGCTTGGCCACCGCCCGCAGGTTTCCCCATGGAACCTCTGTGGTCTGGGTGCCAGCCGAGGTCAGGCAGGCCCATGGCACCCGGACAGCACCACCCCTGAGGTGCCCTAGCCCAGGCCCTGCCCCCACACCCCTCACTGTGGAGCTGGAGTAGAGGCTGGATCACCAAGGTCCGGGATGACTGGGACCAGGCTGCCTGCCCTCGGTGCTGCCAGCGCCCGGTGCATCTCCCCCGGCTGGAGCACCCCTCCGGACTGGGGCCCAGCTGTCGGTGATTCTCTGCTGTTTCTCACCATCCACAGCCTCCTGCCCCTCAGAGTGGACTCTCAGAAAGCTGAGTCCCCTGCCCCGCATCACCTGGCATCGCCTAGCTGGGGACGGTGCTCACCAAGTGGACAGCCACCAGGGGGCGGCCATTCCTGCCACTGCCTGCATAGTCAGTGGTCTGGCAGTGGAGCTAGCAGCATGCCCAGCCCAGGCTGCATGCAGGCGCCCCCCTTTCCCTGCACCCAGGAGGCTCCCTGCCCTGCTGTAGAGGCCGTGTCTCACCTGTAGCACTCACAGAGCCCTTGGTGTTGGCCCTGGACTTGGGAGAGGCAGGCCATTCCTGTCTCCTTCGCAGAGTGTGGGGACTATAGGCCTTGCGTGCAGGCATAGGCAGGGTGGCATAGGCCCAGCCATGCCCGCGCAGGAAGACAGGCATTTTCCGTGACGTGACCCTCCTCGGGTGGCCAGTGGGCTTGAGGTGGCTCACGTGGCCTCTGTCTCCTCACAGCAGCCTGCCCGGCCCTGCCCCAGAACAGCTCCCTTCCAGGTAGGTCTGGGTACCTGGGGCAGCTGTGTCCTGTCCTCTGCTGCCCTGTCTCTCTTGGGCTCTTCCTAGTGTGCAGGAGCCCAGGGTGCTGTGACCAGGGCCTGACATAGTATGCCAGGGTGTGGCCTGTAGCTTCTTGGCTGGCCCCAAGAGACTGGCAGAGCCACTGTACCCTGCCCTGGGGACTGAGGCTTATCTGAGGCAGAGTGGGGTCCTGTCCTTCTGGCCTTGGCAGGCTCACTGCTGACCAGGCACTGAGGTGTGAGGTGCTGAGGCTGGAGGTCTCCATTATGCTTTGTGAGAGCTCAGCTCTCCTCAGAGAGGCTGGAGGGAAGGTCCCTGGCTTGAGGAGCTTAGTCTGCCCAGCAAGGCCAGTGTCCAAGGGTACAGGGCAGGTCCAGGCCATGGAGGGTTCACAGGCCACGTGGGCTGCCTGTGGGAGCAGCAAGGTCTCGGGGGGGGGGATGCAGGCTTGGAGCAGAGCAGGCAGAGCAAGATGCTGAGGGTCAGCTCCCTGGGACAAGGGGCAGCAGCTGCCCTGCGCGGCCTGGGCTCTGGGCATCTGAGCAGGGCTGCCTGCCAGGGGTTCCCTCCTGGGCCTCCCTTGCTGGGCCATTTGGTAAAGCGGTTTCCCCAGTGTCAGGACTGGGGCCAAGGGACAGGGCTTCGCATGGCCAGTGCAGGGCTGGGTTCTGCCTTGTAGCCCCCATGCTCCACCCCTCCCTGCCCAGGCTGCCCCTTCCTCCCACTGCCCACAGCCCCCCAAATCTGAGTCTCCACCCCGTTCCTCCCCTTCCTCCTGCCTGATTATCCCTGGTCACCCTTCCCTGTCCTGCCAGGGTTTGACCTGATGGTGGCCTTTGGCCTGGTGTGGAAGGAGTATGCCTCCATTCGAGGTGTGGCCATGGAGCCCTCCACCTGGGGTCCGACCCCAACCTTCACACTCTTCAAGGATGCTCAGCTGACACGGCGGGCCAGGTGCGAGAGGCGGGGGGCTGCAGGTGGGCTGTGTGGGACCAGGGGACAGAGGTGGATGGGGGAGGAGCCCGGTGCGGCCCCTGTGACTCCTCAGGCCCAGGAGCCCTGGACATCACTCAACAAATCTCAGCCTGGCCTCCGCCTCATGCTCTGGAGATTCTCGTTTTACAGACACCTGAACCCTCAGACTTAGGACATGGCCGCCCATGGGGCACTTCTGCAGTTGTACCCCGGTCTTTCTCCTGCATGTCCCAGGGTCACTCGTGCCAGAGTGCTGCGTGGTTGCAGGTCTGCTGACCAGCTGTGCTTTTGCTGTCTGTGGTCACGGGGCGACTCAGCCCCTGTCCTCAGCTCATAGTGACAGCTCCGGAGTGGCTGTGAGAGCACTTAGGAACACAGGCCTCTGACAGCCTCCATCCCACTTACTGGACAGTCAGATCACAAAGCCAGCCGACCTGCAGTAGACACAGCTCAGACTCATGGCAAGCACAGGGGCTCGCCCTGCAGACCCCAAAGGACTGAGACGAAGCCACAAAGTGAAAATGAGTCTTGAGGCCTCCTGGGGCCGTGGGGCGTGTGTGGATGGGGCGAGAGCTGGCTCTCCTTGTGCAGTGGAAGGGGAGGTGCCTGGAGACCTCATGTGGCGTCCGTCCCTCTTCTGTGCCTCCAGAACTGGGGGACCAGGGACACTGGCAGAGAGGCTGCTAGCTGGGAAGGGGACACGACAGGCCCCAGAGAACCATCCACACCTCCAGGGAGGGGAGCTGAAGCAGAGGCAGCCAGGGGCCTTCCTGTCACAGGGTTCAGGTTTATGCAAGGCCCTTAGGGTTGATCTGTTCTTTTTTTTAAAAAAGTGATCTAATTAAGTTTTTCTAAATTTAAATTTACATTTACATTGGTGCATAAAAGCTTGCATTGTACTGTGGAGAGTCTCGATCCCTTGCTATAGTACGCACTAGGAAGTGTGTAAATCAGCGTAAACATGCCTGTCTCCTCCAGCACTTACCAATCTTACCGTGAAACCAAAATCCCTTTTTGTCTGTGATGTGGAAGGCGGGTGGTCCCCTACCCTGCTGCAGGAGCACCCCGGAGCCTGCTGCTCCACCTCGCTGGCCTTAGGCCCCAACCAGCCTGTCCCCTCCCTCCCTGCCCTCTGTTCCCAGCGCTGGTCGCTGGTCATCACCACTCTGCTCTCCTCCCAGGAGACCGACCTTTGAACTCTGCTGGGTTTGCTCCCACAGGCCTGTCTCTCTGACCTGGGGAAGGTCCCCTGCTGTCCATGTGGGGGCGCCCCTTCTTCTCCCGGCCCTGTCCTGCTCTGCTGTGGGCGAGTGCCGCATTTTCTCTCCCCTTCCTCCGCTGCCAGCCCTTGGGCTCAGGTCTTGGTCTTGTGCTGTGAAGGCAGAGTCCGCTGCACCTGCCAGCATCACATCCGGGTGCCAAATCTCAGAGTCGCTCAGTCGTCCCCTCTAAGCCTTTGAGGCTCCTCCATCCTATTTCCACGGTGACCGGACCACTTGCCTTCCCACCAGCTGAGCAGGGGCCCTTTCTCCACCCGCACGGTCACTTTCTGCTTCTTGCTAACAGCCTCCTGCGGCGCGTGGCCTCCCTCCCCTCTGTGGCTCTGCCTTGCATTTGCCGGGGGCTCAGTGAGGCTGAGCTCTGCTCCTCTGCGTGCAAGTCCTGAGAAAGGTCTGTGTGGGCTGGGCGGTCTCGCCACGGAGCGTGTCTGGTACCTATGTCAGGCATGGCATTTTCCCGCTGAACCATGACCCCCTTCGATTTCCTTCTGCCCCTCAGCATCTGTCCCCACTGTCCTGTGGCAGTCCTGCTGCCCAGGCTCAGGCCTGGCTGCCATCCTGTGGCCTGGCGGATGCCCAGAGCCCAGGCCGCGCAGGGCATCGTCCCTGTGCCTGTCTCCCTGCTCCTGTCCCTGGCTTTGCTGTGAGGACGTGCAGTGCTCTTTCCCTCAGTTGTCCTGGACGGCTGTTATGGATTAAAAACTGGTGTAACTTAACACTAGCAGAATTGAATCAGCATGGTGCTGAGCGTAGATGTTCCACCTGAGGAAAGCTGCCAGCGTAGAGACGTGGAGAAGACAAGCGAAGTGTTGTGGGTTTCTCTAAGCGTTGCTGTTTGAACCATTGGTTCTCCTGGAGGAGCTCATCATGACTAGGCTCCCCAGTGTGAGTTTGACCATTGTCATACGAGGAGCTTGGGGCCTATGTGTCGCTGAGGATGGCTGTGGTGCTTTTCAGGGCAGCCCTGGTCTTTGTTGTGAGTGTGATTTCTTGGCTCCAGTGTAGAACCCTCAGCCTACCAGCACAGCTCCTTCACCCCACTGGCATAGACTTTGGAGCTTCTACCGCTGACCTTTGGGCCTTCCCAGGACACCCGTAAAACAAACTGGCATGAGTCCTTCTTGTGAGCTCTAGACCTCCAGGTGGACTCCTGGGAGGCATTGTCATGGGCTCTAGGTTTTCACCTGGACTCATGCAAGACATTGTTGTGGGATCCAGGCCCTTGGCTGGATATTCTGTGTCTTTGGTGTTGTGGACAGATTTCCTGTACTTTCTTGTGTTTAACTGTGTGTGACCATCATAATATAAATTTTGTGTCCTGATTCTAATTCTTCTCCTCACAACCTCTGACTACAACAGTGACTGACCCTTCCCAGGGCCTACAGTGTGAGTGGTGCTTCGCATTTGTCTGTTGGCTGGCATACAGTAACCATACACTGTGATGGTCACTGTGAAGGGGACCCTGGCTAACCATAGGGGGGCCCAGAAGGCTCTCTGAGGAGGCAGAGAGTAAGAGCCATGGGGAAAGGGAGATCAGTAGGCAGGAAGAGCATATACCAAGGCCCTGGGGTCAATGTGCTTAAAGAATTGCAGGCATGTACCTGAGCTGGGGTTTTCTGGATCTTTGTTTTTATCCTAAAAGCAAATGCAGGCCAAAGAGGAAGCTGCAGTCCAAGGGGAACAACTTGGCTGGGTGGCCCCAGGGGCCAATTCCTGCCCCTCCCTACCCCTTGGTGAACCTAGATCAGCAGGGCAAGGATCTTCACACCTCCTCTGGTATCAGACATGCATGGATGGTGAAGCAGCTCCTCAGGGCAGAGCTGTGTCGGCTTGGGCTGCTGATCCCAGGGTGACCAGGGACCCCCGGGGGTGTCCTCATCCAGCACCTTTCCATCCACACAGAGGCCTTTGCGGTCCTGCCCTTGGGTTAGAGGTCCCCCAGCACTTCTTGCTGAAGCCAGTGCTGGGGGGAGTGGCTGTGCCTTACATCTCTGATGTTACTCCTGGAGAAACTGAGGCACAGAGACTGCAGCTTGGCCTCAAAATCCTGTGCTCTGTAGCACCCAGTCCCTGCTCAGGAGAGGACAGCCTGTGCCCTTCTAGCAGCTGGGGATGCCCCACGGCCAAGGCTGTGGCCGGCCTGTGTGCGGGGCGCAGGGCTCCCTCCCGCCCCAGGCCCCGTTGCTCACACCCTCCCCCGGCCCACAGCGACGTCCACCCAGCTGCGCTGCCGGCAGAACACACCATCGTCTTCCTTCTGCGCCTGATCCCGGAGACACCCCGTGAGGCCTTCGCGCTGTGGCAGATCACAGCCGAGGACTTCCAGCCTGTCCTTGGGGTTCTCCTGGATGGTATGTAGCCCAGGGTCACCCTTGGTGGCAGGGAGGGAGGGGGCCAGGGTCACCCTATCCCGCACATGGTGTGGGAGTCAGGCTCTGACGGTGCGGGGTCGCCAGTGTAGGCACCGTGCTGTGCGGGCATCCGGCAGGGACCATGGAGGGTGTGGGGAGGCGCTGCACCCTCAGGGTGGCCCCTGGACCTGGTGGGAGCCCTGGCCGGGCCTGTACCGTCCACGCTCTGTCTGTCCCTTTTCTCGGGCTCTGGAACCGCTCTCACCTGCTCTTGTCCCCCCTGGCAGCTGGCAGGAAGTCACTGACTTACTTCCACCACAACCCCAGGGCAGCCCTGCAGGAGGTCACCTTTGACCTGCAGGAGATGAAGAAGATTTTCTTCGGGAGCTTCCACAAGGTCAGCCGTCCGCCTGAGCCCGTGGGCCCTGCGCTGTGCCGTCCCCTCGTACACAGTGTCCTCCTCTGCTGCACCAGATCCCAGCCCTGAGCCCCCTTTGCCCCAGCTATTCCACTATACGTGGGCCAATCCAGCCTCTCTGTGGGGGAGGCACCTGTGGCAGGCATCACTGAGAAGCCGAGGCCAGCACCGTGTCCCCAGGACCCAGAGATGAGGCGAAGAGCAGGATCGCAGCCCCACCCCAGGTGTGGGCCCATGGCCCGCGTGTTTGGGTCCAGACCCAGCAGCCAGGACAGTGCCAACTATGGCTGGGGCAGCAGGGGACCCCTGTGGTATCCTGGCAGGTACACGTGGCAGTGGGCCGCTCCAAGGTCCGGCTCTACGTGGACTGCCGGAAGGTGGCTGAGAGGCCCATTGGAGAGGCTGGCAGCTCACCTGTCTCTGGCTTTGTCACCCTGGGGCGACTGGCCAAGGCCCAGGGGCCCCGGAGCAGCTCGGCCGCAGTGAGTCTAGGTCTTGTCCTGCAGGGTGTGTGGGTCTGTCCCATGGCCTGCGTGGGGCTGACCTGCTCCCCGTGTCAGTTCCAGCTCCAGGTGCTGCAGATCATGTGTGGCGACACGTGGGCAGATGAGGACAGGTGCTGCGAGCTCCCCGCCTCTGTGAGTGCTGCAAGGCCAGGAAGGGGTGCAGTCAGCAGAGCTGGAACTCCAGGGCTGCTGGGACCCAGAGGCCAGTGCTGGGTCCTTGCCGGGTCCTCGAGTGCCAGCGTTGGTTCTGGCCATGGGTGCCTGGGAGGGAGTAAGGGGGCACTCTCATCCTGCCTGGGGCTCCCAGGGCTGCTTATGCACACAGGGCATAGCGCCCATGCCAGGTGTGGGTCGGTTTCCCTGGAGCCAGCATCCTCTCTGTATGGAGCCCTGGTCAGAAGGACCAGGGGATGGTCCCCGCAATGCAAGGTCTTCTTTCTCCTAGAGAGACAAAGAGACATGCTCAGTCTTCTCTTCTGCCTGTCCCTGTTCCTCTGACACCCGCGGGCCTCCAGGGCCCCAAGGCCCTCCGGTGAGTCCCACAGTTGTCCCCTGGTGGGGTCCAGCTGGCCTATGGCTGCCATGGCAACATAAGGCAGCCCTCTAGCAGGAGCCCAGGCCTAGCCCTCCCTGGGCCCACTGCATGGAAGACACCTGTGTGTCTGCTCCCTTCTGTGTCCCCACCAGCAATCAAGCCAGGCCCGTCCTCCCTACCAGACCTCCCTCTCCCAGCCAGGGTCCTACCTTCAAGGCAGGCACCCCTCTCCCTGCCTGGTGTGGAACCTGCATTTTCCATGAGTCCCTGACAGGATGGGGCCTCCAGGACTGTGTTACACAGCCTGGCCGGAGAAGCAGCCCTGCCCATGACTTGTGCTGGGTGCTTCCGATGGCTGTGTAGCCACGGGCCCTTCCTGCCAGGCTCTCCAGTTCCTAGGGCCTGGTGAGAGGTGGGACCCAAGATGCTCAGACTGGCCTGCCATGGGCACCTGTGCCACCTAGCCAAGTTCCCCAAGGGCCCCTCTGTCAGGGTGCTCCCTGAGTGGGTGTCCCTAGGTCTCCCCATACAGCATGCCAGGGACTAAACCAGATCTGCCTGAGTCTAGCATATGCCAGCTGGAGGGAAAAGGAGCCTGAGTGTCCCCTCCTTTGGAAGTCCCTTCCCCAGCCACAGGGACAGAGGCCAGGGCTGGGCAAGGCTAGAGGGTAGGGGAGCCTTGGGGGAGCTGAGGGTTAGGGCGGGTTTGGGGCTCAGTCCTGCATGTGCCTTCCCAGGGCCTCCCAGGGAGCAGCGGTGTCCCAGGACGGCAGGGCCTCCCAGGGCCTAAGGTGAGTTGGCTGCCAGTGAGGGTGGAAGGGCGCCCTAGACTCCAGGGAAATTGGGGATTGTCAGGGCTCTCCCTCACCACGGGATGCTGGCCCTTCGCCTGGTGTTCAGAGGATGCCCCCTCCCACCACCCTGCCCTGTGCAGGGTCTTCCCCACAGGCTGAGTGGGACGAGGCTGGGGGAGCTGAGTCACTGCCCAGTGGTAGCCCGGGCTGCCTGCTCTAAAGCCACGTGTTCCTCCACTCTGGACACGTGCTGAGGAGGCCAAGCTCACAGAGCAGCTTCACCCAGGCTGAACGTCCACACATGGGGCCGGGCATGCCTGGGACCCAGGCCTAGCTCTGCAGAGAGGGAAGTCTGTGTCCTCAGCAATGACAGAAACACCTCACTAAGTGACGATGCTGCCTGGGCCACGTGTCCTGAAGCGGCCCAGAGGCTGCAGAGCCACCGGTTGTCAGGTGCAGTGGGGCTGCCAGCTAGTCTGCTTCCGGGCGGGGCGTGCATGTGGTTCCCCTGCTGCAGGTGGCCCCTGCGCACGGTGCCGAGCTGGCCCTTCAGAGGGGACACACAGCACTGTCAGCCACTGCCACCCTTGCACCTTGTGAGCTCTGGGTCCTCCGACCCTGCCCTGTGGTGGCTCCTGCTGCGTGGGATCGCTGTTCTCAGGGAAGGGTGCGCCACACCCGCCATTTGGTGTCCTGGTCCTCCGTGCAGACCTCGCTGCACTGTCCTCTGGGGCTCGAGAGTCGTGCAGCAGCTTTGAGAGGCCTTCCGCATTCTGGGGCGGGAAGTTCTCTCCCAGGCCTCGCAGGGCCTCGCCCTCGTACCTGAGGAAGGGGAGGGCAGGCAGCAGCTCTTCCCAGATACCCCACGGCCCCACTGGGCTGCTGAGGAGCTGGCTGTCTTCACCGTGTCCCTCTTTCCCTTGTGTGCTCTGTCCTACCACGATGTGTCCATCTCACATGCGAGGACCTCACCCACATCCAGCCTTCTGAACCTGCAGCGTTCATGTGGCTGGGTGCCCTCAACTGCAGATGGAAAATATTTGGGAAAAACGTACAAACCTTTTCTTCCCGACCACTGTGGAGCAGTAATCACTGTGTACTTAGCACACACACTGTGCCAGGAATACGTCACTCAGAGATGATTTAGGCCCATGGGGCGTCTGGCAGGGCTGGGCGACACCATGCCACTTCACACATCACCACCGCACCTTCTCCTGTCTCCTCCTCCTCTGCCCCACACGAGGGCTTGGAACTCACCAGACAGCCGCGGCGCAGATTCCGGCCTGTGCCGGCTGAGCAGCCGTGCCCAGCTCCGCCTGCCGAGCGGAGAGCAGACGTGGAAAGGAAACAGATATATTTTGTCACATGATAGTAAAACCCACTTAGCCTTAATTTATTATGAGATTTAAAGATCAGGAACGGATGTTAAGTAAGATTTAGTGCTCGCGCAACAGTTGTGGACACAGGAAAATGGTTTCCTCTCCGACCGTTTGCTATTAATTTGGCCTGTCCCTGGATGCCCGCTGTTCTCGCAGCCGATGAAAACCAGCTCTATCGCTGGTCCTTCACCCCTCGCCATGCAGCTCGCGGCACACTCTGCCAGCTGGCATCTTATTTGCAGTTGCGTAGCTGCGGAGTTGGGAATGGTGACCGGCGTAATTCAAAAACAATTGGAAGTGTGTCTCCCCAGCTTCACACAATTTAAGCAGTGTTGGTGTCATTGGTTCCTCAGATTCGGATTTCCAGTGAAATCTGAGTGTGGTGTTTTTTGGGGTTCAGCGTTTAAGGGACGCCTTCCTGTTTCTGTGTGATTGGCCTGTAGAGCTCCTGCCCCTCTTCAGGAGCCTGCCCAGCGTCCTGGGGGCAGTGGGTAGCCCTGGCCTCACTTTGACTCTGTCCTTGCTCCTTGGGGGCCCTGGAGGGGCAGCCTGCTCTGTGGATGCAGTCACACCCTGCCCCCCAGGGCGGGCCTGGGGCCACCTCTGAGCTCTGGCTACAGCACCTTGTGGCCTGGGTCCCAGAGCCACACAGCAAGTCAGAGGGCTGGAGGGCTGGCAGTGAATAGGAAGGGGCATGGGGCCAGGGGGGCTTCTTAATCCCCCACTTGTGTCTCTAGGGAGAGCCAGGGCCACCAGGACAGACAGGACCTGAGGGCCCTGGAGGACAGCAGGGGTCACCAGGGACCCAGGGCCGTACAATCCAAGGGCCTGTGGTAGGTGCTGCCTCACCCCCACCCCCACCCCACCCCACCCCTCCTGTCTGCCCTCCCTCGATCTGCTGAGCCCACGTTCCCCTCCAGGGTCCACCAGGAGTCAAAGGCGAGAAGGGAGACCACGGACTCCCAGGCTTGCAGGTAGCGTGGGCTGGGCCACATAAGGGCAGGGCTGCGTGGTACCCCTCCTCCAGGTACGACTATGGGCCCTGTCTGGTCCACACCTGCTGCCTGGCCTTTCTTCCCTTTCAGGGCCACCCTGGCCAGCGAGGTGCTCCTGGGAGAGTTGGCCTCCAGGGACCAAAGGTACTGGCTCTGACCGCAAAGGCACCCATGGGTGGGTGAGAAGTGGGGAGAGAAGGGGGCGTGGCTCTTCCTGCTCTGTCTGCCCTAAGCACCTGCATCCTGGTAGGAGGGAGGGAGCCCCAACTGGCACCAGGCCAGGTGCCATCACTGCCTGGGGTTGGGTGAGGGCAGCAGCTCAGGGCCTGTGGCTTGCAGAGCCTGGGGCAGGTGTGTGGCCGCCTTCTCTGTGAGCGTGCCCAGCATGTCCTTCTCTTACCAGGGAATGAGAGGACTGGAGGGGCCCGCAGGCCTGCCTGGACCCCCTGGCCCCAGGGTAGGCACTGATTCTCCTGTGCCCTCGCCGGCATCCCTGAGGCTCCTTGGGGCTGGGCAGCCATCCAGGGAAGAAGGGACTGATGCTGCCTGCCGTGTCCAGCCATCCCTGGAAATGACCTGGAGGAGGCTTTGTGCCTGCTGGAAGCGTCTCCAGGGCTCTATGTCTGGGCCTGGAGCATAATCCTGTGGAGATGCAGCACTCACACGGCCTCGACGACACTCCTGTACCCCAACTTTGTGGGGCAGCAGTATAGGGCTCCTGCTTGGGCCAGCCTGGTGGGGCCAGGCTGTCTGTGGGGACAGCTCCCTGCTGCCTCCACCTGCTGTGAGATGAGCCCAAGTCTGGCCAGCTGTGCTAGAGGCGGAGGGCTCTGCCCTTGGAAGGGGGTCTCAGGATCGCAGCCAAGGCACAGCTGGCATCTTCAGGTTGTCCTTGGGGGTGGTTATGCCCCCAGGAGCCAGCAACTTGGATACCCAAAAGCTCCAACAGACAGCTGGCTGGGGATGGGAGGTTCTCCCTGGGCCCTGAGCGAGGGTGGTGAGGCTCTGCCCAGGTGAGGAGTATGTGGGGTACACCCTTGGCTCTGGGCAGGGGTACAGGACCTGGACTGGGCTGGGGAGGTTGAGGGCAGCTAAAGTTGAGCTCAGGGCTCTGGCCTCAGTTGAGCAGCAGGACCCAGGCTACTCAGGAACCAGAACCACAGGGGCAGACTCGCCAAGGCCCCAGCTGAGCCCAGGCTACCATTTTCTGCAGGGGTTCCAGGGCTTGGCAGGAGCCAGGGGCACCAATGGGGAGCGAGGGCCACCCGGGGCTGTGGGACCCACGGTAAGTCCCCTCTCTAACCAGCCAGCCAAGGGTACAGCAACCTGCTGTGTCCAGGCTGACTTCCTGCTCCCACCATTCCTGCAAGTTGGGGGTCTCCAGCAACTTCGCAGGTCCCAAGGTCCAGTCCCTGCTGCAGGACATCAAGCCTGATTTGCCTGCTCTGGGGTGCAGCAAGGGGCTCATGCTCGTAGGATCTGAGAATCCAGGCCTGGGCTTTGGCCTCACTGCTGGCTGGGTCCTACTCACCAGCCATGCACCAGAGCTGGGGTTGCCAGTGGGTCCAGTGCCTGGACTCAGGCCCTGTTGCATCTGCCACGGCCTCTGGGTCACTGGGTTTCCTCCTCTGCCTCCTGCTGCAGGGGCTGCCAGGACCCAAAGGAGAGCGAGGCGAGAAGGTGGGTGCAGTTGAGCATCTGGGGCTGTGGCCCAGCTCTGGTGGTCGGGCCTCCCCGGGTGATGCCAGTCACAGGTCCCAAAGCCTTGTCCTCCCTCCAGGGTGAGCCTCAGTCCCTCGCCACCATCTTCCAGCTGGTGAGCCAGGCGTGCGAGTCAGCCATCCAGAGTGAGTGGGGCCCCGCCCACCAGCCCACCATCCTCGTCTGTCGGGCAGGGTCCTGCTCAGGCTGGACTGCCTCTCCTACAGCGCACATGCTCAAGCTGGACTCCTTCCTGCACGAGAAAGCCAGGCCCCCAATGCCCATCATGGCAGAGATGGCAGAGCCAGGCAGGCCTGGGCCCCTAGGGATCCCCAGGCTGCAAAGCAAGGCCTCACTTCCTGGAGACCAGGGATCAGGGTACCATCGCCTGGAGCATCAAGGTCAGGCTGCCTGCTCTTGGGCGGGCCTCCAGGGTGGGGATGGGTGTGTGCGTGTGTGCATGCGACTTTTCTCAGGAATTGGGTGAATCCCACTGTAGCCAGAAAGTGTCTCGGGAGCAGGGAAGGTACAGGGAGCCACAGGGGCCCCACCAGAGGAGCCTGCCCTGCCTGCCCCCTGGGCCAGCTGAGGCCTAGAGGCCTGGCGTGCTGCTGTCCTGAGCTCTTAGCCCTGCTGAGGTCCAGGCCTGCTACCCCTCTGGTCAGAGCAGGGTCCCAGGAAAGCAAAGCTGTGGCTGCCGCCCCTCTGGTCTTGGCACATCCCCTCTCCTCTCAGGCAAGCCTGTAGCCGTCAGCCAGCCAGGAAGCCCTGGGCTGCGGGGAAGTTGGGCCCCAGGATCCCCGGAGGTGACAGGTGAGTCTGTCATAGCACCCACCGAGGGTCACACACATTCAGGAAGGAGGAGTGACCAGGTGGGGACACACAGAGGGTGCAATGATCACTCCACAGCAGGAAGTGCCTGGCTCCCACAGGAGAGGACCAGGGTGGGGTCCTGAGAGAGGCCAGCAGCAGGGTAGGAGCAGGGCCAACCTGTGAGCCACAGAACGTGAGGAGCAGAGGCGGTGAGGGACCATGGGTCCTTGGGAGCTGGCGATGGGAAGGAAGGCCTTGACCAGGCTTAGCCCTGCAGGGAGGGTGCAGCCCAGGGGCACCCCATAGCATAGGGACATCCAGCCCAGGTGTGAGGCAGCTCTGCTGAGGCCTCAGGGGCCTTTCTGGGAGCCTACAATGTCCCGAGGCTAGGAGGTGGGCCCATGGCACCAGGGGACCCTGTACTTCCTCCACAAGGACTGCTGTGTAAACAGTCTCCGGGGACCACTTCCTGGAGAACAGAGGAACAGGGCAGAGGTGGATGCAGGGTGGGGGGGGCAGAGCTTCATCCTGTCCAGTTCTGAGCCAGAGGGTGCTGAGGAGAAGACGTGGCCAGCACAGCCACAGAGAAGGCCGAGGAGGGAAAGTGTGTGGATAAGGCGGGTGGCCCACCCTCGTAGGTGGGGGACACTGCCTGCAGGAGCCCAGGGTGGGCAGCAGGCCAACCAGAGATGAGCAGGCCATGCCATGCCTGCGCTGGGACCTCAGCTCTCAGAAAGCCTGAGTCGACGGTGCAGGCGGCATCCTCAGCTGGCATCCAGCTTCTCGGACCCCCTAGTTTCACCTGCCCCTCTCTCCCAACAGGATGTCCCCCATGCTGCCCCAAGTGACCCTGCGCCTTCTGCCCGCACCTCCCCCGGCTCTGTCTGGACTGGGAAGGAGCATGTCCTGCAGAACCAAGAACAAGTCCCCAGGAGGACAGCGGTGGGGGGGGGGGGACGACACAAGGGGTAAAGCATACACCGAACTCTGTACTCAGCAGCATTACCAAGTCAAATAAACTGAGATGGCTCATCAGACAGTGCCGTTGGTGCCACTGCGGGCGGGGTCTTCACACCTGCTCAGTGTCACTTTCAGCTCACACACGACACCGTCTGGGTTTTTAGCTCCTTCCTCAGAGCCCAACTGAATTCTATGCCACCCCTCACCAGGGACAGCTGGTGGCTCACCTGCTTACCCTGTCACCAGCACCCACCAGCATGCTGTCAGCCCTGTCACCAGCACGCTGGCCAGCACACCAGCCAATGTCCTCCACCCTCCAGGTTCCTGTCCCACCAGGGCTACAGTCCAGGCTTCCTTCTTGTCAACCCCAGAATGCAACAGCTTCCTGCCATGCCCATCCCAGGGCCTTTGCACACACGGTGCCTTCTACCACGCTCCTCCCCAGGTGCTCATGGTTACCAACAGTATCCCTACCGTACAGCAGTGCCCCCACCCTGCCCCAGCGTCCCTTTGCATCTGGGTGTGTGCAGGGCTTTACTCCCACTTTGTCCCTACCCAGGTCCAGATTCCTGTGTGAGTGACGCCGTCGCTCACAGGCTCAGCCTCTGCACTGGGCTCCTTGTCCTCAGGCTCTCAGAAAGCAGTGCCTGTGCCTGCTGTGCTCCATGGCATGTCTGCCCTGGCCCCTCCCCAACACTTGTGGACCCCATGAGGGCCAAGAGCCAGGACAGAGCACCCTGCGACTCCGCCAGCCTCAGCCAACACAGCACATCCCAGCACGGCACGGCTCACTCTCTGCCGACAGCTCTCAGGTCTGCAGGCCCCACCAGCCAGTCACAGACCGGAGGAGATGCATGACATTCAGATGGGCTTGGCCCAAGGGACCATGAAGCATCAGGCTGGTCAGTGTCACAGCTCGCACATCTGGAAGCTGTGGTAGCTTGTGTGCAGCGTCACACATGGTCACTGAGAGTAGTGACCCACGCAGGCCACTGGCTTGTGTCTGAGACCTGCACAGCAGGGTTCAGGGTCCAGCTAGTGACGTGGCTTGGTTGGGCAACTCTGTCTCTCCAAAACATTTTATGGCTTCTCCAGCAGCGGAACAGCTGCACTACACCGAGCCCCAGGACATTCACAGCCCTGGGAGCCTTGCCATGGAGGCTGGGGTGTGACGGAGGGGAGACCCAGGTCAGCTTAGCGAACTGGGCTGACAGCCAGACGAGGCTGCTTGCAAGTGCTGGAGGTGGGTCACCCCACAAGGCCTGAGGGCTAGGGCTGTCGCCCCCCACCTTCCAGAGCCTGGGACAGCCAGCCAGGACCCAGCTAGAGCTGAGTGTGGAAGGCGCTGCCGCAGTGCCAAGAGCTGGCCACTGGGAGGCCGCAAGCTCAGGAAAAATTCAAAGGCCAGTGCCTGAGACAGGAGGGGAAGGGGACGATGTTGGGGTCCACCACAGCCCCACCAGCCACGCCTGGCCAGCATGCTGGAACAGAGAACATGCAGCGGGTGGGTCAGCGTAAGAAGAAGGTAGAACCGCTGACGGGATGGGGAAGATCACAGAGTGCTAGGAGCCACCCGGGGCCAGCAGATCTACAGACAAGTTCAGGTCTCATCAGCTGGGCAGGTTTTAGAAAACTCCCAAAGACACTTGGCAACAAGAGAGCCACTTTGCAAGGGGCCTACGCTTCCCACTCGCCTCCAAAAGGCAAGGATGGGGTTTGACACATCTGGGAACCTTCTGTGGCCAGGCACAGTGCGCACACCTGCAATCCAGGACCCTGGGAGGCCAAGGTAGAGGCTCTGCAAGTTCAAGCCCAGCTATGGCATGACCTAGTGAGACCCTCTCTCAAAAAACTTATAAAAGAAAAGAAAAGAGGGCTGGGACGCTGCTCAGTGCAGGCCCTAGGTTCAAACCCTCATACTGAAAAAAAAAAAAAAACAAAAACGAACCTCCTGTAAAGTATGTAGTACTCGGAATGGGCACATGTGTGCCTGCACGTGTGCGTCCCTGTGACATTAATCCTCAAGAAGCTGTTACAATAGGACAGCTGCTTCCTCTTGAAATCACACACGTGCGTGTGCACACACACATGCATTTACACACACCCGTGCGTGTGTGGTAGTGTCATCCAGGTTTAGGGGAGGGGCTGGCAAGGTGAAACTGAAGTATCTGAGAGGAAAAATACAGATGGAGACAAACCGAGCAGTCTACACCACACCGAGATGTACCCATGGTCTCCTCAGCCCGTTCACCTTAAAAAATCATGAAGTGCCAAAGACGAGGAGGGATGTTGGTAACGCAAAGCCAGAGACCGCAGGTATAAATAAAGGAAGCCAGCCAACAAAGGAAAGATAAGTCAGTAAGGAGGCCCAGGAGAGAGGTGGACACCGCTAACATCACTGAGCTGCAGCGGCAGGCCTGAGAAATCTCCAGAAGCTTGAGGGTTTGAAGAGTAGGAAATGGGCGCAGCATACCCACAGGACAAGGAGGGACTCCGCGGGCGAAGGGATGCGGCCTGACTGTTTTAGTGAGCATTAATTAGAGAGAGATTTATAATTGCAGATTAAAAGGCCTCCGACACCGCCAAACAGGACAGATTCACAAATGCACTTATGCACTGGGGGTCGGGGCCAAATGCTCCCAGGGAACCTGGCCGAGCCTGGGAACGGGGCTGGCGTCAGCAGACCAAGGGCAGCGAACAGCACTGGGTTCAAAAGCACCCAGCAGAGTTACCACCTAAGTGACCGGGAAACACTGTGTGAGCATCACAGGGCGGCAGGTGGGGGACCCCTTCCCAGGTGGGGGGTCCTGGTGCTGAGGTCAGCATGGCCAGAGCAGCCAGGCCCTCTCCGTCTGCAGGGGCCAGTACTGAGACGCTGGGCTGTCCCAACAAGGCGGACGCAAGGGCAGTGAGGGGAGCTTCTCTGGACCAATTCAGTGAGCCCTGGAGAAACGTTAAGTATTTAAGTCAGGGGGCTGGGGATTTAGCTCAGCGGCATAAGCGCCTGCCTTGCAAGCAGGCAGTCGTGAGTTCGATCCCTGGTACCGATAAAAACAAAAAAGACCAAAAAAAATGTGGAAAAAAAAAGTATTTAAGTCAGGAGCAGCCACAGGAGTATAAAAACAGATGAGCAAAGCTGACTAGGTCAAATGTTCTTCTTCAGAGGGGGCATAACAGAGACAGAGACAGCCCAGGGCCGGGGATCCAGCTCAGGGATACAGCGCCTGCCTGGCCAGTGCGAGGTCCTGAGTGTGAGTCCCAGTACCAAAAGAGGAAAGAGATGGCTCAAGTATTTGCCAGAGTAGCAGAATCTGTAACAAATGTGCGCTTTGCTTACTGAGAGAACTTCCAGCTCCCAGCCACAATGGAGTAATTAATCCTGGACCCAGAACCACCCAAACGTAAAATAAATCCACGAGGCACTCAGTGTTCAGCATTTCACAGGAAAGGACAGTGTTTTTAAGAAACGGACACAAAACAGTGTCTGAAGAGCAAAGCATGAGGTACCCACAGCCTACCCCATACCCGAGCTAACACCACAGAGAAAACCACACGTTCTAGAGGAAACACAGGACACGCACTGCTTTGGGAGGGGCAGCGATTCTTAGTCGGGGACACGGCAACAATAAAAGGGAAAGAAGTATCTCATTGAAATGAAAGGCTTTTCTCTGAAAGACATCATTAGGAAGACAAAGAGGATCCTCTCGGTAGAGGAAGGACTCCTGCTGCCTCTCTGCTGACAGCCTCCTGCCCAGATGGACAAAACTGGGAAAATACTGGGGGGGAGGCCTCCCCTAGGACAGTGCTGGGGGGCACACTGGTCATCAGGGAAGTCAGTCGTCCCCTGTCTGGGACAGCTTAATATTAAAAAGACCAAAGCCACCAAGTGGGGGGAGAACAGCTCGGCAGGGCTTGGGAACGATCAGAATGGAACCACTGTGACACCTGGTGATTCCACTGGGTATTCACCTAAAAGAAATGAAACCAGGTTTCCACAGAGTCTCATACGCAAGTGTTTGTGGCACCTGCCTCCGTGGGGCTCACGGTGAAAGCCTTCTGAGTGTCCATCAGCGAGTGACCACTTGCACATGCGCCTTCCGCATGGGTCCGAATCACAGGTAGTGATGTGGCCGGAGAAGGAGCCTCTAAAACACCCACAAACAGACTCTGCAATCAAAACTGGGCACAGAGGGACAGGAAAGAGCTCTGGGGTGGTTGAAAGGCTCTGAACTTCCTCAGCTCTGTCTGCAGGAAGCCCGCGTGCTGTGCAGGACACGGAAGGTAAAGGTGAGGAGGAGAAGGCGGACCACGCGGACACCACTGAAAGAAAGCCGGCCATGCAGCTGTCAGAAAAGGTGGACTGTGCAACACAGGAAGCTCCTGGGGGCACAGAGAAGCAGCCCATCAAGGGGACACAGCTGACCATCAAGCATGAGAAGCAAAAGCCATCAGAACAGGGATAAGGGCAGATCCACAGTCATCCTTGGGGACATGGGCTCCCCCTCAGGAATCCACAGAAAGGACAGGAAGCCATCAAGGGAAGAGAAGACCCGATACTTCTGTCACCTAACGGGCCTGGCCAGCATTTCCAAAATGAAACAAATTCAAGTGTATTTGGGACATTGACCAAGACGGCGCATTTGCAGAGACCAAAGACACGTGCGGCAAATTCAAAGGGACTGGATCAAACAGGCTGCTTCTCTGACTATCAAGGAACCAAATTAAAATCAATTGTGAAGATGGGAAAACCTACAAAATGAGAAGAGGCGTTTTATAGAAAAGAGCACAGCCCAATAAACATGTGCCAGGGTGCCCATCAGCAGTTAAAAGTGTTACCCAGATCCAGGGCAGTTAAGCGCAGTGTAAGCCACAGTCCACCAAGGGCACCAATCAGAGCCCTGGTATGGAGGGTGCGGGGAAGGAGGGGACAGAGGGCTTCTCCCGGATACCACCACTCTGAAAAACTGTTTGACGGCAGCTAACCAAGCTGACGCCATGTGCCTCCTGCAACCGAGCCACCTGCCCCTGGGTCTGAAGCAGGCACAGCAACACCCCCCACGGCAGCTCCACCTTGGACCACCCTCATGTCCGGCTCCAGAATGGAGTAACGGGTGACACACAGAGAGCCCAGCTACATGCAGCAGCCCAAACAGGATGATGGAAAGGAGCTGGCACAAGAGTGCACCCTGAGGGACCCACACTTGCACCCCAAGGCAGAGCTTGTTGGATGCTGGGGAGAGGCCCCGGGCACCAGCAACAGGAGCGGTCCGCTCTGAAAGTCGGCAGCCATCGTGCTGCGGAGAAGTCACACGTACTGTGTGCACGTGACCCCAAAGACAGGCAAATACCAAGAAATGTCAGCGGGATTAGGGTAATGGAAGAGCCCGCTACAGATGGTGAGAGTGCAAACGGCGGGGTAATCACATGGAAGCATTTTTGCATTATCTCCTAAAACCCAGTGCAAACCCCACAGCTGAACAAGTCTGTGCCAGGTATTGCACCTGAAGCAAGGCACTTCCAACTGTGACTCAAGAAATCAACCTGGTAGACTGCAACCAGTATTTTTCTGTAGGTTGAAATGAAAGAGAGTAGAATTTAAAATGCCAGAGCACAGTGCATGCATGCAGGTTGTAACCTGCGCTGTGCACGCAGCGGGCGTATTTCAGGGACTGAAAACCTGGTGCAAGGAAAAGCCAGACAGCAAGAGACTCAGCTGTGTGACTGTCGCTTGCTCATCTGGGAGACCAGCTGGACAGGGCATGGACACACAAAGTGGTCTCACACCAGCACAACTTGCTCCATGTGAGCTGCATCCAGCGTGCTCCACTCACATCTGTCTCGGACACAGAGTAACTGGACTTTCACACATTTGCAGTAGGAAAGCACAGGCATTCAGCCACTGTGGGGTACAGAGAAGCTACATCTGGCTCGGGGACAAGCCGTCCACACAGGACCCAGGACAGCTCCAGCTATGTGCGCACCAGTCTTTGTAAGGGAGAGTGGCAGACTCTGGAAAGGCCACACTGTTTCCTGAGAGGAGTGGCCTGGCCTGTCGGGCAAGGCCGGGGGGAGGAGGGCAGAGCACCAGGTTGGTCAAGAGGTGCAAGGGGACCAGGAGGCTGGGCAGGACAGAGGAATCAGTGTGGGGGGCAGTGTGGACACTGCAGCATGTGCTGAGCAGGGAGGCGGTCTCCAGGGGCTGGCAGGGCCCCAATGGCTGGTATGGGTCTGGAGCACGGCGGAGGTACAGCCCTGGAGGCACCTGCCTGTGCCCCTGGGAATCGGCCAGCTCATGGGTCTGAAAAGCCCCCTCGATCTCAGAATGTTAAAATGTACAGAAAATAAAGAGATGTGATTACACACAAGAGCAACGGGGACCTGCGCGCAGAGAGACGGACACACAGCACCTGGATCCACAATGACGGTGACAGAAAGCAAAGCCCACAGGTAGACACGCTGCGACTCGGTTTATTCAGACAGAACACTGCTTGGCAACAAAGAACCGAAATGCAGCACGACAGGGAACTACGATCACACAACACAGATGGATGTCAACATTGTCACACTGAATGGAAAAAGCCACCCACCCAGGGTTCTGACGTGCCATCTGTGTCCATGGCGTGCAGGGCCCAGTGCTGCCAGGCTCAGGTGGTCACGTCAGAGCTGCTGCTGGCTGGGAGGGGAGGGACAGAGGCACGGAGGCACTAGGAGGCCAGGGCAGGGCCCGTGCTCTTTCTTAACACTCACTAGCCTGAAGGTCTCTGCTCATGCATTTTGCCACAAACTTTTCAAAAGTACAGCTCAACATGGGGGGGGGTGATATGGGAACCTGGGGGTGAGGACACAGCTGCTTTCTCCTCTTTCCTAGAGTCTCTAGGTAGCAGCAGAGCTGCCTGGCAACAGTGCCCTGGCTACTCACTTCTTCTGACCCAGAAAAGAACATCTGCAGCTGCCCTGCCCAGGGGCGCCACAGCTGCCACACATCTGTCAGCCGGATCTGCTTATGCAACTCGGATCTTGGAGCTCATGTCAGAAATCTGCAGTCTCCATCCTCCTCTCAGCCTGCATCCCAACCCCAAGCGATGTGAACTCACCTACCCAGGGTCTCTGGTAACATCCTGGGGGCCCTGCTGGGGGCAGGCTGGGGTGGCTGGCACCAGTGCAGACCTTGTTGAGCAGGTGGGGCCTCAGTGTCCTGGGACAGTGCAGAGGCCTGGGGATGCCCAGGACTTGGGGCTTAGGCCTCTGCATCCCTCTGCTGGCATGAGACTCGGGATGCCTTTTCACAGGGATTCTGGGGGTGTCTGCAGGTGGGAGGGTATGGGTGGCACTAGCCCCAAGTGGCTCCCCCATCCTGACATCACTGTCCAGCAGAGACCAGCAACTTTGGGTGGCAGCTGCCGCACAGACTAGTGTGTGGCGTGTGCCAACTCCAGGCTAGGTTCTTTCCTCAGTTCTCCCAAGCACCTCCTGCCCAAGCTGGGACTTCAGCTCAGGCATAGGGAGCAGGGGCACCCCTGGCTAGTGGGCGCCCATGGAGGGGCAGGGCTGGGGCCACTGCACAGGAAGACATTTCCCATCCTGGCCCCCGGGCACTTGGGATAGCTGTCTGGTGGGGACACCACCTCAGCCCACACACTTCTGGACAAGCCAGGCAACTGGGTAAGTCCATGTCTTCGTCTCAGGCCCTGGCCTGTCTGGAAGTCCCAGGGGTCCCCATCCCATGCAGCAGCTCTGGCTCCTATGCAATGTCCCAGGTTGCACTGAGGGGGACTGTGGCCTGACCACAGCGACTGTAACAGGAAACCCCTTTACAGTCCGTCAGGCCCTAGGGGTGGCTGGGGATGTAAACAGTGGGGGTGTCAGAGGAGAGCCCCAAGGGTTGACTGCTCAGGGTCCTCCCATACAGGGAAAGCCCAAAGCATAGATGCCCATGGGATGCTGGGCTCACTGGACCTCTGAGACGTGCTCACCACGGGTCCCTGAAGCTGGACACTCGGGGCTGGACGTGGCTTCTGCATGGGGTTCCTCAGCATGGCGCTTGGTTCTCAATAACAGCCCCCGAGATGAAGAGAATGCACCAGGTCTCCCTGGTGGGCTGGGTGGGGTGACGTCAGCACAGTATGGGAAGCTGTCTGGGTGCTGGACCCCATGGTGACAAGGGAAAGGGCACAGAGAGGGGAAGAGCCTCACGGCCTGTGGCAGGACGATCCCGGGAATCTGGGAGGCTCAGGCAAGCATGGGATGTCTAAAGTTCAGGAAGGACATGTCATCTGCTCTGGAGAAACTTTAATGGGCTTAGCCAGGACACAGGACTACCCTGTGGACAGAAGGGTCACTGCAACCCCTCCCTGGCCACTGCGTGACCAGAACCAGCCCCGAAATCCAGCTCCCTTGGGAGGCAGTGTCTCTTTCCAAGGTTGTCTCACAGCATGTACGGAAGATGGGGACAAACAGCAAGTGGTGTGGCCCATAGAACTGGGGGCTCAGGAACAAGCAGGCCCAGCCACGCTGCGTCCTGGAGGTGCGTGGGCCACACCAGCTCCAGCCCTAGATCATGCCAGCCAGCCAGGGTGGCAGGAACAGGCCCACGGTGCCCAGCAGGCAGACCATGATGAACATCCAGAGGAAGATGCGGTCGATGACCATGGCCACGTACTTCCAGTCCTCCTTGACCTGCAGACACAGACTCCGAGTCACTCCCTGCCTCAGCCTCACAGGTGACCAGATAACGTTCTAGAAGCTGGGGCTCCAAGGGCAGATTCTCAGGTCCCACCTGGTGTACACCCGCATGCTCACTTACACAGCCACCTGCACGTGTGCACACACACCTGTGCACACACCTGCACCGAAGTGATGGGTGGGGCGGGAGCACGTCAGAATGACCGTCCAGCTAACCCTGGAGAAGCCAGTACTTCAGCTCAGTGTGGCTGCTGCAGGCAAGGCCCACACAGAGAAGCTGTGAGGAGCAGCCAGGGCATGCGGGCTGCACACAAGACACTCATGTGGGGTCCCTGGATTCAGATGGAGCAACACTCCCTGACACTCTGCAGGAGACTGGGGGCTCAAACTGTGCCCAGCTTTTACCAACCTGGCAGGCTGCCTGAGAACAAAGGAGGCAGAAACCAGCTGCTTGGGAGGGCTGCATGGCTGCCTGATGACATCTGTCCTCACCTGGCTAAAGCTGGGGGAGACACCATGGAGGCCAAGTCTACCTCCCCAGTGCACAGATGGCAAGAGCATGGCCCGGGGAGCTGATGCATGCCCAGGCTGTGAGGGAGTGGTCAGGGGCTGCTGGGTAACACACCAACTCCCCAGGAGGAAGCCCCATGGCAAGGGAGGTCCCAAGAGCCTGGGCTGCCACCTGACTCCTGCCCTGGGTGGATGCTCACAGCTCAGCGTATGCAGGACCTGGAGCAGGTCTGAGCAGGGCAGGCTGCTGAGTGACAACTCCACGGCAATAGACGTGCCGTCAGGGCAGAGGGTGGGCTGTGGCAGAAGCCATGCGTGAAGCCCCATCTGCCTGTTCCATCCCCACAAGGACTGTCCTGTGAAACACAGAACATGGAGGCGCGAGCAATGAAAGGAGGGGGCCCCAGCTGCACCTCTGTGAGAGCAGACCCCAGCCCAGGTACCTGCCTCTGCTAGGGGCTAATGCAGGGCAGCTCCTTCCCCCAGAGGGACCCCAGAGCAAAGATCCAGGGGAGACTGATGCATTGTCCTCACCAGGCCTGGGGCTTGCAAGTCCCTGGCAGACACCACTGCACATGGCCCTGGCCTCGCCCCACTCTGCAGCCCATGGCTGCTGCAGTCCCCTGCTCCAGCATCCATCCTGCATGGTAGTCAGCTGTCAGGAAGAGGGTGGGACAGCACCCAGGCTTGACTGGAGTGGCCTTTGGGATGGACCCTGGGAGCCAGCAGGTTGATGGACAGGGGTGGCCGGGAGAGGAGGCAGCAGGCACCAGCTCCAGCCAGCAGAGGGATGAGCAGGGCTGGCAGGCCTGGGACAGGGACAGAGGTTAGTGTTCCTGTGTAGGGCACCTGCCCTGATTTTTCAAAGCGAGCTCAGGCATCCTGATGGTTCTAAAACAAAGCTACATGGCTGTGTTGCTTTCAGAATGCCTTAGTGTGAATGTAGTCACTTCTAAATAAAAACCTCTCTGGGATCCAGTTCTGGGAGAGGCAGGGCAGCAGGACTGCTGGGCTCCTTCTGACGACCTTGAACTCTTCCCCTGTGCCCGGCGCTCGGCCCACCCTAAGATGAACCAGGCTGCAGACTAGAGCCTCCCTGCTGTCCAGGGACCTACTGCCAGTGTTGCCCACCAGAATCAGAACCAGGTCAGCATTAGCGGGTCAGCATGGAGAGGGCCCTCAAGCTGCAGCTCCCCTGCTCCAAGCTGACAACAAGCCAGGCTGATAAAGATTTTGATTAAACTTCTGATGGTATCAGTGGTACTCACTGGCTGTTACAGTTTGTGTCTGAGTGTCCCCCAAAGCCTCATGCAGTCATGGGGAGCGGGCTTTTTACAGGTGGCTGAATCTACAGTTAGTGATCAGTTTAGGGTCCAACGCTGGGATTATGGGTGTGAACACTTGACAGCCCTCGGGCGGGCAGCCTGCATATGCTTTAAGGGACAGAGAGTGGCTTGTCCCGTCTCTCTCCTCTCTCTCACTGCTTTTGCTGTCTTCTACCACCATGAACTGCTGCCTTCTGCCATGTGCCACCCTGCCTTGGAGTCAGCTAGTTATGGGCTGAACCCTCCACAACGGATTTTGTCTTGGCAAGAAGAGAAAAATAACTGAGCCAGCAGCCCACCACACGTGCCTCAGGAGCTGCAGCAAGGCAGGTTCCAGGGCTGGCACCTCCCAGGCAGGTCTGCACAACCCAGAACTTTCTGGAAAACTCCCATATAGGTTCACAAATTCTCAAGAGTCAGCAGGTTGACTCCAAGGGGCCACAATCTACTCCCTGGGGTGTGGGCACAGCTCCCCTTCGGCTCCAGGAAGCAAGCATCTGACTGCTGGGGGCCCTCGGGTTGGGGAAGGAAGCTGGCAAGAAGCCAAGGGTCCCTGGGAGGGACTGCGGCAGCAGGAACTGTGGCAGGCACCAGGCCAGGGCAAGGTCACTGTGAAAGGCAGTCACTGGCTCTGTGGAGATGGTGCAGCTGACACGGTAGGGGCCACTGAGTGGGACCTGACCTCCCCACTCCTGACCTGGCCTCCAGGTCTTCCCTCGCCCCGCCTGGCCCCCCAGCAGGCAGATGCTACAGCAGTGCAGCCAGAATCCCTGCCAGCCCCACGGAGCCCTGAGCCCCAGGCTATCTGAGCCATGACCCCAGCCCTCGAGGCCCCCAGTGAGAAAGGTTGGCAAATATCACAGAAGGAAAGAAGGGCAACACTGGTGGCAGGCAGAGGCTGAGGCAGTGCTAGCCCAGAGCTGGGTCCACTGCCTGCGGGAGCCTAAGCTGCTTGCCTGCCTCAGATCAGGTGGCCAGGATTCTCAGAGGACACAGCTGAGCCTCCACCACCAACAGGCTCACATTGAGCGGGAAGAGAAGGTAGGGTGGGTCCCCAACCTGGGACCTGGTCTCCGGAGTCCCCAGGTCCCCATGACTGTGCAGCTTCTCTCCCTGGCTCTGCCATGTGTGTTCGTGTCCAGACCCCAACTTTTTCCTCTGGGCAGCCTTGGAGATTGTCCAGCCATGCCCTTGGCCTCTGTCAGCCCCATTCCAGTCGTAGGCCCCAACACCTTGTCCACCCAGGCAGGAGCTCATCCCCACAGCTATGTGAGCCAGAAACACCTGTGTTCAGGGAAGGCGCAAGTGGACCCAGCCCTGTCACTGAGGCGAGGGTTCTGGGAGAGTCTGAAGTCAACAATAGCCTGACCACTTCAGGAGACCTGTGCTAAACGCTGCTGCTGGGCGCCACCTCCACTCTGCCACCCAACCTCCTAAGGCATAGCATCTTGGTCCTCCACCGTCCACCAGCTACTCTGGACACCTCTGTGTCCCATGGGGCAGTGACCCATGGGGCTGCCAGCCAGAAGCCACACTGTGTACTCAGAGCTGAGCAGCTGGGATCTTAGTCTCAGCCAGAGACAGAGAGCATCTGCTCATCCCTCTGAGCCAGGTGCCTCTTGGACACAGCCACAGGGCCAGGACTCACCGAGAAATCTGAGTCTTCTGCCTTCAGGTGATCGGCGATGTACTGGACACCCTCCACTGCACGAGTCAGGGCTGGTGACAGGGGTAGGTGCCGGGGTGGCACTTTGGTGCTGTGGGCCTTGAGCACAGTGATCGGGGACACCACAGGCGGCTCCTTCTTGCATGTGCACTTGCACGGAGAGGGCTGCTCTGGTGGCAGCTCGGCTGAGTGTGCCTTTGGAGAGGTCGGGGAGACAGCCGTTGGGCTGTCAGCCTGGGAGGCAGCGCCATCCCGGGGACCACAGTACTGGATGCTTCGAGACCGGCACCGGATGCCGCTCTCTGCTGCTTTATGGGGACTGGACATGTGCTGAGCGCTCAGGGACCTGGCTTTGGTGAGCCCCAAGGCCCCAGTGCTGCTGGGTGGGGGACAGGAGCTAGGCAAGGGGCAGGGGCTTCCCTTCTTGGCCCCTGAGGGCTGCAGCACAGGGGCCTGACTGGAGGGCGACGTGCCAGGAGGCTGGGATTCTTCCGGTGTCTCCGCAGGGACACCAACTGACAGGGTAGGAGATGGGCCTGGACTTCGAGAGCTGCTCAGGATGTTGGGCTCCTCCTCGGGCTCGGGCCAGAAGCGTGGGGTGCTGGCCATCTTGTGCATGGACTCGATGAGCCGTCGGCAGTTGTCCTTGACCACAGACGGCCGCTGCATGAAGAGCAGGCGGGGCACGATGTCCAGGAAAACCCTGCGCACCCAGGCGGGCATGGTGTGTGTGCGCGGCGAGCGGTGGTGCACGTTGAGCACGAAGACGGTGATGATGATGGACAGCGTGACGAAGATCATGGTGAAGAGCAGGTACTCGCCGATGAGCGGGATGACCAGCGAGGTGGACGGGATGATCTCGGTGATGAGCAGCAGGAAGACGGTGAGTGACAGCAGCACGGAGATGCACAGCGTGATCTTCTCTCCGCAGTCGGATGGCAGGTAGAAGACGAGGACCGTGAGGCAGGAGATGAGCAGGCAGGGAATGATGAGGTTGATGGTGTAGAAGAGCGGCAGGCGCCGGATGATGAAGGCGTACGTGATGTCGGGGTAGATCTCGGCGCAGCACTCGTATTTCCGCGTGTTGTAGGTGCCCACGGCGTCCACGATGACCCACTCCCCACTCTCCCAGAAGTCCAGCTGATCCACACGGCTGTGCATGCTCACCAGGTCGATCTTGGCCTTGTCGTAGGTCCAGGATCCAAACTTCATGGTGCAGTTCTGCTGGTCGAAGGGGAAGAAGGTGACGTCGATGCTGCAGGAGCTCTTGTAGATGGCGGGGGGTGTCCACTGCACCCGCCCATCATGGAACAGGTGGGCCTTGGTCAGGTGGGTGACTGCAAAGTCCCCGTCTGCACTGCACAGGAAGGAGAGGGGCAGGTGAGGCCCATGCACACCCGCACCCGACATCCTCCCACACACCTGCACGCCAACATTTCACCAGGAAGGCCTGGGGCCTCAGGGGCAGAGCATGGGGCTCCGGGGATTGGGGTGCGTGGCCATGGGTACCTCGGTTATCACCTGAGTTGAGGCATGTGGTTCAGAGAACGCAAAAGACGCAGCCGTGCCAGCCACACCACGCTGTCACTCCTGCTGGTGATGGCTGTCAACTCCCACAGTGGGACCCAGGACCAGTCTCCTGCTCATGCTTCCATGGCTCCTGGCATCCCCCCACCACGCACACCTCTGAAGGTGCCCAGATGCAGCAATGCCTTTGCCTTTGAGGCACCCAGACACCACAGGGACCCCACCTGACAACCCCTTCTGCTGGCTGACACTTGAGAGTCACAACCACTGGGTGCCAGGTCCTCCTTGGCACCAGCTCTCCTAGGCACTAAGGCACAGCCTGGAGGTCACAGGATGGGGCTGTGTTCTGTCCACTGGATGCAGGTGTCCACTGGGAAGGGCTGGGAACACCCTCTGGGCCCATGACCCAAAGCCCATGCACACTACTGCCTTGGGAGGCAGGTGACAGGCCACCTGTGACACATGCACAACACGCCCTAAACACCATGCAACGAAGCTTCATCAGGCACTGCCATGTGTTCTGCAGGTGCCATCAGCCCATCAAGGGCCTCGGCAGGGACCAGGGGAATGGACAGGCCCACTGCCCTCAGCAGGGCTGTCCGTCCCATCCGTGGGAGCCCAGACTCAGCACGACAACCAGCTCCACTGGGAAGTGTGCTTGCTCCCCCGCAGCCCCCAGAGACTGAGGCTGCCTCCCTGAGCACAGGGTGAGGGCACTGAGCCCCAGATGCAGGCATAGTGCTGGACAGCACAAACGAGCTGCCTGCTTCGAGGGTCTCTGGCCTCTCCCTGTGCTTTGAGGGTGTTATCATTCCATCCCCAGGCCAGGATCCTGTTCCTCAAGCCCCTCTGCCAGAGGGCAGAGCCCCAACCCTGGCCCCTGGGCTTCACAGTGATGTGTGTGCCCCCTGCGCCTGCTGTGGAAACTCGGGGTGCCGGCTGCAGCCCCAGGAAGCCCTCCCTGCTGCTGTGCAGGCTCTGCCCCCTCCACAGTGTTGTCTCCTGAAGGGGAAGACCATGATGCCACTGTGCCCTGTGCAATCTGGGCTCTAGTGTTCCACTCTCCAGGCCTCCGTTTCCCCACAAGGCCTGGTCTGGCAGCCACAGAGTGGCAGGGGAAGCAGCGGAAGCCTGAGGCCTGCTGGACAGGCCCCGCCAGCTCAGTCCAACCACTGAGGAAGTGTTAATGAGTGCTTGAGGCCCGGTTAACTTTCCCATTAACTGTACCAGCAGTGCTGTGCTGGGCCCGGCACCACGGTGCAGGACAGCCCTGAGCCACACACAGCCTCCTGCGCTGCGTCACCGAGATGCTCTGCACATCCCTTCTCTCACTCTGTCGCCAGGACTCAGCCTGAAAGCCAGCACCTTTTACGGTTCCCAGGCAGAAGAGGCCCAAGTGGACCCGACACCAGCCCCCACTATCAGGTCCTGACCAGTCATGGGCAGAGGCAGGGGACGAGCAGCAGCCCAAGGTCACCAAGCCCGAGTCCCAAGGTCTCCCTGGCAGGCCCTGCCCAGGCCCAAAAACATCCTGGGCTTGCCTGGCTCTGCACACCACGCATCCCAATGAGGCTCCTGGGCCGCAGGCAGGCTGGCTCTGTGAGAAGCGAGGCCCCCTTGGGGTGGTGCGGAGCGGAGGCGGATCCTGCCACACATCTCAGCCACTGTGCTCCTCTCTCCCAGCCCCATCTCTCCAAAACTCAAAGCCTCAGCCCTCAGGCAAAAGCTCAGTGCTTCTCTCGCGACAGCGAGTGCGTGAATCCCGCGTTCAGTAAACATTCTGCAGTGGGGCACTGAGCTCACTTGAAGCAGTACCCAGCCGGGGGCATGGTATCTCGATTCAGATCCCCACCCACTGGACTCTGCTGCCCCCACCAGGCAGCTCGCCCTGCCAGCCTAGTCCGCGGCCTTCCGCCTTCTGCACAGGGCACTGCCTTGAGCTCGAGGGGGCTGCATCTGAGACTTTCCCACGTGGACTGCCTCAGGAAAGAGAGGAACTCCTGGGACGCAGGGCAGCTTTGTCCTGCCCCGCATGCTCTGGGCACTATTGAGGCCCCATAGCTGTGCAGAGGGGCTGGAGGAGCCCGAAGAGCTCCTAGCACACTGCACAGCAGTTCTTGATTCTCTATTCTTCTGCAAGTGCCCAGAGCACGGCCCCTCCAGAGCTATGGGACAACCCTGCCCTCAGACTAGCAGCTTCTAGGGAGCGGCAGGCAACCAGCCTGACAAGCCCCCAGACGAGCTCAGAGGTTTCCAGGCCCACATTGCTCCCCATCATCCCGGGCACTTAGGGCAAGAACATGTGGATCCAGCTGCCTGACTCAGACTGTGAGCCTGTTCTAGACCAGCCTGGTCCTGCTGCAGCAGGAGACCTTCTGCCCGCCCACTCCCACCAGGCCAGTTGCCCTGGGAAAACTGCACCATGCTGGGGGAGTGGGCTGGGCTCATGGTTTGGACTGGACAGTTGCCAAGGGCAGAGCTTCCACTCCACAGGAAGAGCAGTAGCCACAATTCCCACTCACCGCTGGCCGTTTTCCCTTAATGCGTCCCGGAGAACCTTCCCAGCCCTTTCACATGCCAAGGCTGCAGCCATTACTGGACTCAATTAAGTAGGAGGGGAGCCCAATCATTCCTAATCAAATAGGGACGTTTGTAGGTCAGATGGATACCCTGGGGCCTGGAGGGGGCTGTGGGCAGATGGCCAGGGCCAGGAGGACAAGGGGCTTCTGTTTCCTTTATCTGTAAGTGCTGCAAGAGCCGCCACCAGCCGGGACCTGCATTGAATAGCTGTCCCTGGGAGGATTCAGTTTACAAAGAGCTGGCCACTGCGCCTCAAGGACCAAGGGCACAGACGTGCTGCTGAGGGCCCACAGGACAAATGGGAGAGGCCACACCCTGCCACAGCCAATCCCTGGAAATGCCACACTGGCTCCCAGCTACAACAAACCGTCTTCAGGACAGATCTCAGCTCGGTTCTCAGAAGGTGACAACAGCCTGCTTCACCTGACAGCATGGTGCACCCCAATCGCCAGCAGGCACGGTGCCAGCCACCCTGGTGCCCACCCAGAGCACCCTGTGGCTTCATGCTTTCTCCAGAAGGTGGATTTCAGCAGGCACAAAAATCACTACAGTAGAAGGGAAGCAGCCTATGAGCATGTGAGCCCGTGAGCTCACACAAGTGTGGACAGGGCAGGGGTGTGATGCCCTTTCCTGCCCACGGGAAGAAGGCTGGCAGAGACCAAGAGGAGAGCCCTTGGCATCAGGCTGCTGCGGGCAGGCAGGACCCAGGCCCTCTGGCTCTGACCATTCAGAGCTCAGTCCCCCAATATCCTTGAACTCTGCCCTGCCCGGGACCCCTACCACAGACACTGGACTCTCCCTGCAGGGCTGAGGCCCAGCCCTAGCCCACCTGGCCCCACAGGCTCACTTGTTATAGAGAACGATGTCCGGTCGCCAGATGAGCTCAGAGGGAATGCGGATGGAGGTGACGTTCTCGTAGTCCCTGGGGTCCCAGCGTAGCTTGTAGTCGTGCCACTCCTGGGCAGGACAGACAGCCGTGGGTGAGAGGGGCTCAGGGAGAAGGCAGGGGCAGGGCAGGCCCTCCACTCACCTGCTTCACCCACACGTTTGTGGTCATCATCTGGTTCTTCTCATCCTGGGAAACCAGCGAGAAGGCAGCTTGGATCTCAGAGAAAGTAACCACCTTGCCGCAGAGGCAACCAAGCCCAGAATCGTGGCCCAAGTGGATGTGGGGGGCGGGGGACGGGAGCCGCACGTTTCCAGAAAGAAACTGGGGACAAGTTCTGCTGACTCCATTGACCTCCCCAGCCACTGTTGGTTGAGCTCCTTCCCAGTGCTGTGAGCCCCATGCTGCCCCCCCCGCCAGCTTCGGGGGAGGTCGCTGGAGCCAGTCACTCTCCACAGGACGCAGAGCACAGAGTCTGCTGTCTGGTCTCTGTGCAGCGGCCGCCCTGTGCTGCCTATACAACCTCCACCCCACATGACAAGGTCCCTGCACATTCCCGAGTGACTTGGTCCCACGTCGGGAAGCTGGAAGTGAAGAGAGCCTTTCCCACCCCCACTGGGGCTCCAGGATCCTCAGAATACACCGCACGGTGGCTGTGCCAGGCCCTTCTGTGAGGCATCTCTCTCCTGTGGTCAGCTGTCACTCCCCAGTGTCCTTGGAGCCAGCGCCCGTGTCACTGAGACTTCACCAGGTCAGGAAACCACCGGGGATTCCATGGCCTGCTCGGCAGCTGGCACCAGGGTGTGAACTCACACATGCACCACACCAGCCCCCCTCCCAGACAGACACCCAGGAGGCCCAGGAGCAGGCACCAGGGCTGGCACAGGCAGGGTGGGCCAGATGCAGCGAGGCCTCTTTCCCCACAGACTCAGTCTCGGGCTCCAGACAGGGCCCATGGTGTCCGCACACACAGTACCAGTGCTCACTCATGACCTCTAGTGCTGGGAGCCTCAGCCCTCACTGGGGTCTCGGCTGTGCTCTAGGCCTTGAGGTCTCCTGACAAACCTGGATGCTGTGGCCTTAGGGGAGCGTCAGGGATTCCGGATAGGCTTGGCTAGGAACCCAGGCAGTGTGGCAGGCCGGGAGCCGGGAAGAGCAGCCAGCGGCGGCCTCCTCCAGCCCCCACTTTGCAGCCATGTTTGCAAACCTCAGCAGGGTAGACGGAGCACACACATCTTGCATTGTCCTCTGGCTGGGCTCCAGCCAGGGACACTGCAGGAACATTCAAGGGCCAGCTCTGGGACACTACACAGGCACGAGTCTGAGTGGTCAGCTCAGAGCAGGGCTCCCAGTTGGGGTCACTGTACAGCCCTGTGCAGGCCAGAAACTCACTTCTCAAAGCCCCAGATGCTGCCCACTGGATTTGTCTGACAAGAACACTAGCACAGGAGTGGGTCACCCAGCTTGTAGTCAGGCTGGAACCAGAACCTCCTCCACACTGGCAGCCCTCCTTGAGTATGCTACAGCACCTGTAGTGGCTGGCTACCCCTGCCCACATCCAAGCTCTGTCCCTGGGCCTAACAAGCTGGACTTCACAGTGGGGCTGGAGCTTGCTGGATTTCCATATGAAAACTCAAGTTCTTCTAACCAGATGGCCTTGGCCCCCCTACTGGCAAGGCTGTGGCCTGTCCCTTCCTCCCTCCGAGCTGCCAGAGCCCAATTCCAAGGCCTAGCACGCCAGGCAGGGTTCCAGGTGCTGCTGGAACACAGCAGGATCCCCAGGCTGTGCAATGGTACCCAGCCATTGACCCTAACGGTCGGTCCCACTCCCAGCAGAGCAGCTGAGCTCTCTGAGAAATGCTGGTGCATAACTGAGCTTCCCTGCCATGCACAAGGCCATGGGCTCCTGCAGCACATTTCTAGGGGCTATGCCGTGGTCTCTAAATGCTCCCTGACCACACACTCCTCACACTCTGACCCATGCTGCAGGCCTCTCCCTGGCGAGACCCTACCTGCCCTCTCGGACCTTCCTGAGAAGGTCCACAGAGCCTGAGGCTCGTCCAGGCCCTACAACAGAAAGCAGATACTCAAGAACCTCTGGGGCCCACTCCAGGTCAGGAGTAAGCAAGGGTCCAGCAGTGCTTGCCCCCGCCACCCAGTACCACAAGAAAAGCCCCTGCAGCCTGACTGTGCAAGGCCTGTCCCTGCCTACAGAAGTGTCTTCCATTCTTGGCTCCAGAAGGTGCCACGGCCAAATGCCTGGTCACTTGGTTTTCCTCAATGGAGCAGGAAAGGCAGGGCTGGGAGCAGGGCTGCCAGGAAGGTCCACCTGCTGGGCTCATTCTGGCCAGCTTGTCATGGCTGGACACAGCTATGAACTTCAAGGGGCCCTCCAGCCACCCAGCCACCCTCCTACAGGGGCCTTCCCTGCAGGACCACTCAGTTGCCATGTCCACACCTACCACGTCAATGAGCTGGGCGATGGATAGGCCGAAGCGGACAAGAACCACATCTGAGATGTTGGCTACGGGCCGGGACCACTTGTTGTAGCCGGAGAAGAGGGTCTTCAGGAGCCGCTCCTCTGCGTGGGCCTGGGTCTCCACATGGCTGCTCACTGCGATGGAGACCAGCAAGTGGCTCTGGTGCACACGGGCTGGGTGCTGGTCCATGCTGCCACCTCACCTCCAGTGTTCACGGGTACCCCAGCCCCTTCCGTCCAGATCCTCACACCCTGCCCAGTGAAAAGCCTTCCACACACTGAAAGCTCTTCCTCCGGGCAAGTCCTGCCCCACTCTGGGCCTCAGCTTCCCCTGCTTCCAGAACTGTAACTTCCTCAGGGAAGCCTTTTCCAGACCCTGGGTGGCAGGGGAGGCCTTCCAAGCACGCTGCCCCTCACCACGAAACCAGACAATGGCTCAGGCATGGGCACAGTAAAAGCTGCATCTCCCCGGCAGACGGTGACTGCCGAAGGCAGGACTGTATTAGTGACCAGGGGAGACAAAAGACAAGAGGTGCCAGCATCCTGGGGACAGCAGGAGCAGGGAGATGGGGAGGTGGGGAGCAAGGATCCTGCCCCAGGAGCACCTGCTTCCTGCGCTGTGGGGACCCAGAGTTACTGCACAGAGGGAGCTGTGCCTGGGGGAGGGGTCAATGCTGACCCTTGGGGGACCCCTGAGCCTCGGGGCCACAGGCAACCTATGTTCCTGGGTGGACACACAGGGTACCTTCCCTGAGCCCTCATGAGCTTTCAGGGGCGGCCCCCCTTCTCTGCCCAGCCCCCCAGCCCATCTGTGTCCGAGGGCCCCTCCACGGACTCTTGTGACCTCGGGGCTCCCTGCCTCCTCTGGGCGTCTGCATCATGAAGGGGAGAGCCCTGCTCCCTGCTGGGTCCGCTCACCTGAGAGACGCCCACTGGGTCTTGCAGGAGCCAGTCTTAGACGCCTGGGAGCGCAGCAACACCCCCACCCTCCCCCACCCCCCAGCCCCTCAGGCGCTGCCGTTTCCCCAGTGCCTAGGAGCAGGAAGCCGCGGTTTCCTCCTCACTAAGGAGTGGGGTTACATTCTTGCCAGAAGCCCCACTTAGTCGGTGCTTGCAGGGTGGCTGCCCAAGGAATGGGAAGAAGGGGAGGTGGAGGGAACCTGGGGGAGTAGCGAAGGTGGGGTGCGGGCCTCCAAGGGCAGAGGTTGCACCACTCTGACCGCTAAGCAGTGGCAAAGGTGGGATCTGCAGCTGGCCCCACCGCCATCCCGGCTGGAGGCGCTCGGTCCGTTTGAACAGGCAGTCGGCACCCCTTCTTCTCTCCCCAAACCCCACTCTCGACGTCAGCGGAGCGAGGCTCCTTCCTGGCCCGGCTCAGCCTGCGCCGAAGGACAGCGTGCGCCTCTCGCGGGTGGGGACGTCTCCGTGGCCGCCCCGTTGCGCGCACCCGCGGTTTGGCACCGCAGCTAGCGCCTTCTCTCTGTTGGCTTCGGGGTCCCGGACACTGGACTGGCGCAAAGGGTCTGGCTCGGCGCCCCGAAACTTACCCGGCAGAAGGCTGGTCCCCAAGAGCAGCAGCAGCCCACGCAGCAGTGGGGGCGGCGTCCCGGGGCCCCCGAGCACCATGGCGCACCGAGCAGCTCTAGACGCGAGCGGCTCCCGGCTCCGCCGCGCCCTCGCTCGGAGGCCCGCGCGCGCCCAACTTCATGCCCCGCGCTCGGCCGAGTGTCCCACGGCCCGGCTCGGCTGCGCGTCCTGCAGGGCGCGGCGGCGGCGCGGGCGGGGGCGCTAGGCTGAGGGTTCCGCGGCGCGGCCCCGCCCGGACCTGCAGCCTCCAGCCGGCAAGAGAGGGGGGAGGGGGAGACGAGAGAAAAGGAGGGGGGAGAGGGAGGGGGAGGGGGAGGGTGGATCACGCAAGGGAAGGGACTTGGAGGCCGAGCTTGGCTCAGGCCAGGGTGTGTGCATGCTGCGTGTACGTGTGTGTGTGTGTGTGTGTGTGTGTGTGTGTGTGTGTGTAAAGTTTCCTTGTCCTCCAGGGCATCGGGACTTGCCTGAACCAGAGGTGAGACCCCATGGCACTGTGTGGTGGGGAATCCCTACTCCTCCCGCGGAGCATCCCCATTCCCAATCTCCAGCCCTAGATCCCAGTGCCCTGCACCTGGGGCTCAGGGGACCAGATCCAGTCCCCTCTATCAGCCTGACCCCGGCTCGTCTCCTTGCCTTAGCTCAGATGTTTGCGGTTTGCAAATCACAAATCTTCTTCCCCAGAGATGGTGGGGAGAGAATCTGCTGCTCACTGGTCTGCCACCCTCATCCCTCTCCAAGCATGAATGTCCGTGGACAGCCCAGGCCCTGCTGCCTGCCTGCCTGGGAGGAACCCTGCTTCTCCAGCTCCGCTCAGCCTCCAAGCACAGCCTTTGAACCCTGTCCCACTCTCAAGAGCAGTAGACCAGGGACAGTGACGAGGGACCTCAGAGAACAGACCTGTGATGTCCCCTGTGAAGACGCCCAGGATGTCCCAACCATCCCCAGGGAGGCGCTGCACCCTCACCTGGGGTCGAGGTGGCACCCAGAGAGCAGCAGGTGCTGAGGAGGGGGCTCTTCATGGCTGAACTTCTTGGGGGGGTGAGGGCAGCAGGACTTCAGACCATCTGATGCTGCTCCCCAACACAGAGGTTCTGCAGCAGCTACTGATCCACAGGATGGGGGCTAGAGAAGATGGGGTGCAGCAGCTCCTGCCCCTGCAGCTTTCATGCAGCTCCCCCAGACTGCTGTGGGACTGCTGTGGGACAGAAAGAACCTCAGGACTCCCTGCACCAAACGTGCAGGCAGTGGCTTCTCACCTCTGCCCAGCCCCTTCCAGGCCTCCACCTTCCTCCCCACCCTCTGCCTCCCTGCCCTGTGTCTCCAGCCTTCTAGCCTTAACATGACTCCTTGGGACCGTGGGGCTGCTCCTCTCCACAGGACCCCACTACTCTGGGGGCAGGACCTGTAGTCAGAGCTGCTGAGTGCTGTGGCCCCTGCTTCCCTGAGTGCTCCCCAGAACTGGGCCAAGCATTGCGGACGGGTGCTCACCTGACTCCCAGGCTCTGCTGCAGGTGGGCTCTTTCCTTTCCCTTGAAACAGGTGAAGAGAAGTTGAACATCTTGCACAGTACCTGACTCCAGTCCAGGCCCCTGGCATCAGTCTGTCTCCAGAGACTCTAGTCCTGGTCCCAGGGGATTGTGTCCTGGAGGTGCCCAAAGCCTGTCCACCTGCATCCTTGCTGGAGCCCGGGGAGGTCCTTGCTCCTGGATCCCCACTACCCAGACTCCTCAGCAGGCCTCCCTTGGAGCCAGAGCCAGTCCATTGTCTCTCTCCATGAGCTCTACGCTGGGCATCAGAGCATCTCCAAGCAGAACTGCAGACTGAGCCAAAAGCCCCTGTGGCTGGTGTGTGGGGCAATGAGGCCAGGGCTGGGCTGGGTGGCGGGGGCGGTGACTCCTGCAGGGAGAGAGCAGCCTCTGAACTTTGCTCCTGTCCCTTCCTTTGGTGAGACTGCCCTGCTCTGAGGTACTCGGTGACTCAGCAGTGCTTGCTCAGCAGTTTGCAGCCCCCACCTCACATGTATGTGTGGGACTGTGCAAGTGTGGTTGGGTGCACTGAACCCAGGGCCACCCACTAAGCTGCGCCCCCAGCCTTTGTTTTTATTGTGTATTTCTGAGCCAGGGTTTAATTAAATTGCCCAGGCTGGGTTCAAACTTTCAGCCTCCCAGGATGCTGGGATCACAGTCATGTACCTCAGACCCTGCTCCATTTGCTTATTCATAAGAAGGCCAGCCGTGCTCCCAGAACCCTGTGAAGACATTTGGACCCACTCTGCTGCGGGAGTTGGGGCAGGTAGGGCAGAAATAGGGGCTCCCAGGTTCAGCACACAAGGGCTGCTGGGTGCCTCCCGCTCTGCACTCTGGCCACGGTTTCTTCCTGTACACTTCTCAAAGCTGTGGCCTCCGAAGTGGCACAGGAGTCAGAGGGGGCACAGGGGTGCATGGTGGGCCAGTGTGCATGGGGCCCCTGGGGGAGGGTACAGAGGAACACTGCACTGAGGCTTGGGCATCCTCTCAGGTGGGCACAGGGAGCCGCCCGGGAAGTCTGTTTGAAGTCCACTGTTGGGCACACTGGAGCAAGACACAGCCCTGGATCTGCAATTCTCAGAGCCATCTCCAAGCATCTGGTTCCAGAGGCCTCAGACTGCTCACTGAGACCTCACTGGAGGCCCTGGCCAGGCCTGGTCCCGCCCAGGCAGAGCTGGGACTTGTCCTGAGCTGATGCAGGGCAGAGCTGAGCTGGAGCTCCCGGGCGGCTGCAGCCTGCTCCACCGATGGTTTCCTCTTCTCTTGGATGTTTATAGCAAGGAGACAAGCGTCATGCCCAGCCTTCCAGGCTTTCATGGTGCATCCCCCAGGGATCACCCAGCACCCAGTGAGGCCTGAGGAGAGGCCAGGCTGGGTTCAGCTCCACCCACGGGGTCTGATGATATGGGCCTGTGGCCACATGCGCTGACTGACACACAGCTGTCCTGCCGGAGTGGCTCTCCCTATGGATCTGCTAATGCAGCGAGATTAATCGGGTCTAACTCATTAATTTGCTCAGCCCCTCCCGCCCCACCTGGCACCCTAAAGCACTGTTTCAGAGCCATTAATCAGGGCACATACTTGGATTCTAACTGCAGGTCTGGAAAAGGAAAAGCCCGGCTCAGCCATGCATGATTGCTCTGAGGAAGGGTCTGGTGGTCCTGAGCAGGGACTGCTGCCCCTGGGGGGGGGGTGGCACTGACCCTGCATGTGCCTCCCCTCGCAGCCACGCCCCTTCCAGGCTGTTACTGCCCCACCCGACAGTTGACTGTTGGGCACAGGCCTGAGGGGACATGCCCCTCCCTCTCTGTCCTCTCTACCCTCCACCCTGTCCCAAGGACATTTCCATGGTAACCATCTGCTGGCGTAAATGGGGATTCATGTAAAGGTGGGTGCTTTGGGGAGCATCAGCTGAGTGTGAGTCCAGGCTGCACCGAGGAGCCAAGGGAGAGACATAGCTGAGCACGAGAGACCAGGCTCCACCTGCCAGGGAGAGGTCACGCCCTGGACACCCCGCAGGGGACCCTGTGCCAGGTGCACCTCCATTTCTCCATAGTCACCCCCATACCAATATGGAGAGCCCAGCTGGTTCCCAGATGTGCTTTCTCCAGCTCCCCCTGCACCAGGAGCAGACTTTCATCTCTTCATCACCAAAGTCCCCACGCAGGAGCCCACGTTCGGCAGGCGGCTGGGCCAGGCATGCACATTGGATGTGAGGATGGATTAAGAACTGAGGGGAGGAGGGAGGAGTGAGTATGACCCTGGGCAGGTGGCGAGGGGAGCAGCAGTGTCCGTGTTTGGTCAGTCAGGGGTGAGGTATGGTCCTGGGGTCAGTGCCATCGGCTGGTGTCACATTCAGCTCCCCATGGTCCTCTGGAGCACCCGTCCACTAGCTTGATAAGGCCCACCGTCTCCGAGCCGAGGGCCAGCCCCAAGATATGCTCCTGCTCTGCACCAGCCCCGGATGCTCTCTCTGGGCGTCCCAGGGGCCAGGGCGCCCCTGTGGGTGTGACAGCATAGCTTTGCTCAGAAACACCCCCTCCAGTCCCCCAGCATTGCTCCTCCAAGGCAAGAGGAGTGAAGAGGCCACCATGCTGTGTCCTGGCCAGGCTATCTTGCCAGGTGTGATGATTGCCTTCTGAGTCAGAGCCCTTGAGCACCACCCAAGCCCCCTGCCCTCACTCAACTGCCAGCCAGTGCTCTGCAGCAGAAGCACTTTCCTGTTGAGAAGGGACCTCGGAGCCCCAGCTCGCCCTGCCTCCACCCACTTTTCCAGCAGAAGTTTCAGAAACTGTTAAGTGCACCAGAAACAGAATGGGCTGTGCCTCCACAGGCAGTGCTTCCTCGAAGTGCCCTCTGCCTCCCCTGATTGCTGGTTCTTCTAACCCAGACCCTCATGAGAAGATGCTCGGGTGACGGGGCCGGGGAGGCATGGGCCCAGAGGTGCCTGTCTTTCCAAGCACCAGTTTGGACACGGCAGATGTTTTCCCTGTAACAGGCAGGGACAGTGTCACAGAGGAAGTGAGGCCCAGATCTTTCCAAGACTCCAGCATCACCCAGTTTCTGGCAGAGGCACCGAAGCTGACCAGGGCCTGGTGCCACGGGAGTTCCTCCTGGCCTGAGTCTTTGGTGTGCTGCAGCCCTGCCTGGAGAGACAAGCCAACCATGCCAGGAGCCACATAGGTGACTGCGCTGGAGTCTCTCCGGTGGGTTCACCTTCGGGTTTTCCTGGCCACTGGGCTCCCTGCGGGGGGAGCTGTCTGCAGACAGGCATTGCCAGTTGCTGCACCACGGCCTGGGCCTGGCGGTGCTCTTACCCTGCCCCCACCCCGACGCTAGTTCTCGCTCTCCCTAAGTAGTTAATTATCTATAAACACTCCAGAGGAGGGCTCCAGCCTGAGCGAGCACTGTGGTGATGAATGAGAACGATCAGCTCCGGGTCTGTCTCCAAGTCCTGCTCTTGGCCCGGTGACAGAGCTCCCGGTGGCAGGTAGCCAGAGCTGTGTTTAAATCCTGCTCTGCCCCTGCCGCGCCATGACTTCAGGCAATCATTCGTCTCCCTGGCCTCAGTTTCCTCAGCTGTCCCGTGACAATCCCATGTCACCACTCAATGTGAGGGTGGAGCTCATGGTGACCAGGCTTTGGTACCTGGCACCTCTGGCACTGGGCTCACTGCTGAAGCCACTTGCAATTCTGCACTCATGGGGAAGTCACTGTGCCAA